CTTTCCTGTACCTCTGGATTTAGGTAAGTGTTAATAAAAAGCTCTGTTGTGCACACGTAAATTAAAGCAGCCATGAAATGTGTGTTTTGTTGAGATATGGTCAGTGCAAGTCTTGGTAGTTGCATGTACTGTATGTGTAAAGTTTAACAAAAGATAATATTAGTTAACAGTCTATAAACTTATGTTTGAAAATGTTATTTAATTTATTGTTTTGTGTATTTTGGCCTCAAGCTGTTATATAAATGAGGCCATCTGAGAAGTTTGTAGAGGGGAAATGTTTCTTAAAGTAAAAGTAAATAAAAATTACAAGTACAGTACTTGAGTTAATGCACTTAGTTATTATCCACCACTGTATTTCATGTTATAATGTGATTGTAAAGGGAAAAAATTGCATTTTGATCTCCTTTTGTGCTTTTTTTTAGGTCTCTGAGGGACGTCACTATGAAGCTGTTTTCCTCATCTCTGATCACCTTTGCTCTCTTCTTGATTCAACTCTCCAGTGCATCTGGGAGCAAAATCCTGGTGTTCCCTTTGGACGGAAGCCATTGGATAAATATGAAAGTAATCATAGAGGAGTTGCATGCCAAAGGCCACGAGGTCACTGTGGTTCGGGCGTCCGATAGCTGGTACATCAGTGAAAAGTCTCCGCTCTACACTTCTGTCACTGTTCCTAGCCCTGGTGGATTTGAGCAAAACTATTTTGAAAACTTTTTGTCTCGACAGCTGGAGATCCGGCTTCAGGGTAGGCATGCATCTTTTTGGTCTAAAATCTGGAATCGTATTCAAATGGAGCGGCTGGTTGTGGGACAGTTCTCTCAGCTCCACAAGGGAATGAGTGAACTGGCCATTCAAATGTTTGAAGATGAAAACCTGATGCAGTCTTTCCATGAAGCCAAATATGATGTCGTTTTGACCGACCCTGGTGTCGGTACCGGGGCAATGCTGGCACGTCGGCTCCAAGTTCCTCTTGTTTTTAATGTCAGGTGGACCATTCAAGGTGAAGCTCATTTCCTTATGGCCCCCTCACCTTTGTCATACATTCCTTTCACTGCAACAGAGTTGACAGATAAGATGACCTTCCCACAAAGAATAAAGAATGTTTTGAGCTATATTTCAGGGATGTACACAATGTCATTAATCACGGAACCTCATTACAAACCAGTAGTTAAAAAGTACTTTGGTCCCGATGTGGATTACTCAACGTTTTTTCTGGATGCAGACATCTGGCTTATAAGGAATGATTTTGTCTTTGAATTTCCACATCCAACAATGCCAAATATAATCTACATGGGTGGATTTCAGTGCAAGCCCCCAAAGCCACTCCCTGCAGACTTGGAGGAGTTTGTCCAGAGCTCTGGAGATCACGGGGTCGTTATGATGACCTTAGGAACTTTGGTCGGGAAGCTCCCTCAAGATATCGCTGAGGAGATTGCTGCAGCGTTCGCCCAGCTGCCTCAGAAGGTCGTATGGAGGTATACGGGACAAAGGCCAGCCAACCTAGGCAACAACACATTAATAGTCAACTGGCTGCCACAGAAAGACCTCTTAGGACATCCCAAGACGCGAGTGTTTGTGACCCACGGAGGCACTAACGGGGTTCAGGAGGCAATTTATCACGGAGTTCCTGTAGTTGGACTTCCTTTATTCTTTGACCAGCCTGATAACCTCTCCAGAATCAGAGCAAAGGGAGGAGCTGTGATTGTTGATATTACCAAGCTTGACAGACACATCTTTGCAGATGCCCTCAAGACGGCTCTTTACAATTCCTCTTACAGGGAAAACATGCAGAGGCTCTCAAGGCTGAACAGAGATCAGCCCATGAAACCACTGGACCAGGCAGTGTTTTGGATAGAATATGTCATCAGACACAAAGGAGCCCGTCATCTGCAGACTCAGTCCACCAAAATGTCCTGGTTTGTTTACAACTCTATTGATGTCATTGCTGCTTTGTTGGCAGTTGTTTTGCTTGTAACATTCACCTGCATTTCAATTGTAATGTTACTGTGGAGAATTATTCTTGTTGGGAGAAAAGTTAAACATGAATGACGTGAAAAATAAAATGTTGGTTTTGTGTGCAAAATTCAAGATTTACCAAACATTAACCCAACAGTTCTCTGTGTGTGATGTTGCTGAAGTTGACAGCATTAGTATAATTAGTCATTTGGGAATACTAATGAAAATACGAGCTCCGACAATCAAAATCCTCCCAAAGAGAAATCAAAGGGGCTAAATCCAGCAATCAGGAAATTATGCAGAATAAATTCCATTAGATAGGAAGACACGTAAGAAGATAACAGACCAGTTCAATCTTACTCAACTGGTGCAAGGACCAACAAGAATAACCGTAGCAATACTTTTTTGACTACCATTAACAAAGTAAAATCCTCCTTTAGAAAAAGGGTGCAATACAAACCAAGACAAAAGAACCCTTTACCATGGCTCAATGACGCCCTCTGGTGACAGATGAGAGAGCGAGATGCTGCGCTGAAAAGTGCACTTAAATCAGTAAATAGTAATGACAAGCACACTTTTATATCCCTTCGAAATAAGATAGAAAGAAACATAAGGAAGGCTAAAGCTAAATGTTTTCATTTGGGTAATTAATAATGCGAGGGGAAATGAGAAACTGATCTGGGAAAGTCTTAATAAATTAACTGGAAGAAATAATAAGAGAACCTGAACTAAAAAATGTATGAAATCTTAACCCAAAATCATGACATAAAAACAAGAACTTTTAACAACTTTTTTTATGAACTCAGTTGAGGAGCTGGCCCAAAGCTTCTCCTCCAGAACTATAAAATATATCCAATAGAACAGAATAACAGAAATATCTGAATCAGGAGTGGTCACCATCATAAGCCCTTTAAGAGACTCAAAAGCAAAGGATGATTATGGTTTGGATACCACTTTTTAAAGCAATACAAAGCAACTCTTCTGCCTCCTCCATATGCTTTTGCGTTTTGTGTTTCTTCTGTACCTCGGTGTATCAATTAAATGGAATGGATGCAGTATTGCAGTATCAGTGGCCTCTTCTCCAGTTTGTTCACTTTGCTTTATTCTGTCTGCTGATCCTTGTAACTGTACATATGATGTATGTTGTAACAATGAGTTGCACAGAATCCACATCCAGTAAGAGTCACAGCAATGAGTATGAAATGATTCCAATGACAATAACCACAAGTAAAGTATGTTTAGGCCACTTAACAGGCTCAATTCAGTTTAGGGACAAGGTAACACTGTGACAAAGGTGCGTGAGGCTGTCATTACCCTATATTAGTTCAAAGAGAAATAGGATTACTACTTAAAGCTCTAGGTGCTGTTAAGGTCAGGGCTTATGTCAAACTGAGAGACTGCTTGACCCACTGTTTCAGACCAGTAGCGGTTTGTAAAGCTCTGGGTGCCGTTACAGTTGTATTAATACCTGAGAATTACTCGTTTTTGATTGGTTTTTAATTGTTAAATGAGAAATAATAGCGTCCATTTTGTCTGTTTTAATATAATTGATTTCTGCTCTACTTTGTGATGGGACGTAGTGTGGATGTACCCGCATGTCTCTGCGCTCCTCCAAGATCTCGCGCGATTTAAGATTAAACGGGTGGTTAAGAAAAAAGAAAAAAGAAAAGGTGGTTCCCTTGCTGCACCGGGCTGACAGCTGAGAGCCGCACAGGTAACCAGCTAACACAGGGCTCCCGCTAGTCTACCTAGCGACACTTCTGTCTCTGCCGTGATACGTGTGGAGGTGAATCCACGTCCCGCATCATCGCATCCCGCTCAGGTCACCTTAACGCTCGGTCCTACCGGCATTTTCCAGGCCCCCCCTCCCAGTCTCCGAAGATGATACCTGGCAAACGAAGAGCTGCAGTCATGTCCTTCTCGGTGGCGATATTTGGAGCCCTAATGCTGCAGTCTGTCTCCTCCCAGAACGGTAGGAACCGACCTCTTCTTATAGAAAACTACACGGTGGTTATTCTCACGTCATGGCGAAAATGCGGGGCTTTTAGGGAGGGATGTCGCCTGCATTTCTGCAGTGGGGCATTTCTAATTAATCATTACAAGATGCGTCTTTTCTTAAGAACGTTGTCCATCACGAGTATCTCACCAGCAACCAGGTTTCATTACATAATCCCTTCAACGTTGCACTGTAAGAAACTGCTATTAGTCGAATAAAGCGCTGTTTTTTGGCATTCTGTGCATTTGAAATGAAGTGTCAATGCATAATTGGATTATTCGTTGGGCTAAAGTGGGCCACGCGCAGGCCTGTGTCCCTAAAATGTCCTCTGAAGTGTGGAGCTGCATGTACATGAGCGGTTGCTGATTGCAGCAAGGACAAGTTCTGCTCATTAGGTCGGGGGGATACTAGCAGAAGGTGGATGTAGGGAAATGGTGTCACACTGAAGTTCAAAAACCTGCCCTGCTCTCCTTAGAGATTGGTTCTCGCACAGTCATCATGCTGTTTGTCACGCGTGGGTCTGCTCAGGTATGTCAGGATGTGGCTCAGGAATTCAGTATCCAGCAGTGTATCACCAAATTCCCCTCGTACAGGGTGAGATCATTCCCTGCATCAGTCCAGGTCCTTGTGACCGAGCACCGAGCACAACATGTCATTAGATGTAGGACATCCGAAGTGCAGTAAATGGCACCAGTCCGTTTTGCTGCATGCTTCTATTTTTAGATCGGAGATGCTGCACTGAAACCATGGCTTTAATGTCCTCTTGCAACAGTGAATCTGTTAACTCTTTGCTGAGATGTACTGCACTGCAGAATGGAATTGATTTCTCAGTGCGGTTCTACTTGTCCAATTGACCCCTCTGCTCATAAATCCCCCCCCCCCCAAACGGTGTAAACCCGTCTCAGCTGAGTCTTCGGTGGTGGATGCTGTAAGTCTGATTAGCAAACATTGTGTAACAGTAAGTGAGAATTTATTCAGCCCGGGCCTTCTCTTGAGTTGACCATGCATTACACATCTCCTATACTGCTCACCCACTCATTACATCTCTTCTTCAATCAGCACGCCAGCAGATAAACTTCTGCTTAAATGTAATGCCTTTTCATCTGACAGACCGCTAGTAAGTGCGAATTTGTCTTATCTTCTTCAAGTCCAGAGAGGATGGATGGCTCAGAGAATGCCACAGTATACTTTAAATACTGATAATCATACCATTAGTTGAGTCTGGTAATGCTATTAACGGGCACAGAGGCCAGCCTCATCACAGAAGCCATTTTTATCTGCTAATGGCTGCTCACTTGTGAAGCTATTCCCACCAAAGTTCCCTAAGGATGTGTGTTTGACCTGAAGTGGCTTTTAACAAGGAGACAGTTTACATCATTCAAACTATTTTATTTAGAACTTTCACTCAAAAGCCACAACAAAAACTTCAATAACTGCAGGTCTCAGTTAATGAACAGATCAATGCAAACCGAGGAGTTTGTTGCTCCATTAATGAGTATTTGGAAATGATCAGTCTTGTGTTCATATTATTGTTTAAGCAGGTCAGAGTGCAATTATCCTAACAAACAATTGGTTACTTACATTTATAGTTTCAATATTAAAGGGATATGTTATTCAATAATATAGAATGAGAATAAAGTTGAGGCGTAAAGGTTTTAAGTTGTTCTGTAATCAACATAGAGTTCATCAAGTGACGTATATAATACACACCATACATCACAAGCTTTAAATCATCTGTGTCATTTGCTGTCGGGCCTAAAATATTGATTATTTTAATTATTTAATTATCAGATTACTTTTAAATTTGTTCATTCATTGTTTGGTCAATACAATGTCAGAAAATAAAAGACTGTTGATCAAAATCAAAGGCATCTTAATACTGTAAAGTGTTGGATGCTTTCTTTATAGCTCAGCTCTTCCTCATGCTCCCTGATACCCTCCACACAAAATATCAACATCCCCGGACAATTAGAGACGTGGTTTGTAAGAGCAGAACTTTTAAAATCAAATGATAAATTTGGTTATTAACGCATATTAAAACTAGATGGCTGCAGAGTATTTTTATAGTTTTATTAGTAGTAAAAGTAATTTTATTTAGAAATAATCTTTATACTCCTTTTAAATAAAATCACTTTTATTTTCTGTAAACATCAGATCACAATAATGTCACTCGTGGAAAATGACAATACTCAGCGCTTAAATACATGCAATAATCCGTATATGCTTTATGCTTTTTCTAATCTACAGTTAGTGTAGTCACTTCTGTTCTGATAGAATATTAATTTAGCATCCAATTCAATATGTATTGCTGCAGTAACTGGGACAGTGGCTAGAACTATATCATAGTTATTGGTTTAAGTGGATTCATAGAAGATATAGAGAACATATCTGCAATGAAAGACTCATGACTATTCCAGGCCTTCTGTTGTCAGGTTGTCACATTTATGGTTTGAATAATGTACCACAAATTAGCATCAATATGAATTCATGTCAGTCTCCAGTAATAATTGAAAGTGTAGTTATAAGGTTATGAAGTTGGGAATGTATTTCCTATTTTCTGGTACAAGCGCTATATTTACCATCCTCTCAGTTTACAGTCACAAGGGGCTGACAGGAAGTGACTGAAAGGCAGATTGTGATTGGTCCTCACTAAAACATCAAAGTGTCTGATTGGAGAGAAGTACTTTACAGTCTTATAAATGATAATGCAAATGATTTTCACTAGATAGAGCTTTCAGGTGGTGAAAATAACACTGTGTGGTTTTGGTTTTGGCTTTATTGCACACACACTTTCAAATATTCACCAAGAAAACAAGAAAATAAAACACGGATATAGAAACACAGAACGAATAAACTTTACAGACATTTAAATGTCAAGAAACAATCTGGAAATAATAAATATTGAATTAATGAAGTGTGACACGTGGACAAAAAAAGAAAACATAGAAATGAAAAGTGATAAACGGCATAAGAAGGAAGCAGAAAATAACAGGTTTTTAAGCCTGCTTTTAAAAAATTGATTGAATTGGAAAAAATAAAATGATCACTTAGTAGCAGCCTAGCACATTCAAAGCTTAACAATATGTTGACGATTTAAGATTAATCGGGTATTAAAAAAAAAAAAAAAGAATAGTGCAATGCAGCCTTTATAGTTCTAAGATCACACACGTGAGACACGCACAACACTAAACTAACATCAACTTGACATGAGTGATGTCATTTAGACGTGTGTGTGTGTGTGTGTGTGTGTGTGTGTGCAGTACAGCGCTACTCGCTCAGAACTTTTGACACATGCACACTATCCGAGGTGGCAGGAACCGTCTCTCAGCAGTTCTGTGTTAAGAGCTGAGGTTTTAGTTTTCAGACCCAGTCCGGTTGTTTACTGCTACTTACAAACACTCAGTTGACTGATGCAGTCACATACAACAGTATCAATGAGACTAGATAATGAACACCTGTCAGTATAATGCAATAATTCAACAATATAGCCTTCATGAAGGGAGGATGTATTGCAGGATTGTTGTATTGGACTGCATTGTTTTAATACGGGGTACCTAATAAACTGGCAGCTGATTGTGTATGTAGGAATCTATTTGTTCCTACAGTAGATGTTCTGGTCTCGATGTACCAGTTCTGGGCTGTACAGCAGGGTTATGATGTCTTTGTGCCTTGTGATGATCTGCCTGGTCTGGTTGGTCGTCTCTTCCTCTTCCCACTTTGTTGCCGTAGAGTGCTTCTATGGAAACGGAGGTGGTCCATCACCATGCGCCCACACGCTCCCCAGAGACCCAAAGCTGCAGTTTCTATAAATCTCCTCTCAATGTGCATAAAGACCATGCTTATGATTACAGCCAACCCCCCCCCCCCCCCTCCTCCTCCTCGTCCAATCTGTGTAGCACTAATGTTGTTTTCATTATACAGGCGAGATGCACTGAAAATGACAGGGTCAGTTGGAGGACTTTTAGATGCGAGTGCTGCGCGAGAACGACACAAATTTATACGATGTCATTAATTGGACAAAATCAAGTGAGAGCCACCTCAGTACAACGTCCCAGCGGACTTGAATGAAAGCTTCCTAGAAATAGCAGCAATAATGGCTTTAGGTAGATCTGAGGTTGCCTCTCTTTTCTCTCTATTACCAAAAATGTTGATGTTGCCGTTCCTGACGGACAGTTTGATGCAGATTTCACTGTTTTGTGTTTTTGTGTTCGACGGTTTTATGTTGGAGCTGAAACTATTAGTTGATTGAAAACAAAATGAATCAGCAACTATTAAATGCTAAAAATGCCTACAATTTTCTATTTCCACATTTGTAATTTAAGTCTTCTATGATACTTAATTGAGTTTGGGACTTGGGGGTTTAAGATTTTTTCCATTTTCTACTCTTTTTTTTTTTTCCCATCTTCTCCATTTTACGTGAATTTACCTTTGTTTCACTTTAAGATCATTTGTCCATTTTTTTTTTGTATTATTTCATATTATCTTTTTTTCTGTTTGTCTTTCCTTTTCTTCTTCCCATTCAATTTACCTTGTTATTTTCTTGCCTTTCTATTCTCCACCTGCTTTCCTTTGGGGGGGGGGGGGGCTTATCTCTGGACATGCTATCCTCTAAACCTCCACCACCTCCACTAGCGGGCTTTGTGAAATCCCCGTTTTCTGAGACTAAACTCACGGGCGACACCTGTGAGCTGTACTGTGACGTGGTGGGAAACCCCACCCCAGAAATCCAGTGGTGGTACTCTGAGATCAACCGAGTCGATTCCTTCAGGCAGCTGTGGGACGGCGCCCGTAAGCGGCGGGTGTCCATCAGCACGGCCTACGGCTCCAACGGCGCAAGCGTGTTGGGTGTCTCTCATCTCACGCTGGACGATGCTGGGACCTATGAGTGCAGAGCCAGCAATGACCCGCGACGTAACGACCTGCACCAAAATCCAGCCACCACCTGGATCCGTGCTCAGGCCACTATAATGGTGCTGCAGAGTGAGTGGTCACTGTAGAGGAAACACCCTCTTCCCTTCCGTTAGCAACCAAACTTAGCAGTTCCTGTGTGATCCAGCCTCCCTCAAACCTCACCAGAGGGTCTGTAGCTTCCTCCATCGGTACCATCCTCCACTAGAAGAAAAACGCCACCAAATAGTCTTTATTTACTTTTACTAGCAGTTAGTTGAGTAGTATTTTGTGCTCATCCCTTGGTTCAGTACAACCTTCAACCATCAGTCTACTCCCTGTCTCCATTTCCCCTTTACTTGATTTTTCTCTCCCTTTAGCTCTCATCCTCTAATTTCTGTGAACTGTATAACATTATATTCAATTTAATTTTCTTATTTTTTCTTATATTAATCTGCATTATTTCTGTGTTTCTAACACTTGTTTGTTGTTTGCTCACCAGCAGCTGTACCAGAATCTGAAATCTAGATTCAAATTAAAACATGCAGGTGCTGAATTTGGGTGTTTAATCTCAACACTTTTTTGGTACTGACCGAAATGATTCTGTAGCTCAGAGTATCCAAAACAAATGCACACAGGCTTGTAGCTTAATGTTTTGTTGAAGAACCAGATCTTTTCTAATTCAGATGGACATCTGTTGTACTGATGATTCAACCGAGGGAGTTTCATCGAACCTTGGAAGTGCTCCCACTTCCCAGTCAACTACCAACACAGAAAATGACTACTTCTACTTAAGGAACCCTGGATGCCTGAAATAATTCCTCCCACTTCACAACTCTATTCCTGTGCTATATTGTATAAAGTGTGGCTGGCTGTGGTGTCTGTCCGAACCCTTTGTGCGTTTACATCCTCCACCCACGAGTCCCAGCAAACATCACTTCTGTCCAAGCTGATCTGTGTCTCTCTTACAGAGCCGTCCATTTCCGCCTCTGAACACGCCACACTTCCTGTGGAAGGCGACTCTTACACACTGCAGTGCAACCTGACCAGCGCCCACAGTGTGCACGAGGAGAGCTACTGGATGAAGAACGGGGAGGAGATCCCGGAAACACGCAGCCCAAACAGGAACACTGAGTACAAGTAGGCGTCACGGCAAACTTTAGTGTGTGTGTGTGTGTGCGTGTGCGTGTGCGTGTGTGTGAGTGTGTGAGAAACACGGAGTTTAGCCTGTTGTGGGTTCACGTGAGGTGTCTTTCTGCTCTGCAGGCTGACGAAACCAAGAGGAGATGCCGCCGGATGGTACATGTGTGTCTACACCTTCGAGATGGCTCCTCCAGCAAACGCCACCATAGAAGTTAAATGTAGGTGTTGATTTGTGAGCTGCAGGCGGATTTTTTTTTTTTTGTCAGTTTCAAGGCCACATTAGAGATGCCCCTGATTTAAAAATGGCCCCGAATGGCCTTGAGCACTAGCAGCGCTGTCATGTGAGGACCTGTGATTTCAAACGGCTCTGCTAGCTGCCCGGGGGGCAGCCTGCGCCCTTGACACCTCCATCCAACCAATGCCCGGCTCAGTGGCAGCAGATGGCGTCTTGTTTGTCTGATGGCAAGGGATTATGTCTCAACGTTAAAATCTGGTCAGCCTTTTCTGCTGTCACACGCATCGCTATGGAGGAAAACTGGATTTTATGTGGCATTTATAGTTTATAGTTTGCTGCATTATTTTACCCTCCTGCAGCTCTTTTAATGCCAATTATATTTTCTGTCATCTTCTTAAATCGTGCTTTGTGCATTTGGCCTGAAAAGTACTCAATGAGTAAATAATAATAATTTTTATGATCTCAACACAGTGAAGGGAAAGCGTAGCTGTTTTCTATAAGCATTGCTTACTTAACTATTATATAAACAATAGATGCAATGAAAACAACTATTTATTATCCGTTTCTACTTAAATAATGAAAAGCACAAATTTGTAATCTATTTAATCTCATTCCTATACCTACAATTATGAATCACTGAATCCACAGTAGACCTGTAACACTTTACTTTGTGAATTTCTTGAATGTATTATAACATCTGATCTTTGTTATTTTGTTTTAGCTGCTCCTGACATTACAGGCCACAAGCGCAGTGAGAATAAGAACGAGGGCCAACTTGCTGTTCTCTACTGTAAGTCTGTGGGCTATCCTCACCCGGTCTGGACCTGGCGTAAGTTAGACAACGGCATTCCCAGGGTATGTGATACCAATATACACTCCCTGATATAGTCAACATATCGTCAATCCTAAACATTATAAAGTACATTTCTTTCTTCTCCCTATATAGGAAATTGACAACTCAAGCGGACGTTTCTTCATTAGCAGCAGAGACAACTACACCGAGCTCCACATTGTGGAGCTGGACATTACCTTAGATCCAGGCGAGTACCACTGCAATGCCACCAACATGCTCGGCAGCCGTGACGAGAAGATCGTGCTGAGGGTTCGAAGCCACTTGGCCCCCTTATGGCCTCTTCTGGGGGTTTTGGCCGAGATCATCATCCTGATCGTCATCATCGTTGTTTATGAGAAGCGTAAGAAGCCGGAGGATTTACAAGACGGTGAGTCACCAGCGGTGGCGCTTAGGACTCTTATTATACCAGTGTTTTTAATATGTCTGAGGAGAAACTGGTTTTATTGCTCGGAGTTGACATGGATCTCTCCTGTTAAGTCTTTTTTTCATCCCGAACCCCCGTCGGTGTGGTGTTGGGCAATCAGGCGACCATGAAAGAAGGCACACTTTATTTTTAGCTGTCTGCTTAAGTCATTCTTTAGCAGGAGACACTAACAGAGTCACCTGACACTGTGCTGTGCCTGCACTCAATAATTCAGTCTGGCGAGGTTGACCCAACAGGCAGACACTGTTGCAGGAGGTCGCAACTTGTCAGGACAATTTCATGCATTTAATATTCATGAGAAATATGATACTGCAGTTTTGCAGTGGTGTACAGTTTCAATTATTAACGGCTTTCCAGGGACATTGTGCCGTCCCCGAGCTGCTGCAAGCTTAACCACGAGACACATCATTTAGCTATACAATCTGTGTATGCCAGCCTGGGGATTTTCTAATACTACTGAGTGCTTCCAAGAGTCAAAGCTATATCATAAATTATGGATCAATGGTATTTAGGTGACCTTTTCCCCTCAAACTGAATTTTGATGTTGTCACATGCTGATCAGATGCAATGTGCAGCGAATGACTGACAGCTCAGAGCTGTGACATTCAGTCAGTTTGAGAAATATATTGTCATTATGGTACATTACAGGGTGTTTAAGTCACCTTGAGAATCTGCACAGTCTTACAAAATGGACGTGGATGGCGTGAGTCATTCAGCAAATTCTTACATGAAATGTTGATACTTCATGTTTTACGTAGGTTAGTTTAGGCTGTTAAATATTTTAACAGATTGTTCCCCTTCTCCCCAAATTGCATAACCTAAAACCATGTTTGTGGTAAGTGTGAGACTTTGCATGCTTCATGATTATTAATAAGCGTTCAGCCTCATCTTCTTCCAATTCACAGGACAGTACATGGTTCTGTTCAGGTTCAGCCTCAGCGTTAGTGTCAAATGCCCTTCTAAATCTTCAGTTTTTAAGATTTTATTACAAACGGTAACTTCATGTTTTGCATCAAACCGCGGCCGTGAGATGGCATGCAATCAGTCATTTCTGCTGTCACTGCTTGACACTGCTTCAATGACGTTATTACCTGATATTAATGGAGCTGCTCCTCACTAATCTCTTTGAGTGAACAGCTGTTCTTTGTGAACGCTGCCTGTCTGTGCATGACAATTTGAATTTTGCCTGTATGTGATTGTTTTAATGTGGTCTTGTGCTGGATTTAACTGCACTCTGTGTTTTGTGAGTGACTTCATGTGGTGTTTTTTTTCCTGTGGCATGACAGCCTGTTCTTTACTATTTTGTTACTTCATCTGGGCGATGTTTTCATCCCATAGCACGATCTGCACATGCAGTACAGTTTAACATAAAACGCTGTGTAAACCTGAAGAGCACCATGTGTCAGTCACAACTTACTGTTCTTAATGCTTTGTGCTTTTTGTAAAAAAAACAAAAAAAAAACAGTTTCACTTCATCAACGTGTGCAACATTCTTGCGATTTATTTTATTTTTTGGTCTTCATTTCTCCATATTTTCCCTTGTTGCCTCAGATGATGACCCTTCAGGTCCAGTGTAAGTATAGACAATTTACCTCCAATAACTTCTCTGTGTTTAACTTGATAACGTGTGTTTTGTTGTAGATTGTCATGATGCATCCACTCCTGACTCTCTTTAGAGCTCAGTGTGCAGTACACCCCAAATCTGTGTCCCAAATATCTGGGAGCATCATGCGATAGTGCTTTGCTGCCTTCATATAAATCCCAGGGAAATATATGTGAAATATATATGCGACATGTGTGGCCGTCAATGACAAGTTATCATCTGAATTGTCCTGATGAGTGAAGCCCTGCCCATGATGCTCTAAGACTTCAAAAGTTTGAATGACTTTTTTAACTTACCATATTATCGGACATACGCAGTATGCAAACGTTTAATAAATGGTTTATAATGCAGTTGTAAGCAGGAATAAGTGTTAATATATTTGTCAACAACTATACCTCCTCCCATGGGCACCCATAAGGAGGCTGGTGTATAACAAGAAAATAAATGATGATGTACTAAAACACATTTGTCGTAATTAGAAAATACAGTTCAAAGGAGAATTTATAATTGTTGACAAATACTTAATAAACATTTTGAAATGTTCTTATAGCTGCTTACAACTAGTGTGTTATAAACCATTTATTAAATGTATCTATACTGCTTATAAACAAGGGACTTGAAGTAAAGGATACAAATAATGTTAACCATTTTTTAATAAATATGTAACTGGACCCAGGTCTGCTATACTCCCCCAGAGTGAAACGTTTAATTTGTGTTCATTCAGTGTACACTAGAGCTGAACTAAGTATTTTTTTCCAGTATTGATTAAAGGCGTATTTCACCCGATAATTTTCTCAGACTTTATAAAGCTCCCGTAGCCACAGAAGACATACAACTGTTTCACTGGCTGAATAACTGTGTGTAAAATCAGTGAAGTGCCCCTTTAATCTACGGTTTTGTTTTTTTCTAAATTGAATTAGTACGCTGTAAAATTACAGAAATTAGGCTAAAAGTCCGTTACGCGGTGGTGTGACTTTAATACGTAAAACAGAGAAAAGCAAATCTTTTGTGTTTTTAGTTGATAAATGACTGCAATGATTCAACAGTTATTAGAATCGGGATGAAAATTATTTTCTGCCAATCATTTGACTGATTTTATTTCAGGTATGAACTGATAGTGTTGTTTTCTTCCTGCTAAAGCAAAACTAATTCAACCAACAACCACAAAGACAAGAATCTCCGCCAGAGGAATACAAACTGAGCAGCCTGTCTGCTGAGTAAGTATTACATTATTTAGAGGAAGTCTGATGCTGAATATGTATTACAAGCCTGTGGCCACAAGTTACAATATGATCCACCAGATGATCTTACCACTGAGCGCTCAACCAAAATAAGACTACTGTCAGTCTGCTCTAATGAGTCGAATGTTCTCTTTATTTGCAGGCTTCATTGCACATGTATTGACCATATGAAGGTAAACGAGAAGGGAGTCCATACCAGTTGTAAAGAGGATGTATCTGCCACTACAAGTATGGTTGAGGAGGAGTTCAATGAGGCATGCCTTATGATTCTATTGTGTGAGGGTGCGAATATGGAATATGAAATTAACATTATAACCATTGTTGCTGCATGCAGTTGTGACGTTAGAGATTTTTCTTTTCCCCTCTTATCCACTAATTTTACATTTTTACTATTTCTAAAATAATGCATGCTAGATGTTGACCTTCTGTTTGATACAGAAACGGCTTTTTTTTCTTTTTTTTTCTGGGAGTGGCTTCATTTAGATAATCCGTACTGTGTGTTCTAGAGGAAAAACAAAACTTGGCAATGTAAACAAAATGCCTCCATAATTGGGTATGACAGTTGTGTACAGTTTTATCATACCACTGCATACCATTTTATCAGAAAATATCTATTGCATTTTAAGGGCTTTGCAATGTCCCTCTAAATTTGAATAAGGTTTTCTTTACTGTATGTATTAAATCACTATAACAATGTATCAGATCACCAATAATATAGACTTCATATGATATGATGCACTTAAATGTTGAAGATAATAAAACACTGTTTAGACCGACTTTAGGAAATATGTACTAACCATTCTAACATATTGTTTTATAATCATGTGTATTGTACAGCATGGCTATTATCCTATGCAATTATTATCCATATCAATATATTGAAAACCATCGCAGCTTTTGATTTCTCTGTGACAAAGCTTTAAACTAGTAGGATCACCGTAGAGCGTTGATGGCGTACTACACAGCTGCATGAATTCTCTATAGCTGACGTGGGAGGCGGCGAACGTCAGGACTGATACATGTGAAGCAATTCAAAGATCCCCGACTCATTTTTAAGAATAAATATCTCAAAAAAGGAAGTGTGTCTGTTGAGTTGGTTTCCTTGTAGAGCACAGTCGACATTCAGTTGTACCATCAATGATGCAAACAGGCCGTCCCATCAGGATGCTGGGAAAATATGAACATGCTGAGAACAGCGCCATCTAGTGAGGTTTTGAGTTGCTCACTTCAGGCTTGTCAAATATGATGATGGACTTCACATCAGGGGAACAAAGACGAGTTCTTGTGAAATGCATAACAACTACAGTTCATTGGCAATGAAAATCTTCTATCTCAGATTATTGAATATGTATAAAAAAAGAGGAAAATCACACAAGTAGTTTTTAACATTAGGATTATTTAAAATCCTGACTTTGGGCCTGAAGTGATGAACAATCCCACAAATCATCAACACTATCAGTAGCTATGTGTGATTGTTAGTGTAGGTACTATATTAATATGGATCCCAATTTATCCACGGCAACGGATGCATTTCCGTTTGCAATTTAGAATATGTTTTAAACACTTGTATACCAGGCGGTATTGCTACTTACTAATTTTGAGGAGTTTTGCCATTTTAATGTTTGACAAAGACAGCAACACTGCACATAACTGAGTTTATAAGGTCCACCTATCTAAAACTAATGCAGTCTAAAACAGTTATAAATCATAGTTTTATAAAGGTGTTGATTCAACTATATGGTTAGTTTGGAGAATGTAGTTGATGGTGCTGATGAGTTGTTTATACTGGTGTTTTTTAATATTTAGTACTCTCGTATATGAAAGACATTATAAATGGGTTGGACACAATATTACATGTGGCTGTTTTAGCCCGGTGTACCTAATAAACTGCCAACTGAGTGTATGTTTCTCCTGTGTTATTCTGAAACAGTAGTAGGCAGCATATTCAACACATTATGTAGGAAATTGCAGCAGCACAGCAAAGGGAGGCGTTATTTTATTGTGGCTGCTGTCTGGAAACACAAGCGGCCGTGTCTCATTGTTGGGCTTTCATCAACATTTCTAACTATTATCAGCTGGAGAGTAATGAAATATTGTGATGTCTTTTTCATACCTTTTTTAAGCTGGTCTTTCATTTGTCTGGATCTGATTCACATGATGTAATGTTGACCTCGATTAATATGTCAGTGGGATTCAAACAGTAATAAGAACAGTCCATTTCTAAAGCGAAGAGACATCTGTGACTTTGTGAACCCGGAGAGAAATGATTTGTACTTCTGTCTGTGTGGTTTAATCTCTAATTTGAAGTTTGAATAAATCTGATGGTCTAGTTCTTAAACAGGCCAGTGGGTTGTATTTAATAACAAATTTAGTGGGTATATATATTTCAAAGTTTGTTGGAAATATTTATAGTAAGGAATTCACCAAAGCCCTTTTTTTGGACTTGTTCTACTTGCCTCCTCTGTCCTCCTCTCCAGACTGAGTCTACTTTAAAAGATTCTCTCTGGTCATGTTTTACAACATAACCAAACATCTGCAATATTACAACATAATAATCAGTTCTTGTCAGATGTTCCCAACATTGTGAAGACTATTACCAGTTCTCCACCTGGGCATTGAGATTCACTACTGTACAGTGTGTGTTTCCCATTTGGTATTTTGTGAATAGAAATCCCACGATGGTGTTAAAATCATTCAAACTACACATGTAGTTCATGACAACAAGAAAAGCATGGAACATAACATGTACACTCAGTGGCCAGTTGGTTATGTACTCATAGCTAAAACTAATATTTAGTCTATCCTCATTGACATAAAAGGGTTGGACAAAATACATGACACTATGGCACAACATAGTTCAACAGCACAAACAATCCAAAATGACCTTAAAGCTGACTCGACCCTTGTTACAACTGTTTAAAAACTGCATTGGTTTTACTGTAGGTGTACTGAAAAAAACTGTCAACTGAGTGCAAATCTGCCATGTGATCTGAGATGGCGTCCTACACTTGGTGATAATCGGGCCTGCAAACATAATGGAGAGTGATGACTGGAGCGTGCTAAATAGGGCACAGAGTGTGAACTTCTAATCTGTGTAGTTCATGATCAGGAGACTGACAGCTTGAAGTAATGACGCCAAGACACAGATTGTTTGGATCTCCGTAGGAACATTTCTGAAGGACAAGTAGCTTTTTTTCTTACTTCTATTGTATTCAATTCATTCATTTTACCATCCCATGTTGTTTGACCACTGATGAAAATAAATGAAATAGGTGAAAGAAAAATCGTATCTGTTGCATACAGTACCAGACTCTTGACCTGTGATAGATTAACATTTATATTAGTTTATTACTGTATCGTGAGAAATTATTACAGCAGAAACAAACTGTTCACTATCCTCTTCCTTATTGCATTAGGCCATATTAAATTGCTGCGTGGTTTGTATTGAATCATACAACAGTAATGCAAACAGCTGTCAACAACCTTTCACCAAATTAATTTGCAGTATTGGTCTTTGCCAGGAAGGATTTCATCTCTTTTCTACCCGACTGGAAATGTCTTCTTTGGGGAATGAAAATGAAACACTGCAGACACAGAGTATTAATACATCTGCCATAATAACGTGAGTAGTTGGCCAAACAGGTTGTACCTCGATGTATTATCATCACAGTAAGTAATGAAGGTTGAAACAAATCCCCCATTAACAAGGAAAGTATTGGACATTATTCACATTGACTTCTCTCCTCAAGCTGTAGGTTCAAAAGTTGATCAGAAGATGTGGGGGTGTAAATTAGGACACAATAAATTCTTCAGTTTATTGGAGATGTTTCAACCCATTAGGACTACCATGGATAAAACACGTTCTCTATAGTAGGTCACTGGAGAAATTAAGGCAGTATATTGTCAAAACAATTTTTGTTATATAACCCAATATTACAGATTTTCCTCAATGCGCTTTATAATCTGTACAGAACACCCTCTATTCTAAGACCCTCGATTCTCAAAAGGAAAAACTCCCCCCAAAAACCCATTTTAAAAGAGTAGGCTACATGACTGATTTAAATAATGTAAATAGTGTTAAATCACTGGCACTACACACAACACGTGGGTATTTGTCAGCACAGCTCTTGATACTTGATAAATATACGATAGTAGTCAAACTAAAGAGTTGTGGGCTCGTCTGGGATTTGAACCAGTTCTGAGACCATTGAGTATTATGACCACTTGTAGGCTGGTGTTATTATATCGCAATGTGTCTTTAAAGCTTAAAACTATATTAATAATATAATAAACACAAGTTTTCTGGCAGATTATGAGACGATTATTGTTTCTTCAGTGTGCAGGGCCTGTCGACAAACAATTGTTAGATGCATAAAGATCTGATCTTTATTCTCTGGCGTGTCGCTTTCTCTAAGCGAGTGAACTATCAACTCCAGGGCTGGATCGCATCCTTGAATCCTCCTCTTCCAGCTGCCCTGGGCGGGGTGAGCGCATGTACCGTCCAGGCTCGTATGGCAACCCGATGGATCAGCCCATCGATATTCACCTTATTAGAAAGCGGGAGGCTGATGGATCAGTGATGTCAGCGCTCTTTGAACGCCGGTGCTGGCTGCGTGCATGTGTGTCATCACCTCGCACTGACAGAGAGCTCAGATATTTTGGGGAGGTGGAGATCATGCTTTGTCATTGAGGAACTCAGCAGCAGCGTTCTCCCACTCCGGCACGTCCGACGCTCAGCATGCTGCATCCTGATGCGCTCTCGTCTGCACGCTGTGGGCTTACCTGGATTTACACGCGTTTCCCGTTTACCGCTTTCACATGACCTTCGGAATTGAAGCGGCCACGTATATCGTTGACGCATCTCAATGTTTGAACCGGGGGAGAGAGGCACGTCCCAAGTGTCAAATAATATACAACCTGTCCTGCGGATGCGCCGTCACTGTTTGCCTCCAGTGGCACCCTTACGAGATTCATGATTCATCCCTCTGTTTTCACGGGCTGTCCTTAGAGCGCATCTCTTCTCTTTCTTCAAAATGGAAATATTCCAGTCTTCCATGCGCAAACGGCTGTACAGCTTGCCGCAAAACATTGGGCAAAAAGCCATCGTGATTGACGAAGGAGACAACGGCGACAAGGACACTAAGAGGAAAAGTATTCGGCTAAAACATTTCTCCTTTCCGTCTCCTGCAAGCAGTTGCAAGAGTATTGAGGAGGCCAGGAGCGAAGACTTTGAGAGAAACGTTACTGTGAAGACCAACTTGAACGGGGACTGTCGCGTATTTCGGGGCAGCCTCTCTTCCATCACCGGGCGGCATCCTCCCGGGTCAGATCCGGCGGAGCAGCAGTGCCTCATCCCCGAGGCGGGCGTCAGAGAGAGTTACCCCGGTGAGCACAGCCCCGGGGCCCAGCAGCGAGCAACGGGTGGTCTGAGCGGCGTAGCCGGGCAAGGATATGTGTTTGACCAGACGAGTTTTATTAAGTTGGAGGGCACCGAGCAAATCATACCTGAGGACGACCGGCTGTACCAAGCCGGCTTCATGCACCGGCAGTTTGGGGCGATGCTCCAACCGGGTGTCAACAAGTTCTCCCTGCGGATGTTGGGGAGTGAGAGGGCCGTGGAGCATGAGAGGGAGCGAGTAAAGTCTGCTGGCTTCTGGATAATCCATCCGTACAGTGATTTTAGGTAATTTGTGTGCAGAAAATCTTTCTTTACAAACGGGGCTGTTTTTGGAAAAACTAAAAAAAAAGTGCAGCAGTGATCCTGTCACACATATTTAGGCTTGTTTGACATAAAAATGTTGAAAACCAAGTCAGGTCACTATTAACTTAATATCATAGACACACACTGATCCCCTTTACAAAGGACTGTTTTTTCTTTCATCAATGTGATGATGTTATGATAACATGATAATCAGGTGTGTGAGCCTGTGCAGAATAGATATCATAAGCTAAATGTGCCTCGGTAGGCTAATCCATACACGCCTTAAATAGATAAATGGCTTAATTTCTAAAAAAATTATCCTTTTCTAAAAACTAAATCACTCGCACTGTACAGGCCATTCAGGGAAACATCTGTAAGAATGTATCGCAAAGGAGTTGACTGGCATACAAAATCTCTTATTAACACAATGACAGTCAAATTAAATCATACAGATGTGGAATATAAATCGATATTTTGTTTGGCCTGTGGGAGTGTTTAGTATAGGCTTTATATGACAATCTAACAAGCCAATTGTCTCTGCCTGTAAATTCAATTTGTGCAACAAACTAAGCCAACCTGTATCCTCTAATTTAACACACACGCTGTGCTGTGTTATGCATACATGCATGTTCTACATTTCATTGAACGCTGCATGCAAACCAGCATTCTGTTCATCACGGCCATCAAGGGATTTTCATGACATTTAACCTTGACGCTCACTGTCATCATATTTTCACTGGCCAGTTGTATGCCGATGTGTGTCACTGCAGTTTTTTTTCCACTCATCTGAATTACACTTTTTTTTTTTTTTGATCATTTAGCGAGGGCAATGGATTACAGAGAGTGCAGCAGGGGCTTGGAAAAGGGGTAATCAAAATAGGGTAACATGACCATTCGAGATATTAGAAGCATACATCAGTGGAGATTATTACAGTACAATTAGTCTAATGGAGCAGAGATGGTGTGGACGGGGAGGGGACACTCCACAAAACACCGAACACACAGAGACTGAGTTTGAAATGGAAATGATGTTGAGAGGAATCAGGACATCCAGCTGTTACATGTGTTATGAGGTGTCATTACTTAAAGCCCAGTTTGGGTCACTCTCTGAGCTTTAGATAGCAGGGTTCTGTGCCTCTTAAGGAGGACACTTCATCCCGCAGTTTCCATTTTAAGTTACCGGTAACCTAAAGGTTATTTGGGTCTTTTTAGCTTTCCGAGAAACTGTTGTATCCAATCCTAAAAACAGTCATCTTCACTCACTGTTTCCATGACCACTGTGCATCGGCTCAGCAAACTAATGTACCCTCTCCTTGTATCTTTTATAAAAAAGTCTGTGTTGTTTGTAGCATAAGTAACTGCTGTCTTTTAGTAAAGCTGTCCGTGGATAGAGCAGCAGACATACTGAACTGGCACGCTGCGTAAATATGGTTAATATGATTGCTGGTGGGCCTGAGCCACAGTACAGGTGTGTGTTAAGCCACTGAGCTGCATGCAGGCTGTTGTGCTTCAGCTGCGCTCTGGCATCAAGAGATAAGTATCTCTAGTACAAATGTGATCCCTTTTTCAGCTGTCCTGATTGATCTAAGCTCCTTTCACCATTTTAAGCCTTTTTGTGTTCACTTTGCTTGTAACTCCCCTCTCTTTGTGCTCTCATGCTCTTTAATGTAGTTGCACTCTGACCCAAATAGTGCAAGATTCCTTTCTGGACCAGTAGAGGTCTTGAGACCCCATAAATGTCAGTTGTATTTTGATGGTAACACCAGATTGTACCAGCAAGTTGTCTGATCTTTGTAGCGTGAATGCTGTGTGCACAGTCAGCTGATCACAGTCAGTAAAATGGTCTACGGGGCAGTAATGCACTGTCCCCTGTGCAGACCTTTTATTTTTTTTTGTTTGGTCCAGCTGTTCCAGGGTTCTGCAGCACGGTGACGTGTGCAGAGTGGTAATGCTAACTACTCAACATCTGGCTGATGGGAGCTGACTTCTGGAGATGACATGGATTCCCAGGAGATAACGAGAGGATTTAGCGAGAGAGGGGAAGTGCAATTAGGACCAGTGTGTCACCACAGAGACAGGCAGATGAAGAGAGGAACGCAAATGCTTTGTTTGGCAGAGAACAACGGAAAGCTGATAAGAACAAATGGCCACAATGTCCTCACTGGTTCCCTCTTTTTCGTGATGCTCGCCTGTGAACCTTTGGTGTGATTAACTAGAATAGGTAACACTATGTTGGTCACATCTCTACTGTTGGTGGCATACTTCCTGGAATCCCATTTGAGCCCAGAAAATGTCACATTGACCAAATTGACAGGAACACAGATAAGCTCCCTGTGGCTCTTAACTGCAACATCCATTGTTATAATAATTATAGCACACTACTCACATTTAGTCAAATGCTTTTATCTCAGTCAATCATGAACTGAAGTTTTGAATTATACCTGTTGACAAGATGGTGACGCATTTATCCAATCCACACTTTTGAAAATGTTGCATTCCCTCATCACCAGTGTTTCCCAAAGCCCAATATGACATCCTCAATAGTCTTGTTTTATCCACTTAAAGATCTCAAAGTTTTTAGTTTACTGTCACAGAGGGAAATATTCACAGTTAAGAAGCTAGAAACAGAGAACTTGGACTATTTTCTTTTAAAAATACTCAAACTGATTAATCGTTTGGCAATTTTTATTTAATGGTTGACAACAAATTGATTGCCGCTCTAGTCCAGCTCATACAGTGTGATTACTGTATGCGGCCTTAGTTAGTTAATTGGTGTAATGCAGTTAGTCTTGGCTTTCATTTGATTGGCTGAGCTGCTCATGGCTGTATGTTTCCTGTGAATTGTAAAGTGCTCTGATATCGTCCTCTGTTATAAGTCAGCTACTGCAATGGGAATTTTAAAGCAGTCTAAAAAGATAAATAATAAAAACAACTGACAATAACAAATATCACGATAGTAAAGAGAGTAATTTAAACAGCTAGATATTAAGCTGTTGGCAAATATTTGCAAGATTTGTTAATGAAGCTATGAATTTGAATATTTTGCAGTACTTTGAAATCCAATTTGCTGACTGTGAACAAAAACTTAACACAGCGCCTTTTTCAAGCAATTCCTGATGAAATCGAACACTCTGCTGCTGGTACTTGAGGATTAAGTTAGTTGTGAAAATCAATATTTCCTCATGAGCAATTCAGATGAATACCAATAACTAATTTTCCTCTCCATCCCTGTGTCCAGAAACCCAGTATTGAACTGAATGAGATTGTTTGTCATGTCTTGCTTTGTTACGGTGTATGCTCAAACTGTTTGTTTGCATTGTTTCTGCTCATTTGAACAGTCTAAATCTACTTAAATTAACTGGATTTTGAGTTCCAGAATTAGACCTCAAGTTGCACAGAGATTTATTTCTATTTGAAGTTCCTACATGTCCAGAATTGCTTTGAATATGCAGCACATATTTAGTATGCACATAGACACACACACACACACACATTCAGACTCTGGCTAAAAGTCTCCTGTGTGAACCGAACGGCAACCATTGATCAAATTGGTTTCTGTTCATAATCTGTTCCTGTGTCAGGATCTTTCCACCATTTTACTCTTTACAGACCATAACGTTTTCATCTGCTGATTATTATTAATCATTTTGTCAGTGAAATCTACAAAAATTGTGAAAAATGCCCATTGTAATTTGTCTAAAATGTTTTGGACCAAAACTCAAATATAATCAGTTTACGATCACATGACAAAGACAAGCATTAAATCCTTGTATTTGAGAAGTTGTAACCAGCAAATGTTTTTATTTTTGCTCTAATCTCAATGAAAGTCATACAAATGACAAACAACCCACAAAAATAATGTATTAATCCACGCATAAAACATTCAACGCAGTTATTTTGTCAAAGGAGTGAACCTGAAGGACCTTCCCCCGCTGTTTTCTACAACGTGAGTTATGTGCGTGGCCGTGTGTTACAGGTTCTACTGGGATCTGACCATGCTGCTGCTGATGGTGGGGAACCTCATCATCATCCCTGTGGGCATCACCTTCTTCAAGGACGAGCACACGCCGCCCTGGATCGTCTTTAACGTGGTCTCGGACACCTTCTTCCTCATGGACCTGGTCCTCAACTTCCGCACGGGGATCGTCAAGGAGGACAACACGGAGATCATCCTCGACCCGCATCAGATTAAGGTCAAATACCTGAAGACCTGGTTTGTGGTGGATTTCATCTCGTCCATACCCGTGGACTACATCTTTCTCATCGTGGAGACACGCATCGACTCAGACTTTTACAAGACGGCCCGAGCCCTGAGGATTGTCCGGTTCACCAAGATCCTCAGTCTGCTGCGGCTGCTGCGCCTCTCCAGACTCATCCGCTACATCCACCAGTGGGAAGAGGTAGATCCTGCATGGAAAGGCTCTCTGGATCTTCATATACACGACTAATAGAGCTGCAACATTTAGTCAAAATTAATCAGCAGCAATTTTGTTAATCATTTTATTCATTTGTGTTAGAAGAAAAATGCCCCAAATTCAATTCTAATTCAAAATAATTTTGTCCTCTGACTAAAGTGCTGTACATAGTGAGATTTCCCTTGCATTAGCAGATTCCCCCTATCTTGTAATCTCGTCTGGATTACTAAATTCATTTTTTTCTATTTCAATGAAAATACTTGATACTGCGTATTGTAAAAACAAATGTGCATGTTCTTAAAGCTGTAGAGTTCATTTGTCGGTTTTCCTCTGAGGCTCACACACAACCAACTGACTTAATAATATATATTTTCCGGCATTATCTTATTTTTATAATTCCAGCTGAGGCTGCACCCACAGGCCATTAATGTTGCTTGCAGATTGTTACGCAAGACTGAAACAGCCTCTGGTGATCTATAGAAGATTAAGAACAGTATGGTCTGATGTAGGACCACTGTGTCCATCGGCCCACAAAGCACCTATTGTACATTTCAAATCCTCTGATTGCCTGCCAGAGAAGAGAAATTTGTTCTTTCAATTTTATTAATGCTGATAATCTGTGTGACAGGTTTTCCATATGACCTATGACTTGGCCAGCGCCATGGTGCGCATCATGAACCTGATCGGTATGATGCTGCTGCTGTGTCACTGGGATGGCTGTCTGCAGTTCCTGGTTCCCATGCTGCAGGACTTCCCTGCTGACTGCTGGGTCACTAGAAACAAGATGGTGGTAAGTGGTCTAAGTAGTCGATGGGGTCCTGCAAGAACACAAACTTTTTAGTTTTTTTCCTGTGCTCGTTTTGCTGGTTAGACGTAGGTGGGTCTCAACTAGAATAAGATGTCTCATGCTTCCATGAATCAGGAGTTAGCAACATTTAAATCAAAATAATGTAATGTAATGTAATTGTGGGTCTTGTTTGGTTGCTGTTAATCAAATCAGATCACAGTCCAAAGACAGCATTTTTGAATGGTAATCTTAATAAATAATATTTAATGGTATTTTATCCTTCCAAACTCTAATTTATTTAGTTGTGGATATTTTACATTTTTTGAGAAATACTTAAGTTTTGAAAACCCAGTCTTCAGGTGCCTATTTTTGTTGGTTAATAAAGAGATCCTTATAAGAAGAACAATAAAGAGATCGCATTCAAAGCAACTGCACATATTGCAGATGTCTTTGATTGTGTGTGTGGAGATGCAATGATTCAATTTATCGATTTGTTAGAACATTCGTTTCAGCCTCTCAAATGTGGGAGTGTGAATCTTTTACAGTATATATTACAGTAAACCAAATATCTTTGTATTTTGGACTGTTGGTCAAATAAAACAAGATATTTTAGTGCATGTCTTTGGGCTGTGGGAAATTATATCAGCATTTTTCATAATTTTCTCACTTTGTAGATCAAACAATCGATTAATTGAGAAAACAATCTGCAGATTAATTGATAATGAAAATAATCATTAGTTGCATCATATACAATATACAGTATAACATACAGAATATATTATTAGGTATACCAGTAGCTGAAGTAGACTTACACCAAAGAATAAATCAGGACAGTTATGTCAATGGAAAAGTCAACATGCATTTTATAAGGTGTTGTTTTCTGACAGTCTTAAACTGTGAATAGGCTCACATAGATTAATGTTGTGCTGATAAACATTCTCCTTCCTCCTCTTTGTCTCTTACAGAATGACACTTGGGGTCAGCAATACTCCTACGCCCTGTTCAAGGCCATGAGTCACATGCTGTGCATCGGGTACGGCCTGTACCCCCCTATCGGCATGGCTGACGTGTGGCTCACCATCCTCAGCATGATTGTGGGCGCAACCTGCTTTGCCATGTTTGTGGGGCATGCCACTGCACTCATTCAGTCTCTGGACTCCTCCAGGAGGCAGTACCAAGAAAAGGTCGGTGTTTGCTCTCTGCATGGCTGATATCTTTCAAAGAAATCAACTTTCTTTTTTATATGATCTTATGCATTGGTATAGATTAAACTACCCAACAGTATGAATTATTTAAAATTTGGCTTATACATTAATGCATCAATATTGATAATCCAATAATATAATACAAACCAATACATCAGTCACACGGGCCACAGTTTCTCCTTAATGATTACTTTTATTTTCAATCATTTAAGTACAATCATCTGATAGTACTTCTATACTTTTTCTTGAGTAAGATTTTGAATGCAGGTGTTTTACTTTTAAGTAACTATAACTTTCAAGTAATTTTTCCATTGGGGTACTGCTGGTTGTACTTAAGTTAAGGATCTGAATACTTATTTAAATGCAGTTTAAGGGTATAATAAGTACTCACATTATTGGTTGCTGTTTGTAAATACAGTATTGAAAATTCGCCCCTCCTCTCCAGCTCAGCGAGTGCGTGCATAAGTGAGTGCGTGCGTGTGTGAGTGCGTGAGTGCGTGTGTGTGTGAGTGAGTGAGTGAGTGAGTGAGTGAGTGAGTAACAGCAGTGGTTGCGTGAGCTAGAGAGTGAATAAAGAGACAGGGCCGCCATTAGTGAGAACAAAGCCATAAATCAAAAGTATAAAACGCTATTTTCAGATTTCTCACGGCGGTTATGTTCCAAAGCACAAAAAAAACACAACTACACAAACCTGCGGGTAGGTGCCGGATATGGAATGACTGCAGCCCACGGCACGCTTCATCCTGCTGTCAGTCAGGCCTGTTAGTTCTGTGAGCCTCAGTACTCTGAGGAGCGTGACATAGCGGCGGTGTTTCACCTTGGAATGAGAACGGGCTTATTAGCTGGGGGTTACGCTCCCACTTGAGGTCCAAATGCTCTTTGCCGACGCCCAGAAATGTCCCGAAAACATGCAACATAAGAAAAAAAGAGGAAATACTGGCAGAGGGCAGGGTCTCTGCAGATACAGACACTGCCACGCACTTCAAGTGAAGGGATGATTGAGAGGGATTCTTTTTTGTATCAGCCTATACATTTGTTGGAAATTGTTACACATTGTACCTTTAAATGGAAACAATGATAAGTTACATTGTGAGTGACAAAGTATTTGTGTGAATACTTACCCCACCTGTCATAAATCTTTAGGCATTTAAGTGAGAGAAAGCCCCACAGAGGGAGACTAATAGATGAGAAGGGATAGAGCAACATGTAAGAGTGATCACTGAAAGATTTGTGAGCTGCTGTTTGGGATTTTTAACATAGAAAACAGAGAGGCATCTGGGAGAGTTAAAGAGCTCGCTGATAAAAGCTAAACAGCAACTTGCAGCAGGACATAACTTACATAGATTGGGTACACGGACCATTCATGGTGCTTTGCTGGTAGAGTACACCGCTGAAGGACACAGTAGTTAATGTTATTAGCTTGCAGCCTGCAGAGCGCAACTGTATTTGTCAGATGGGACAGAGGCACAACATCGCTCTGTGGGCAGGTTTCACAGATGGCCCGACAGTTGACTGTTAACATAATGAGACGCATTACAGTCCACCTCTGAGCCAACACATCAATCACTTTAATACATTCATTCTGACATGACTTTGCGTTTTCTCTTGCAGTTGTTTACTTTAATACTTATTTAAGTGATATAATAATTATTATAATTGTCATTGTTGGTGTTGTTATTGTTATTTGTATTATTATTATTTTATAAATGTAATGCCTGTTTCGTTGTTGCAGTATAAGCAGGTGGAGCAGTACATGTCCTTCCACAAGCTCCCTGCCAACATGCGGCAGAGGATCCACGAATACTACGAACACCGTTATCAGGGCAAGATGTTTGACGAGGAAAGCATTTTGGAGGAGCTGAATGAGCCGCTGCGAGAGGTCAGAAGTCATCGAACTTGTTCTTGTCTTGATGATAATACTGCTGAGTCATCGTAATGTTGGCTTGGTAACACTTTATGTTTACTTTTACTATTTAGAATTTGTAAGCAGTATGAAACACAAGTAATAGGTTTATAACACAATGCGATGGAGGTGTCAGCAGATAGACGTGTTAATTAATATGTTAGTCAACAACTATAACTCCTCCTGTTGGTACCCTTAAATGGAGGCTGCTGTATAAACAGATAATTAATGACAATATAGTAAAGCATAGTTATTATTCATAGGATCATTTATAATTACTGAGAAACACTGTGCATTAACCACCACTTCAAACCTCCTTATATATCCACTTAAAACATGTATTACATGTGTACATACAGCTTATAAATGCTAAATAGAATTTTTGTTTGACGTGAGCATGCTTGATCTAAATGGTTTACAGTTACTTATTTACTCAATCTAATATGCGTCCCTTATTTTGCACGATAATATTAATCGTCATGTAATCTGATTAGTAATGGCTGGAGACTTTATGAGACAGAGATCCTCATTAACGGAGCACTAAGCCGTTAACCGCCCTGCTTTTATTATGATTTAAATGTACACATGTAGTTATACTACCATTTCTGATGCGAAGGCCTCGCCTTAACAGCTAAAACACTGTTTTGTGTCTTCTGCAGGAGATCATCAACTTTAACTGTCGCAAACTGGTGGCCTCCATGCCTCTTTTCGCCAACGCTGATCCGACCTTTGTCACCTCCATGCTGACCAAACTGCGCTTCGAGGTCTTCCAGCCGGCCGACTACATCATCAGAGAGGGAACCATCGGCAAGAAGATGTACTTCATCCAGCACGGTGTCGTCAGTGTCCTGACCAAGAACAGCAATGCCACCAAGCTGTCTGATGGCTCTTATTTTGGAGGTAATGTCTGCACACAAGCTGCTGTGTGGACTGCATGCTAATATATTGTGTAGCTGACACTGAGTCAGTATGGATGTATGTGAAGGAGTGCTGATAGTGTGATTTGTTTTGATTTATTTTGCTCCGGCACTCAGCAGATTAACTGCCCTGAATATTACAGATGGGAAAAATTGTCCACATCATCTCCTTAAAAGGGCTCGGGACTAAGAGGGGCAAAGCTTTGTGATCTTTGATTCTATTTGTGAGGTTTTCCTCGTTGTTAATGCCATATTTAAAGCTGAAATCTGGAACTTTCAATTTGTTGTCGCCCATGTTACATAGTCTCATTGTCTGTAACCGGCTTTGTAGATAAGGGAAATTTCATCATCAAATATCTACCAGGAAATATAAATGTATAAATTACTTTTAAGGCGGTGTGATCTGACAACTCAAGCAATTATTTCTAACCATATTTTTATGTTTAATGTTTACACTTTGATACAACCTGATGATATGGTAATCACAAAACATTTAATATTTTGGCTTACAGCTGCTCAACACAGCTGAACACACACACACTGATGTGATAGTGGTAAATGAGTACAGGAAATGTGTTTAAAAGAGAGAGCGTGTGAGTGTGTGTGTGTGTGTGTGTGTGTGTGTGTGTGTGTCTATATCCTCAATATGGCCGTCCTGAAAAATATGTCCACTTTACTTTTTTTTTTTTTAATGGCGCATTATTTTATTTTTCTGATCTCTGGCACGACAGATGAGGTCGGGACAAACTGTAAGCTGCAGAAATTGCATTAAGTGCTCCATCTGTGGGGTTCAGAGGCATCGGCCGTTTCATGTTTTATCTTCTCACACTAATAATACCATTTTTGCATTTCTTTTGATGAATGGATCTAAAAAATATACACGTGTCTGTAATGTATCACACAACATGTCGGAGAGAAGTGGAAAATCCTCATACAGTACTTCATATTAACTACCCAATTAAAAACAATCCTTGATGTTTTTGACTTTCACTCAGCAGGACGTGTTTCAAAGAAATGGTACAAATAATTCAACTTTTTCCCCTCTCCCCCCTGCAGAGATCTGCCTGCTCACCCGAGGCAGGAGGACGGCCAGCGTGCGAGCCGAAAACTACTGTCGGCTGTACTCTCTGTCGGTGGACAACTTCAACGAGGTGCTGGAGGAGTATCCCATGATGAGGAGGGCCTTTGAGACCGTGGCTCTCGACCGCCTGGACCGCATCGGTGAGTCACTTGCCTGTACATAGAAGCTAGTTTCATGTTTTACAGTTAAATATTATTAATTATATAAGTGTGATATTTTGCTTTGCTTTCTTCTTCATATATGACATTTAAAAACAAGGAGGTAACAAATTGTTTATAGCAGTCAAGCATTAATTGATTTGATTGAATTTATTTTCAGGACACGAAAATGAAATATTACAAAGAAAATATTACCAATCATACCACTCACGATTGATTAAAGTAAATGAGATAATTCTCGCATAATTAATTCATCCATAATCTTTGGATTAACGATCTTCTTCAGGCAGGAACTATGAATCCAATACCAAACAATAAAATCCATGACAAACTAGCCAAATTAAACAAGATTATGAATATGAAAGTTCATAATCTAACTCACATATGTTGTGTCTTTGTTTTTTGTGGTGATTTAAAAGAAATACATACATCCCCATTTGAGGCCAAATGGTCATTTTACTCCATCTAACACGCACTTTAAGGTGCTTAGGTGCTTGCAGGTAGAGAGTTGAGCTACACAGTTTTCTGTTTTGTGAAACATGTTGTGGAGTTTTGAAGTACAAACGTCACCATTTTCCATTGAAAGTGTTTTTATCCAGTTAATTCTTTATGAGGGACAATTAATTAATAAACATTTTTCTTTCATTTAGAGGAGGAGTTGTCTGAGCTGTGTGTGTAGAATAAGAATCATTTCATGGTTTGTACTCTGTACTAAGTTTTGGATCCCACTCCGTCTTTGCTGTTTCAGCCGCATTGTACTCTAACACGTCACATAAGAACCGGACATCCATGTAAATTGGTTGCTGATATATGGAAATTGTATGTTATGCTATGCTATCACATTTAAACTCTCTCTAGTTTAAAGCCGCAAGGCAATGGTCCTGTGGAGTAGTCCTCATATTTTGCAGTATATGCTCTCATTAATGAAAACAATAATTGCATGACCTTATTTGTGTTTTCTTAACAGGGAAGAGGAACTCTGTTCTGCAGAATAAAGTCCAGCATCACCAAAGTGCTGGCACTTTAAACTTCCAAGAGACCGAGATCATCCAAAGAATAGTGCAACATGACCGTGACATGGCCCAATGCACGGAGCTGATCCAGACCAGCCCACAGAGCCTTCACCTTCTCCCCGCTCCCCCATCACCCACCCCGATCATCTGGGCCCCACTGATTCAGGCCCCGCTTCAGGCTGCTGCTGCCACCACCCCGCTGGCTCTGGCCTTAGCCCACCACTCCCAGCTGCCCTCCATCCTCTTCCACCATCCTCTGGCTCCAGGCTCCCTGAAGGACCCCATCGGCCATCCAAAGAAAGTCCATGTTGGAGCGAACATGACCAGTAGCTGTGGTTCAGGGCCCAGTTCTCCCGTCAGTTCCAACAAAATCAGATCGGGGATTGAGACTCCCACATTGGCGTCACTCAGGGCACAGCATCTCGCAGCTGGGCCTGTGTCACCCACACTGCAGTCCCAGCCTGTCTTCACCAGCAGCCTGCAGCCTCTGGCCCCTCTGCCCTCACACCATCTCCCACACCACCCTCCCTACTCTGGCATGGCCTCAGTCTTCCCCATCGCCCAGACCACTGTCTCCTACACCTGCTCTGCCCAGCTCCACTCTCAGCCCTTCTACGGTCCAATGACCACCCCACCACACCCGATAGGTTTACTCCAGCAGGGGGCGCCGGGTAGGCTAGCAGTGAGATTCCCAACCCCCTCTTTCTCCACCATAAGCCCTCTCATCTCCAGCTCAGTCAACCCCATACTAAGCCATCTGCAGCAGCCCTCTCACGCCACCGTGCAGCAGATGGGGTACAGTCATGACAGAGCAGGCAGGACATCCAGTGGTCTGAACCTCACACATTTTCCCTTCATCACCAGCACTCAGTCCCCCACTGGATTTATTCAGCCAGGGTCTGCAGTTGTAGCTGGGGCCGCATCCTCCCTGGCGCAGCAAAGCCTTGCAGGTCTCCAGTCTGTTTTCCTCCCCCAGGTTCTCGCCGAGCACTCGGCCCTCGCCTCCCTGGCCCAGTATGGCTCTGCCGAAGCTTCGCCCTGCTACACACCTCCAGTCCATAGTCCTAGCATACAGAGCCCTGTGAGGGGAAGGACAGTTTACCACAGTGAGCTCCCCAGCGCTGTGGGCTCTCATAGCCCTCTAATCCTTCAGACCTCATGCCCTGCCAGGGTGGCCTGTACACTCAATGAGAGGGCCGAGTCCTCGGTGGATCTCTTTACCCAGGATATAAAGACTATCTCAGGCTCTTACAGCTCTTTACACCAGGAAAGGCCTTTGGCCATGAGCGGCTCCTCAGAAGGGGTAGCAGGAGGAACCAGCCCCTTCTCCTCCCCCATGGCTGTCAGCAAACCCTACAGCCCAATCCTGGGTCAAGTTGCTCCTGTCAGTCGGACACATTCAGGGCCTGAACCTCAGAACCAGTCCGTTGGTGTTCACTCTTCCCAGGCTAGATCCCCTGCTAAGATCTTAGAGACCGAACACAAGCAGTCCAAGCTTCCATCTAACTTGTGAGGTTCAGACACACCCTCCTTTAATGCCTGAACAAAAGGAAGGTCACCTCCTTATTGGCATTGTTTTAACCACTACTTTGTCAAATTTTAGAGTAGGAGGGTGTGTTATTTTAGACTGGAGATTGGTGATTTAATTTTTAATCAGACTGAATGGATCGGGGATAATCATGGACAATGATGGATATTTTTTCTACAGGATATTACATCTTTGAATATAGTAATACAATCCAAAAACCTATTGATGGATATATATAGCACCTCATTAAAATATAAATTGTTCTGTGTATTATATTATAACCACACTTTGTTAATAAGTATTTTGTTTGAACCCCATTGTTTAGCCAATTTTGTGTAACCTTTTAGCTACACCCGTTTAGTTGAACATTTGTCCACAGCTGTATCCCGTTATGATTGAAACCAAAAACGATTGTCCTCATTTATGTCTTTTCCCACCACCGAGTGTGTCGTGTGAATGCAAAGTTACTAAGAGATTAGAGGATAGAGAGACGGTGCACTTTGCTTGTTTCAGAGATCACCTAACATAATGGTTTGATGACGCCATGTCTTCCAAGATAGCTTTTCAGCAATATTGCACGCCCAAATGGGTCACACAAATCAGATCACACTCAAAAATAAAAAAAACTGAAGTAATGAATGTAATGTAATGTTTGTCTGTCTGAGTGGGAGAAGTAGGATTAATTCATGAATGTGTTGAACTCGAGGGCGTTTACAGTGTTCTGTAGAGAACTGGAAGGTGCAACCAGTTTAAGAGACAACACACATTTCCACAGCCGCTCCGAGACGCACCACTGATGCCAACTAATTTCAGGCTGACACTAACTTCGGTACAGAACATTTGTTTGTGTGCCATCAGCATAGTATGCAATAATCTGTGTTTTTTTATAGGTGTACAAAGGTACTGTGAATAGAAGCACTTGAGTCAATGAGGGAGATTCTGTTTTGAGTTAGAACAGATTAAAACAAGGGAATTCAATGGAATAAAAGCAATCGTGCATAATCAAACATCCTGAAACCAGCAATGCACTAAGACTGATCTGAATGTTTCTTGCACCAGTCAAAGGGCTAAAAGCAGTTACTTGGGCACGTGGTTACCGAGAAGCCCTGATGGGTCACATATTGCTGCATATTTACCTCTTTCATTTTATATTATTTGATTGTAAGATTTGACATCTGTTGTTTAACAATTGCTGCTTTGTGATGCTATGCTGAATCAATAAGACATGTATCACAGACTGCTTTTTTAAAACCAGACTCTTAAATCCTTCTTGTTAATAAGTTCATGTGTTTAGATGATACCCTTTTTTTCTCTCTGTGTGGACCTGTTGCCGGCGAGGAACTGTGTACAGGTCAAACCATCGGAGGATCCTGTCCAGTGGCTTTAGCTGCCTGGTTATTGAACCTGAGGTATGCTGTGACTCTGACCCCCCCGAGGGAAGAGAGATACTATCAGTCACTAGCCAGTCACTGCCGATGGGCTGGATCAATTCCTCATGACTATTCTCCTCTAACTCCGCACCACCACACCGCCTGCCAGAGGCATCAGCTCGGGTTGAGTGTGAGTGCTAGTTTGAGTGCATTCAATTTGTGTAGGAGAGGACGTGTCATTCATTTATTTATATATTCATTTCTCATTTTGCTGCCTTTCAACCAACAAATGTGAGGAATCCACCACCTATGTATGTTAGGCATATTTTATTTTAGCTACTAAATTCAGTGCAATAAAATAACATGGTCAATGATGCTCGTCTTAGCTGTTGATTTCTTTTCAAGAGCAGAGTGTGGAATGTAAGGAGAATCTGATGAAACCCTGGTGAAGTTTCAGACTTTAAACCGGATTATGAATTGAGAACTGCATGATGCCGACATTCAAAATAGCCAGGATTGTAATCTGCCAGATATTCGGCTCTGCTATGTTCATGGGTTTGATAACTGCTGGATTAATGCGTATTTAGAGCTACTGCAAGGTTTGATTAAAATTAAATTGATTAAGATTTTAAAGTCGATCCAAAGCAGACAGAACTTGTACTCAAGCACTGTGCAATTCTGAGATACTTATACTTTACTTGAGTATTTCCATTTTCAGCTACTTTATACTTCTACTCTACTACAGTTCAGAGGGACATATTGTGCTTTCTACTTCACTGCATTTGTTTGATACCTTTTTAGTTATTTTCTAGTTACTTTGCAGATTCAGATTAATAATACAAAATATAATCATCAGCTAAATTCTGATATATTATAATAAATAAGAAAAAAAATGTATCGATCACTTAATGAAATCCGCACACTGCCTAGCAATATATATAGTAAACAATATGCCCCATATTTACCATTTACACTTTGTACTTTAGGTAGATTTTGATACGAATACTGTTGTACTTTTTATTCAGTATGAGTCATACAAATATGGCTCGCTGTAATACGTAACATTAAAAATACTGAATGAAAAAAAGACTCTTTCTAGCTTAATGTGACGGTGATGACGAGAGGAAAACAAACACAGTTGACCCCAGAATTCCTTTTAATGGATTGAAACCCACCAGATGACTTTGTGCCAACTGTCAGTTCAGCATGAAACACTGGGCAAGACAATACTAGTACATATTTATGTTCATCCCTCGATAATTAATGAACCAAAAAACAAGGAAATAACAAAACATGTACTTTACAGTGAATGCAGAGAAACACTGATTACCACTCTGTTCAACATGCAAACTAAGTCGACACAGTCACGATAGAAAAGTTTCCATTAAAACGATTTAGACAATGCATTTCATTTATGGATAAAGGAAGCAAGGAGTTATTGTCTGTGAACGACACCTTCAAAAGTCCTTTGAAGGAGCGGCCTGGTTTTGATTTTCTGTTGGGGATGAAGACTGAGAGGAAAGAAAAGTCCAAAACAGTTTACAGGACAGGGGAGGGGGAGCGGTTACTAATGTCCTTTGATGGAGTTCAAGGCACCAGCACAACTCTCATAGTGTTGGTGTAACCGGTACCTGGGCGCCAGCCAGTCACAACAAGGGCAACATCTCCAGACTTGAAGAATTTGTGGTGCTTACCTACAGATAGAGGAAAGAGAGGCATTAGTGGAAAAATAAGGACTCAGTTAATTAGATATAAAGTCTTGTCAATTAACACATTTATCCCATACCTCTTGCTCCATAACAGTTTTACAATCCTCTATTTTATAAAGAAAGAAACTAATTTAGAAAGAAACTAATTTTAACAAAAAACACTCACCAACTTCCAGAGCAAAGTTCACACGCAGGTCAACGTCCTCGGCCCAGACATCGTTGGCAGGTTTGGTGTAGAGCACAGGGTAGATACCGCGGTACAGGTGGGCCTGGCGGGCGGCCTGGCCACAGCGGGTCACAGCAATGATGGGGGCACGGGGCTTGTACCTCGACAGCATGTGAGCAGACCTGCAGGTAGGAGGTACAAGTTTTTTCAAAATACGTAGAACTGAAAATATATAAATTTTAACCCTAATTCTAAAATGTGTGGGCAGTGGAAGCCAGTCGTAAAACACAACATTGACATGTCAACTTTTCAAGTGGATTTGGTGAACTTTATAGTAAACAGTTGCTTATTTGTACATTCAGAAGCTACATAGCGACATTAGCATTCATTTTAAGTTGTGTCTGAGTCCAATTGTCCAATATTCACACTCTTTTTTTGATTTTGACTAAATGGTCCACTATGTTCACCAGCTAGTTTCTAAATGTGTCCATCTGCTGTTTAGTGCTGAGCAGATGTGTATATTGGGTTTTTATAGCTTTTTGGCAGATGTAAACGATGCTATAAGGGCAGAGAAAATGAACCAACACGGAACACATGCAGCTGAACAATAAGCTGAAAGACGTTATAATGCTGCTTAGTGTTGAGGTGAAGAGTAGAGATGGGTAATAATTCTCTGTATCACGCCTTTTACATATAGTCATGAGATCCATTGTGAATATGGAAATGTTAATTATAGCTGTTTTAATTATGCCATTAATTATCATTAGGAAATCCATCCAGCTGACAGTAATACGCCTTCTGTATCATGTGGTGTGTGGATGATCTCTCAAGAGAGGAATGAACAGGGAGTTAAAATTAACTTGTAAAATGTCAGGGTTCAGATCTCAAAAGGTCACAAGTGGAGCACAGATTGTGAAAGTTGGCTCACTTTATCTGAGCCAAGGGCTTGTGTTAGGGAAGGAGCGAAGGCGGCGAGCTAGAGCGATGTCATAATGCACCACTTTCTTTGCTCACAGTGGGCACCGTGTAGGATATTATGAGTCAGAGCTTTACAGAGGAGATTTACAGGATAGACTTCTTCTTTTTCAAGTCTCACCTGCCAGACTTGGTGAGCACGATGATGGCGCTGGCGCAGCACTTGAAGGAAGCCTCGACGGCACCGATAGCTACGGTCTCTGTGGGGTCACGGGTCAGATGGGAGGTGCGACGCAGCTCCTCGAACATCTGCCTGTGGTACATGGCTGCCTCGGCTTCACGGGCAATCTGAACATGAGAACAGATCACAGTCAAGTCAGGCTGCAGTCACACAGCCAGTTTCAACTGCAGGAGTTAGTTTGTATTTCAAAGGACAAAACAAAGGGGCAGTTAACCTCAGTGCAGAGGTCTTCATACCTGAAAGCACACTGAGACATGAAGCTAAACAACAGCGGCGGCTGTGATGTCCAGGGACTGTTGCTGTGCACTGCAGATCCTCAGACACATGCTAGCTGAGTAAACACACACAGTTGAAGCACAATGCGAGACGACAGCAGATGGACAGGGGGGGGGGGTGCAACAGGGATACACAAAGCAAGTTAAACAAACACTAAACAAGCTGTCAGTGAAACCCAAGCTGGTACCAATGGTATCAATGTAAATGCCAATTTTCTCTTCCTTCTACATCATTTAGAAACTTAGTATTTATATTTACTGTCATGAGTAGTACATTTTAGCTAAACATATTTTATCAAATTTTGTATTAGTCATGATGTTGATCATGCACCTTTATGGAACTATACCACCAAAATTACACCAAATTAGACCGATGTGACGAGTAAAAGAGCTAAAAAAGATAATTATTTATTAAGTGCAAAAAGTGGCTTCAGGTCTGCACAAAACATATGCCGATGCATATAAAGCCAAAGAGGGCAAAACCATTAAGTTACCAGCACCAATGTGTTGCTTGATCATGTGAATTTGGTAGCTTTTGTCATTAAAAACATTGCTGTTTGGCAGCCAACTTTAATACTGATTATGCAGGCTTTCTCCCAGCCTCAAACACATGAACAGATGAGACACACGTGTGCTGGCACAATTTTAATGTCGAATATTAATTAAAATAAAACTGATCAAACCATGCAAAAACACTGGTATGGGCTTTTCAAATTAAGGAATGGGACCAGTCAATGGTGCTCTTACCATGTGCTGTGTGCGCACGGCCTCCAGGGGATAGTCTCCCTTGGCGGTCTCACCACTCAGCATGATGCAGTCGTTGCCGTCCAGCACGGCGTTGGCGACATCGCTGGCCTCGGCGCGAGTAGGGCGTGGTTTCTTGGTCATGCTCTCCAGCATCTGAGGAGAAACAAGACTCTCTGATAAACTGTTCTTTTTAAAATGCATTCGACAAAACAGTTGTCCACCTGATGTCACAGACCTGTGTTGCACAGGTGATGGGCTTGCCGACCCTCATGCACCTGCCAGTCATCATCTTCTGCGCGATGAAGACCTTCTCTGTTGGGATTTCAATGCCCAGGTCTCCACGGGCCACCATGATGCCATCACTAGCCTCCAGGATCTCATCGAATCTATCGGACAGAAAAATCTGTTTAACAATTTTTCAAAGATTCAGACCTGTGCAGATTAAAGCGTGACCGTTGGTAATGCCCCCACCTGCGCACACCCTCATGGTTCTCCAGCTTGCTGATGATCTTGATGTCCTTGCCCTTCTCGCCCAGCACTTTCCTGACAGCCTGAACATCAGCAGCCTTGCGGATGAAGGAGGCGAAGACCATGTCAACACCCTGCTCCACGCCGAACTCCAGGTCCTGAATGTCCTTCTCAGACAAAGCAGGCAGGTCAACGGCAGCTCCAGGCAGGTTGACGCCCTTCTTGCTGCCCAGCAATCCGCCATTCTCAATGTTACACATCAGGAAGTCCTTGCCTTAGGACACATGGAATGAAGCAAAACTTAATCTCAACCACTACGCAGAAAGGTGAAAGCAAAACCTTAATGAAAGCTAGAAAAGATGAACCAAACAGATGATTGTTTGTGTGCTTACCAACTTCTTTAACCTTGAGGGAAATCAGACCATCGTCAACGTAGATGTGGCTTCCTATCTGCACAACCTTGGTGATGTTCTTGTAGTCGAGCCACAGAACTTTCTCGTCACAATTCTCCATGAACTGGTTGTCGAGTGTGAGCTTGATGGTTTCACCCTTCTTGAGCTCAACCTCAGCAGTGCCACTCTAAATGAGAGCAGAGAGAGGGAGCTTGTTTGTTCTCAGACCTTCATATCAAACCTTGTGAAATGAATCAATAATGGCCTCATTTGAAGTCTTGGTAATTTGGCAAGAACTCACGCCCTTGATAAGTCCAGTCCTGATTTCTGGTCCCTTGGTGTCCAGAGCGATGGCCAATGGTCTGTAGTCAGCAGATCCGGCAACAAAGCTCTCAGCAGCCTCACGGACATTCTTGATGGTCTCAGCATGGTACTGCATGACGTGAGATGTTAAACAAATGTTATCACATTGAAAACCTCAACAGATCTAGAATAGCATAAAAAAGGGGCAGAATTTACATTAGTGACCTAAGTCATAATACCTTGTTTTATTTAGGTTCCTAAAATGCAGATACAACAGGTGGACAAAACGTGGTCATGCAGTCACAAGGGCAGCACGGTCACATAACTGTATGGAGTAAATCCTGAATGACAACTGCAACACATTTTTAGCTCATGACAGTTTTACTGTACACAAATAGCTGCCAGGGATTATATGAATAGTTTCCAAAATATCTGATTAAATATGATTTCATTTGATTTAATTTAATTCAAGCGGGGTGTTTGACAAATCCAATAAAAATCCAATACTTCTAATTTTCCACTTCATGTGATTGACATGTAGAACTGCTACGCTGTCCGCCTACAGCTTTGGATCTAGTAAATGCATAATACATGCAAAAACAACAAGTTTGATGTCTAATCCGCACAATACCACTGTCCTCAGTCAATAATGAACGCCTGTCTGTGGTTTCGCTACATGCCTTCTACTCGCACTGTTGCTGCAAGGCTGACTCTCACACAAGAACTATTTATAGCTAAACTGACAACTGACACACCAATGAGACAGAGGTCAGATCTATTTTGGTCCAAATCATATATCGATTTAGTTGTGATTTTTCTGGAGTTCTGATTATATATTTTTTATTTTTGACCAAAACACAGACTGGACAGACAACTCAAAAGCAACTCTGAGAGTTGTGCTACACTGAAAAAAAAGCACTGCTTTTAACCTTTGAAAATCCAAATATCAACTGTAGGTGTTCATACTACAGCTGAGGATATATTTGAAGGCTCATCCACTCAGGTGACAGTGAAAAAGGTAAAGAGGCATGACTTTTAAAGGCGAAGGGGCAGTAGTATAAGGTCGGCCAAACAGTTGGCAGTGATGCAGTTGGCTCACCAAATCTCAAGCTACAACACAGACCCGGTACTGAAGGGGCAAGTACAAGATCATAGATCACATTACAGCCACAGACCAGGCCAAGCGAAATGTCACACTGATGGCTGCAGCTGTAAAGGGCAAATCCACTGAATTACTTGCAGAGGGTCAAGAAGCTACTGCTGTACTGCTCAATCTGGGTTCCAACGCTGCACAAATTTGAATCAGTGATGTCACAGCAGGCATTTTTTGGCTTTGACTAAATCATCTGGTGTGATTTCAACATTTGGGATTGTGTTGCTCAGCAGGCTACACAGCTAAGGTGAAGTTTTAGAGATGCAAATGGTTTAAAAAGCAAGAATTGACCCACCTCATGTGTGCCATGAGAGAAGTTCATTCTTGCAATGTTCATCCCAGCCTTGATCATTTCCTTGGCCATGTTCACAGATCGGGAGGCAGGTCCTGCATCAAGACAGGTGAATCAATACGAGGCTAAATATGATGTTTGTAAATGACAATGAGATAATCTTTGTCGTCACGAGTGTGTAACAAGAGAAGAATCAACAGAGTTTGTTAATGAGTCTGACCGATTGTGCAGATGATGCCGGTGTTGCGAGACACAGCGGGTTCAGAGTCGATGTCCAGCAGGCACATGTGCTCAAGGAGCGTGTCCGCCATGGCAGCATGCATCTGCTGGGTGTGAATGATGGAAGAGCCCATATCCTTTGACTTCGACATGACCTGGATCTGGGTCTGCAGGAAATGTCCTGTGGAGACAGAAGAAACACGTGATCATCGATATTTTGAGTCTTGATCTAAATGGTGACACAAACGCTCCTGAAAATAAGACCTTGTAATATAAGCTACATTAACATAATACATTATCACATAAACGTGAGCACATACATATTGAAAGAGTGTGAAATGTAAATTAGAAACTATAGCAAGGTTCTAATGAATATCTAAATGTGAAAGTGTACACTAATAGAAAGGTGTGACCTCTCCAGAGTGACCGAACAGCCTGTGTAAAGAGAAACAACAACAGTATGTGCCTGCCTGACTGCACTCTCCCACATTCCAACGGGAGATTATGTGCAGCTGAAGAAGAGGAGCTGGTCACTTGACAGAGGCTAAAGGTAATTTACACAAAAAAAGAACAACTCCAGGAGTTAAGTTATTAGGATTCAGATTACAGTCGACTATGATAGAGGTATGCAACATGCATGACACATGTGTAGTCAGTGCATGGGAATCAATTCCTGTCTCCAGCATTAACCTAAAATATCACGGGCAGCTGAGAGCATTTATGGACTTTAGAAACATATCAGAAAAAAACACATCAGGAAAATTACCGTATTCATAATTACATGAAAAAAAGGCAGTGTTGTTATATAAATATTCACCAGACAAGGTCAAAGCCACCTCAAGGTATTTGTGACTAGTGCCGCCTACAGAAGCTTTGTGGAACAAAGATAATTGCAAAAAATAGTTTTGTAATAATTTACACAGTCACAGGTCATACTTTAGGCTGCTATTCATTTCATTAAGAAAGAAAAGTTTTAAAAAACATGCAGTTTGAGTAGAAACAAATTGTATCTTTGTCTGTAGAAGAAGCAAAGCAGAGATGTACAGGTTACCGATAAATATATAAAATACATACAATTAACAAATAAATCAAAATTAGAGAGCTGTATTGGACTTTACCCTTCTACCGTGTGCATAAAGGAACTGTAAGTGCAAACCAGTGCACTCTCCTCATATTTCAGATCAAAGTTACATTTCGTTACATATTTATTGTTATTATTATGTATTATGATAATGCACAACAACTTCAAATATATTAATAATGTTGTAGAAGTTATCAAAGAAAACGCTTAATCAGTAATTGAAATTAGTTTTTTTTTTGTTTTTTACTTTTTAAAAAACCTGTTAGAGAATGATAATTTGATTCAGACATTCACTTAAAACTACATTTCCACTAAATTAGAAATCTCCTCTCCACTCTCCAGTCATATAGTTGAGTGTTCTTGCTGCTACTCACCTACTGGGTGAATTTTGCAAGGATCAAGACGCCACTGGCTCAGTAGGAGCGACAGGTTTTATTCGCCTCACCAACCGGGACTACTTTCCTGTGCGAACAACGCCCAGTGATTCAGGATATAGGGCGCGAGAGTTAAAGTACCGTTCACCGTTGTGACAGCGAGTTGAACGTATGTTTTTCGTACGGAAGTTGTTTTCTACACCTAAATAATAATAAACAGTATGTCAAAATTCCAGATAAAATCACAGAAGTACAAATAATGTGGGAGGACACAGCGCAGGTGCGTGTGTTGTTCGCCTGGCCCAAAACTCTCCGCTGACGACCGAACATGAGCCTGGGTCTTCAACTTGGACCCAATGCAAATATTTTGGATTATACGGGACCAGCCTTTATTTCCTTTCCTGACCTCTGACCCCAACCTTCTCAACCCATGCTTAAACTCAATTATTATACTAAGTTAAAGTCCCACTTTTAACTTGAACATTAAACACAATCTGTAAATATGTTAAAGATATTTAAATAAGTGTATTGCAAATGTATTTATCAGTTTTCTGTTCTTTTGAGGACATTTTGTGAGTGGGAAAAACAAAATTCACCTACTTTTGATTTGTTCCCCTTTAGCTTCCTTTCCAGAATACATTACCATCAATATCATGCGACACCTAAAGGATGTATAGATAAGAAAAAGAAGAATTGATTTATAATTATATATAATTTATTATTTTTTACTTTATTTATGTTTTACTTAAAATAAATTATAAAATCGCCTCTTTTTTTGTTTGCCCTATAATCTTTCATTTTGAAGCTGACAAATCTTCTCTTTATTTTTTATTTTCATATGTTATACTTGGACCTGCAGGGCTGCATATTAGGTTGTTTCATGAGCTCAGTAGGGGTGGGATCGTGTCAGCATTCCTGCACCATGATATGACTGTCCAAATGCATTCATTTAGAGCTTGATATACTGTATATGATGCTCCAAAATTTAAATAAAAAGTGCATCCAAGCTGAAAATGACATGCATTGGAGGGTATAACAGCTGATGAGTCAAAAACAACAGTAAATGCTTGCAGAGATGGAAAGTTAACATCAACGTACTAACATATTACACAGATGCACAAATGCATGCTTAGTCAGGTATAGCCATGTCAGACATCTAAAGAGTACAGTACATACGTGTAACCCCATCGTGTCTGCCAATGTATGTTATGGTAAAGGTCTATATAGTTGAGCCATGCCCGGCTCCATGCCTGAGGAACATATTTGGAACATACGATAACGTGGCAAAAAACATAGGTCCACACAGTGCCATTCTCAGCTTAAATAATATCCTTAACTGGACCAGGGACATGTGGTGAGTCCTGAGAGAAAAGTTTTTAAACAACGAAAGTGTATTACCCATTTGAATCACCTGCTGCTTCATTGTCAGTGTTCTCTGCCTCTGGGTCCAAACCTGCTATTCCTGAACTGTGACGAAACAAACTGACCAATTACGAACCCAGCAGAACAATGCTTTTACTCCAAGAAGGTTTGTAAGTTTGATATGACTGAGGCAAAACTCATTGCTCCCCAACCACATCAGCAAGCTCAGCTTTTGGAGAACATCTCTACACAGCAACAGTGGTTCAAGGAGAGGGTGAGTCATTTTGTTCACCACCTCGATGCCATCCGGGAAAAACAGTTTACTGCAACCCAGCCCAATCGACTCAACACCAGCTTGCACCTGGCCTACTCAAAGCCAGCCTACCTCCCAGTCTACGAGGCTTGGCTTTGTGAGTCTGCAGCCAGCCTATCCTGAGCTTGCTCCATTGCTAAACTCGTCATGGAGAACCTGCCTGGCCCTGGGGGGACCTTGAAGCTTCTGTCAGGCTCCATCAGAAGAAACCTAGTGTTTCTTTAGCCATTGCCAAATTCTGGTTTCCTGTCACCGGTCTGGTCGTCACCTGTTCTTGCTTGGCTGCAGAAACCTCTAGCGGAGCTTCAGCAATCTCCTGTTTCCCTGGGTTCTGGCGCCAAACTCTGGGCCATTCTCTAGAGCAACTCTGCCGGTCTAGTCTTCCTCCAGTGGTCTGGCACCCTGGTCACCCTCCTGAGATGTCTTGCTCTGCTCCTGTCAATCCTCCAGGTCGTCCACCTGAGATCCCTCGCTCCACCTAATTTCTAGACATTTGCCCCTGAAGTTTGTTCTCCCTGTTTCAGTGTTCCTGGTCTGTTTTGGGGGGGTTTGCCTCAGTTGCCTGCCTGTTTTTGGACAGCGATCTAAATTTATTCAACATTTAAATGATCTATTAGCACCTGCTGCTTCTTCGTCAGTGATTACTGCATCTGTGTCCAAATCTGCTATTCCTGAACTGTGACAGCACACTAAATCTGCTTCATTTTTGAGTGTGCTAGTGAAGGAAACTCAAATTAAGATAATCAAATAAGTGGGGAAACATTTTGATGACTAAAGTTCAATTGTCAGGGACATTCCAAAAGTTCTGTTTGATATTAGTACATAAAGTACAATACTATCTCTGTCTCCCTCTCTACAACAACAGCTCCCTCTTGTGGAAGACTGGTTGAAGTGTTGTCTGGGTGATTCAAGGTGAGTCAACCTGCAGAACAACTGAAATGTGCTGAATTGTAAAATTAATATTAAGTTATTGTACATAAATAAGTCTCACTACAGTTATTACAATATCAGGTCACAAGACTTCTTTTTTTTTACTTTAGCTGCACCACATTTTTAAACCTATAATCTGTGGTTCAAACTCATTTTAAATGTAATGTTGTTTAGTAGATCAGTAGATATTGTACACAGCTGGTTGCTGTGGAAGTCTGATTATTGTATTACTCATTGTGAACCTGTTGTTTGTTTATCTTGTGGGAAGGACAGATGAGGCCTGAAAGTTATAACAGTGGGTGTATCAAATGAGAAGGGGGTAGATGCAACACAAAACTACACAATTTAAGACAATATAAATCAATATATCTGCTAAGAAATACTACTTTTGTGGAGCTCATAATGTCTGTTGTCACTGTGTCTGATGACTCACCTCTGCAGAAATTTCAGAAGCTTTGTATTCAGTTGCTTCATCTTCTTACTGTTCATGAAATGCCTTAAAAAAATGAAGTTTACAGTGTAAAGTACAGGGGTTCATGCTATTGTGCCCAACCACTATAAATAAACACCACCACATAACACCCACTCATGTCTAAGTGGATTACTCTGAGAAAATCACTTGTTGAGAGACAACTTGAATAGATGTATGCAGTCCTAGAAGTGTGTAATCTGACCAGACTGCAGAGCAGCAGGCGACTGCTAACAAGGGTAACTGACGATTAAGGTCAGACTACAGCACAGCAGACAGATAGGAAGACTAATAAATGCCAAACATCACACTTATCACCATCTTTCAAATGTGCCACCAGGGATCTTAGTTCTCATCGCAGTCTTAAAACTGATGCATTGACATGACTTTCCTGGTCTGGAGGATCGTATGACACACAGATCTGTTTAGTTTTTCTCCTCTTTTACTAAAGGAATATAGGCTGTTGGGAGGACAGCACTCATAGCATACAAACAGGACAGAGACACTGTAAGTGTGCATAAAAGCATACACTTGGCTAGACCTGGAGCTGCCGGTCTCCTCCTCTGCCTCTCCTGTATCAGGACCAGGTTCAGCTGATCAGGTCGTCAGTATCTGCAGCCAATCGTGTGGCGCTGAAGACCGAGACTGAACATGTGGGACTTCCTGCTTTTCAAAACCAGAGGGAGAGAGGACAGCCAAACACAGGCAGCCAGTCAAGCCAACAAACAGGAATATTCCTTGTTTTTGTTGTTGCAGCGTCAAATGTGGAGATGAGATTATTTTTATATGTACCATAAAGTTGTGTGTTCACTTGGAATATGTTGAAAGTTCTTCTCAGGAAGGAAAGGTAAGCGCTGTTTTTTGTCTTTGTGCCACTGACATCATTAACACATTATTACAAAACATGTTCCCGTCTTTTGAATGGTTTTATTTGCATTCTCAATAATGTAGATGTTGAGATAAAGGGAGGCAAATGAGAAGAATCTTGTTGATGAAAATGTAGCTTAAATTGTGAAGAAACTAGTGACAGTCATGTGTTAGTGTATGTATAATGTAGAGGTAGCTGAACTAATTAGGTCACATATGTGTTTAATTGTGTCAGTCACAGTGAAGGAAGAAAACTGTTGATTGCTGCTGAAGAAGTGCCAAAGAACTGAATGCATGGTGAGTTTAATATCCCTTACATTCTTAGTAAGTTGTTTGCATTGACAGGCTATACAGCTCTTATTTTTAGAACTGGAATTATCAGCCAATTAAATGATTTGTTGGTCAGAATTAATTTGCAACAATTTTGATAACAGTTCAATTGTTTGACCTTCATATGTGTTGAAATCAGCATCAGTCTCAGCTGCACGGTTGGTTGACTTTGTTTGTGTGGACAGAAGGAGCTAATTAGTGGTGTAAATAAGAGGATCTTTTGATTGACATGTTTCTCTCATTAACCCGACAGGAGACTGAGAGCCAGCAGTGGACAGAGAGCCAAATTGATGAGGACAGTGACTCGGAGGAGATCCTGTGTAGAATCCCTGTAAGCATGACTTTGTGCTGGTTTGAATGTTATTTTAGCACAATCCCAATCTTCATCACACACTTGAGTGAAGACACCAACAGAAAAGGTTGCGTATGATGTTTTGATTTAAAAGTTATCATATGCTGGATACTGGAATGGCAATTGGTCCCTTTAGTTTGCATGTTGGGGAGTAAAGTTTGGATTAAAATCATACTTGACACGTGAAACCAGAATATACTTAATAAATAGTTTATAACACTATAATATAGGTAGTAACAGCTATAAGACCTTTTATTCAAGTTTGTATCATGCATTTGGAGACGATTATAATTTCTAGTATACATAACAAACATACATAACAGAGAATAAATGATCAATTACACACTATAACATATTTATTATATATGACTACGCTCAAACAATCCACAGTGTGTTATAAAACATTTATTAGCTCTTTATACGCACGTACAGATCATTTTCAATCAGGTTTTAAACTATTCATAAAAGTGTTACTAGATTTCTCCTGGCCTGTATCAGCAAATAGACTGTATGAAAATAAAGAAGTATTTATAAATTGATAAATACATATGTCATTAATTTATATAAGAAACAGTACTCATCTTATGTGTTTGTTTGATTAATTTATTAAGCTGCACAGGTATCATGCAAATACAGTTGACAACACTTAAATGTTCTGTATCTACTATGGTGTGTTACTGTAACATACAGTCATAAAGCATTTTTAAATGTTTATATGCTGCGTATATACATGCCAAATAGAAAATAGAGGTTGATGGAAATAAAGTATTACCCACATTTTGTATCTTAAGGAGGAGTAAAAACCATCTTCTTAGCCATTGTGGTGCTGAGCTGCTTGGACCATAAGGCAAGTGTGTCAGTGTTTGTCTCGGCAGGAGAGCTGTGCCACCGACCTGGCTCACCACCCTCAGCTGGAGACTGACATTGAGGCAGTCAGGAATTTGTATTCGGACTCTGCAGCCTCCATCAGGTCAGAACATCTTATCTCAGAACAGGATTGCTGCTGCTTTTATACATTGTTAAATTTCCACTTCCTTTTCTTCTTCTAGGGAATATGGGTCAATTGATGATGTGGATGTTGACTTAAACATAAATGCCAACGTTTTGGATGTAAGTTTAATACAACTCGCTAGGGCTGTCCTCGACTAAACTAAATCTTAGTCGACTAACATACAATTTTGTCGACTAAACGATTAATTGATCTAATAGACAGATCTGTAAAACTGAGAATAATGCTAAATATAAATATAAATATTGAGTTTACCAGAGATGTGCTCATTGGTTTCTTGGAAATTAGACATTCAGCATGACAAAAAGCATAAAGAATGACTAATCGAATGAGGAGATCTTGTCTTAGGCCAAAACAACTGATTAGACGACTGATCGACTAAGAGAGGGCAGCTCTACTATACACTCAATTCAAGTACAATTGACATGTTTGCTGTCATGGCTTCTTGTTGTGTTTAATACTGTGATTGTGCTGTGCGGCGTCTACAGGAGGAAGTGGCCAAGGCCTGGAGCATTAACCCATCAGAGCCCATCGTTATCCGTCTGAACTTTTCTCCATCTCAGTATCTGGACGGACCTGGTGAGCATCAACAATACTGCTGCCTACCAGACTTACTATTTAAATTCCCTAAGTCAATGTGACACCTGATTAAGTGATGTTTTTACTCCACAGCACCTTCAGTCAAAGTCTTTCAACCATCCAACACCGATAATTTCAGCCTCAGGAAACAATTACAGAAGTGAGTGTTAATAGTGTAATTTTCATGTAACAGGCTCCCCTCCACATCATTACATATGTCAGTTTTTAGATGATAAACTTTTTAGTTCAAATATGGATGAAGATTTGAAGCCCTATCTATGGTATTCATAGCCTATTGCTCAGACTAACTCTTCATGACTGTCCCTCAGTGTTCTCACAGTCTTCTTATCTCACGAGTGGAAACATCTGACCAATGACAACGTCGTTGTCCGACAGAAGAGAAGACACAGCTGGTTCAGGCCAAGAGGAACCATCAAGAAATTTCGTGCAAGACTTAGCATCTGGCTCCCACCATCAAAGTATGTGACAATCTAATGAATCCAGCAGTTTTGTTGCTGATTCAGTCTCAAGTCTCTATTCACTGCTCCCTCCCTCACTGTTAGCCGGTCCAGTGTGCTAGAGGAACCCACTCTGAAAGCGAGGATCATTTCACCAGCGATGAACTGTTTCACAAATCATACAACGTCCTACGCCATCAAGAATCCCACAGGAGAGCTCTTCACCGACACACCCAGTGGAAAGGTGAATTAAAAAAAACACCTCTGTGACGTTCACTTGAAGAGTTTATGGTTGCTGCTGTGTGTGCAACAATCGTTCCAAGTCTTTGTCTCCTCTATTACTCAATAAGTTCTGTAAGTGTTTAATAAAAAAGGTTTGTGCTCCTTCTTCCTCAGAGGGTTGCGGTGTCAGCAGTCAAGTCATCAGCACAGCTTAGTACCAAACAGCTGATGGAGCTGCTTTTCTCCTCCCAGGCCATCAGACACTGTAAGACCACCCCAACTCTGCAGCACGGCTTCTTGGTGCAGGTAAAGAATAAGAACCCAAGTACTGTTATATTTTATTAGAGGGGGGGAATTAAAGAGTAACTGCACCCATAATCAACTAGTGGTTATAATATGCTTTTTAAATCATGTCTTTCATTGTGTTCACAGATAATGAGGTATGCTGAGCAGAGACTCCCCACGCTGAATGAATACTGTGTTGTCTGTGATGAGCGACATGTGTTTCAGAATGGCCCTATGTTAAAGGTACACTCCTACAAAGAAATGTATTGGGTGAAAACAAAAATAATGCAGATGTTGACTGTTATGACCTGTATGTGTTTGTAGCCAGCAGTTTGCACCAGGGAGCTTTGTGTGTTTTCCTTTTATACGTTGGGTGTTATGTCTGGAGCTACTGAGGAGGTTGCCACTGGTGCAGAGGTTTGTAACACACAAACACACTTTTAAAGGGCAGTCTTGGTGATCAAAATGTAAGATTGATGTGTTGCAGTAATGGCTGTCCTACAGGTAGTTGACCTGCTGGTGGCCATGTGCAGAGCTGCCCTTCAGTCTTCACGCAAGAGCATCATACTTGAACCGTTCCCCTCTGTTGTTGATCCGTGCAACCCCAAAACCCTGGCCTTTAGTCCTAAGGTATCAGCTGAACTAACTTAATAATAACTTCATTTGTTACGAACTATTCAATATGTCATATTTCTTTATTCTGAATGAATAATCTAGTGTTCTGTTTTGGCAGAGAAAGAGCTACGACAGGCTGCAAAAAGCGCTGGACAGTGTTTTGTTAATCAGGAGGATGTCACAGGTGACTGATTTTTAAATAAATCCTACACTCGTGACACTGGTTCTCCTCATCTGAGAATAATCTGAAAGCTGGTGAATGTCTCCTCGACAGCTGCATTAATATCAGAAGAATAAAACTGTATTTTTATCATATACAGGGTCCTTATTCTGAAATAAAGAAGCAGATGGACAAGATGGACCCTCTCGCTCACCCCTTACTACAATGGTGAGTGTCTCAATCTAAACATATTTTCTGATATTAAATCTGAATTTTTCTTAAATTCATACCCAGGTGTGTGTTTGTATGTTTGACAACAGGATTTTAGCAAGCAACAGATCACACATTGTCAAGCTTCCACTGAATGGGGTATGATAGAGTAGTTCACAGTAATGACATCTTAACATAGTTGCATGTTTCAAAGCAATAGTAGTTCAAATTTGCAGCCAAATATGATATCATAAACTGTGTTTTATACAGTGTTATACTGTTTAATTGTATTTTGTTTGTGCTCTCTTTTAATCACTTTTTTTTCCACATTAGCAACTTAAGTTCATGCACACACACCATCAGTTCCTGTTGATCAGCAGCCCTCCATCCAAAGAAGCTCATTTTCAAACTGCCAAGAAACTTTATGGCAGCACCTTTGCTTTCCAGTGAGTAAAAGCTGTGCCACTAATATAAAACCTTCATATCAATACAACAAACGGAATATGAGCCTGGCTTCATATACTTAGACCCTATATTGTCTCTTCTTTCAGTGGTTCCCACATCGAAAACTGGCACTCAATTTTGAGAAATGGATTGATAAATGCCTCTTATACAAAATTACAGGTACCATATGAAAATACAAAAGGACTTTGTATTCCTTGAGCTAAGTTGAAATTAGCCTTTAAATCGAATGTCATGTCCCAGTGGAGATTTGAACAGAGTTTGGAGTTTATCTTGTTAGACTTGGATCAAGTGTACAGTTAGACCTATGAACAATTAATTATTTTAAATTAAATAATGAATTAGTGTTCACATTGTATCTTCTTTAAGCTTCATGGAGCTGCATATGGGAAAGGAATCTATCTGAGTCCTATCTCATGCATATCATTTGGATACTCTGGTATGAATGCACAATATACAAAAATTACCATTATTTATTGATTCTAGCATCTTTTCTTTTTAAACTAATCCTTCCTGTTTGTGCAGAGATGGGTAAAGGGAAACACCAAATGCCCACCAAAGAAGAACTCATAAAGAAAAACAACCAAATAAACAAAATCAAACAGGTAGATCATCATTAACGTTTGTCCAAAATGTGTCTACTTGCACTCTGTAGGATGTCTTCTCTTGTTTGTTAAATCTCATCCTGCTCTCCTTGTCTTAGGACCAGCATGGGCAAGCCAGGTTTCTGCAAAACAGGGATCTAAACTGCATTGCTCTCTGTGAAGGTACATTTGAGATACAAATACATACATGTTACAAAGAGCCTTGCATTGATAACATTAGGAATGATTTTTTGACAAAGTTGTCTGCATGTTTTGACAGTCGTAACTTCGAAGGACCTTCAAAAACACAGGAACATTTGGGTGTGTCCAATATCCGACCATGTGTGCACACGTTTCCTCTTTGTGTGAGTACAACATAAAGCAGCAAAGACAGGAATGCCGGAGAAACCTGTCAGTGTAATGATACATTGCCTGACTATATTGCAGATTTCTACAATATTCTGCTTGTGTCTTTCTCAGGTATGAGAACGGCCAGGTAGGAGATGTCCACATCGACACTCAGGAAGCCAGGATCCACAGGGAGATTTTACAAGTACTAGCTTCAAACCGTGCTGAGAAAACAAAGAATGATTTATGATATGATCATGATAAGTGCAGATTTCCTTTTTTTTTTTTTTTTTTAAACAAACTGAAAATAGATTTGTTTCTTTGTGGCTAAACATGGCTTATGGTTTGACAAGTCAACATAAAAACAATGCTTTACGTTACGTTCATCAGCTTTTGTTTGTTTGAATGAGAAACGTTAACTCAAAGGAGGGAAAATACCAAAAAGATAAACTGAGATAATATTCAATTGATGAAGCTTGTTTGTTTTGTCATGCACCTGGAAAAGCTTATTTGCCTTATATCTTAATTTACAGTCTGGTGTCGTTTCAATCTTCGTCTCTGTATTGTAAACTTATATTTTGTACGTTTTGTAGCATGCATTTTTTTTAAATAAATATTTTCAATATCTGCTAATTTTGTTCAACAGATCAAATATTTTGCTTCTACAGCTCGAAGGGCCACTTTGTTATTTATGTATTACTTGTTTTGTGCCACAAGATGGAAGTGTAACCACCAACAACTACTGAGCCAATAAAACACCATAAAACACCACACAGAGCCAATAAAACACCATAATGATTATAGTTCAAAATGTCTGTAAGTATATTGCCACAGATGTTTAAATTAGAAAGCATTTTCATCACATTAAAAACTTGAGTGTTGATATGATCCGGTGTTATATTCCATTTAGGAAAAACAACAGAAAACTGCCAAACACACCAGATGTGTCACAGGAGTCACACACAAACATAATCATATTTTATGTTACATGCAGCGGCTCCAGTGTTCCACAACTATATCATCCAAATGTTTTACAAATAATTAGCATGATGTGAATTCACTGAAACATGCATTTTATTGACATCCATGGACAATGGCTTATTCTCCTGGGAACCAATTGTATTTTGTTCTGAACTATATTGACACCACTGAGGACCACATATTTGTGCTCATTGTTCAAGTCAGTGAATATCATGGGGTGCATCCCATCCTGTGAGGCAGAAATGCACCATTATAACAGTATACTGGTTCCATATGAGCCCCACAGCTGCCTCCTGAACTCCTCCCTTGACTGCTTCTCTAAAGAAAGCCTCTAGGAAAACACATCTGTTTGCATCTGGATACAGAATCTATTCTTACAAGTTCTGGTTTTATGTAAGTTTGGCAAAAAACAAGCCCAAGGTATGATTGTCCTCATAAATGTCATTGACTCAAAAGAGGCACAAATGAGGGAGCAAGCATTTTCTGGGTCAGCCCAGCAGGCGATGGACTGAAGGGAGGAGAACTGTAAAGTTGCTGTGGTAGCCCAAAGGAAGACATTTTTCAAGGACCATATGGCTCTCTAATAATAGTGCAGAGGAAGGGTTGTCTCGAAAGCCATGATATGTTGACATAACTATTATATTATTTCTGAATATCTTCACCCCAGTGAGACTGTAGTTTGGTGCAATATAAGGCAAAAAGTTAATTCAGTTGAAACAACTGCACGCCTTGTTAGATCTCATTAACTCATGTTAATTCATCCATATAATTCAAGCATCCACATGGACAAATACAATCTCTGAACCCTTTAGGGTTTAACAAAAGCTACCCCCCAAAACCAACAAACTACAATGTGACAGACATTATTAAATGTTGCATGTGCCTTTAAGAGCACTTTGTCCCATTCTACATGTCTCTCTCTGAGCCTCATATGTGTTTGTTGGCATCAGCTGTCCTCAGTGCTGAATAGAGCAAGGACATCCTTTCCTTCACGTCAATGGGATTAGAGGAAGAAATACCCTCTTCATACTGCTGGCTCTCATCTCAGTGCTCAGAAGACAAAATGGAAATGCAGTACAGAGAACAGAGAGAAGATCAGGATAAGTCACAGTTTTTGATTACAAAGCTGATCAGTTTTTAATTTCTTAATGAATAAGAAACGTGTTTGTGATCTCAAGGGAGGTATGCAAATAATCCGAGGCTGCAGGCTCAGAATCCGCATCCTGCGCTCTTATTCCACCGCTCTCTAAGCAATGACTCAACCCAGGGGTCAGACAAAGAGTTCAGATGCTACAAGCAGCACTGTGATGGAGCTGCAGTCTGTTTCACTCGACCCTGATGTCCCATCTTCATCATTGTCTCCAAAAGTTGGCCACAGCAACTTCAGGAGAGTCAGCCGCACAGAGGACAGCAGTCCCTATCCGATCCCCGGCCTAGCAGCAGACATACTGCACATGCGAGTGAAAGAAGGAAGCAAGATCCGCAATTTGCTGCGGTTTGCAACAGCTCGCATGCAAGGGGAGGGGACAGACAGCAATGGGACATCAATGAGACAAGTGGTCTTCACTGGCTCAGGAAGAGGAGTCACCAAGACCGTCACCTGTGTGGAGATTCTGAAACGGGAAGTGGGAGAACTCCACCAGGTGTCCAAGCTCTACTACAAGACAGTGAATGAGGTCTGGGAGAGTCCACAACAGGGAGCAGCAGGTATAACCATGCAGAGGACAGTTCCTGCTATCTGTATCCTGCTCTCTAAAGACCCTCTGGATCCCCAGGAGCCTGGATATCAAGCCCCCCCGACCCTGAGTGTTCCCATGGAGGACGCAGAGAGACGAAGAGGTCTGATCAGGCCAGCTCACAGTCTCTCCTCACAGCACACAGCTAAGAGAGTCTGTCTGGATGACCTGAATGACTGAATGTTCTCCATGAACGTTTGACTACAGCATGTGAAAGATCATAAAATGAACATATACTATATGTCTTATATATTATATTTGGCTGGAACTGAGCGTTATTTTATTTGCCTAAAATATCAAACACCTCTGAATTTCAACTTTTATATTTTAATGTACAATTGTTTGCTCTTAGAGTGGACAATTTCCTCTGCCTCCGAAGTCAAAAGGGAGAGACTTTCTCTCAATTCATAATCTACAATTTGCGTCAGTGCACAGCTCCACTGAGAATGAATAAAGGGGATACTTTGAATGATTTGTAACAATAAATGTGCAAGGTTGGTCATATCATTGTAAATATAAACATCAAGGTTTGTATCATTATTCTGTTTTCTACTTTTGGAGGGAAATCATGTACATTGTCATGATAGGACCAGAATGTTTTGGTTGAGGATTTCTTTTCCTAATGATGCTGTCCGTTTTTACGGATATAACACTGAAATAAATTAACTGCATTTCAACTTTGATGTTTTGTTCTGTATTGGAGAGTGTGTACACATCTTTTATTTGAATAAAATCCCATAAGGTAGAATCAGTTTAAACTAAATCTGGAAATTTTAACAGAAACAAACCTATTTTACGCACATTACCGTCAGTTAATTTTGATCCAAGTTTGTTGTGTTTTGGGGTGAAATCTGTCCTCCAAAACATGTCATCTGGCAGACCTTATGTTCTGTGTTATAGTGGAATGCAACACAGTGAAACTGAAAAATAGTATCCAACATCACAAGCTTTGGGTCTATTTAACTCCAATTCTCTCATTTTCCTCCTGACAGAATATATCCTATAAGAGACCCAAAAGATAAATAAATCTAATATTGGTGTCGGTACTAGTGTGTGTAGTATTAATGATTGGGGTCATATGTAAGATAATTACAGCACATTTTATTCACAAGTAATGTCATAATTATATTAATTGGGTCTATACATGTATGTAAACAGTGAGAATAATAATATATGTATGAACATGTTGAGCCAGTTTCCCTTTGGGGCAACTCTTCTGAAAATATTGTGAGAACAAATATTTAAAAAAGACAAGTCACTTCATTGTATTACAGTATTTCTGGGTCAAAATCAGATCAGAACCTCTGCAGTCTGCACATGCGCAGAACGGAGATCGCGTACGTAACAGTCTAGGAAACTGAGCGCTAGCTTCGTCTTTCAAAATCTCACCGGTTCGTGTCGTGTTAGCCGGCTGTCCCACATCATGTTCAGAACCGCCGTCCAACTATCTGTCTCCGGGGTCCGGAGTTTAACCCGTACGCAACCAGGGTGTAAAGGTATGTGTTCACCTCTGAATGTTATTTTGGTTGCTCCTGAAGCTGACTGGGCGAAGTTCATACGGAAATCCTGTGTGGCTGTCGGCTCATGGCTAACGTTAACTGGTATTAGCTTAGCAGCTTAGCCGGTGTATCTTATCACGTATAATAACGCGCCTAACTGTTAAACGTGTATGTGTTTCAGTCAAACTATGTAAACTTGTGACCAATACTACTAATACCCTTAAAACAGGGATGTGTGCTGTTCTGAAAACGTCTCCGTGTTGAGCTCGTTGGTGTCTGTGTCCTTGTCATGACCCGGTTCAAAGGCTCCAAATGGGGCCTGTGTTTCTGCTGCTGATGCTAGTCGCTAGCATGCTAACTAGGTTAGTTAATTAACTGTGTTCTGCCAACTAGCTAACTGCTAGTCGCCAGTGTGCTCTTTACATCAACTTATAGTTTGGTAAAAGACAGGAAACACGTAGGTTAACTCTATATATAAGCCAAAACGTAGCTACATTATCTTCGTCAGGGAAGTGCAGCTGTAACGTTAGATGTAGCTGTAACGTTAGATGTAGCTGTAACGTTAGATGTAGCTGTAACGTTAGATGTAGCTGTAACGTTAGATGTAGCTATTATTACAGCTTACGTTATGTAAACTAAATGCCAATCGTCTGATTCCCACAGTCTCTTCAATATATTACGAGAACTAACGTTAACTATAGCAGAAATACAAACTTCCAGGTTGCCAGTGTGTGTTCCAGCTCGTGGGTGCAGTAGGTAGGTCATATCAGGACATTGGCAATGATCCAGATGCATTACATTACTAGACTGCACTTGTCCTTACTCACTGTAGAGAACACACCCCTGACTGTTTCTTGTCCTTCATTACCTGACACTAGGCACCATTGTAAATGCTGCATTTTATTGGTGAATCGCTCGTCCATCTAAAAGTTGTGTTTTCGTCATGCAGCTCTTTTGGCCTCGAGGTGTTACTCTCATGGGAAGCAAGAGACAGATGAGGAGTTTGATGCCCGCTGGGTCACCTATTTCAACAAGCAAGACATTGACGCATGGGAGCTGAGAAAAGGTATGTTTATAGATGTCGGACAATGATTTAAGACTTATGTATGTATTGAGACTTAAAGAATCAATACATAAGGTCCAACGGTCGTCGCCGTCATCGCAAGTCTTAACATGAGGAAGTTGCATTACTGTGATGAGATTGTAGATTAGATTTTCTTTTGTTCCCTCACTGGATATTACTTTCAGGAAGTACACTATAAACTGTATCGTAGTAACATTACAAAAATGCAAACACGGTTAACCTAACATTTTTTATTGAACTAGTATGCAAATTATATTTTCCATAAAATGTGCACTGAATTTTGAATGGGTGACATAGCTGATCTGTCTGTAAATGGGATCAGTGATGCCATGATAACTTAACGGGGGTGAAAAGCTCCGTCTACATTCAATACCAGGGCCAGGTTTTATTGGGACGTTTTCTATACCGGTGCCAATTTGTTTTGTCATTGAAAGGTTCTCTGTTTGATATTCAGAGCATCATTCTTGGTTAAGGCCACACTCAGACAGAGAACTGCACTGTGTGAAGAATGTGTGCAAGCGCACACTTCTGGTAATTATTTTGTAGTATGAAGACTGTATTTATACTGTTTACCTCACTATAAGATCATTGTCGCTGTGATAGATTTCCAGAGAATAATTAATCCTGTTACAAAGCAATTTTAACAGTTGTGCAGTGTTTTAAAAAAGCACAACAGAAGAAATGTTTTGAGTTACAGAAAAGAGCGAAACAGTGAAAAGCTCATTATGAGGTGACAAATGATGAGACCAGATACTTGTGGAAATTGTTCAGTAGGTACTCCTAGTGTAAAAATATAGAATATCGCCAGCCTTATCCTTTCAAGCCACAGAGGAAATGAAGTAAAAGTGTTCAAATCTGTCTCTGTTCTCCAATTTAAGAGATGTAATTTCTTCTTTCAGGGATGAACACATTAATCGGTTACGATCTGGTACCTGAGCCAAAGATTCTCGAGGCAGCACTGAGAGCCTGTCGGAGGTTAGACGACTTGGCCAGCGCCATCCGAATTTTGGAAGCTGTGAAGGTAAGAGGAAAAAGAGCCCCTCCTGAGCTTGGTAATATTTTTTTCGGGGGAATGTTGCCAATCAGCATCTTTGCTTATTAATCGTCATAAGTTAATGATTGATGTGTTTTAATATTTGTCATTTCATCAGGATAAATCTGGTCCTCATAAAGACATCTACCCGTATCTCATCCAAGAGCTGAAGCCAACATTAGACGAGCTCGGCATCCCGACACCTGAAGAGCTCGGCATTGACAAAGTATAGATTAGAAGGTAATGGTGTTCTCTGATCAGTCATGTGTGTTTTTCCCACATCAGGTTGGTCATTGGACGGCAATCTAACCGAAATGTTGTTTGTTTTGTTTCAGACCAAATGACGGTGGATATCCCCAGGACACAGAACCCTTGTACTTAGCTGTTTGCCTCTTATGATGCGTGTGATATTTAATTTGGCCTTTATGAAGTTCTTTTGCTTGTAAAATATTGATGAACATGATAAAGGAAAGTGTATCTTTAATGAGTGTTCGCAAGTATTTTGTGATATTTTAAATAGTTTGAAACAATACACTCAGTTATAAGTTGTTTAAATGGAAAGCACAGCGTCACTTGTATGGTTCGTGTCTGTGTGTCTGGACATTCTTGTGAGAGTCATATTTTGCCACCAGGGAGCAGCGTTTTCACATGAATGTAAAAATCATCTTACTGTATTCAATCTACATTACATCTGTTTTAATTTCACGGAAAATGTACATGCTTGTAAAATAAACGTGTTCATGTAATGTTATTACATCAATATATATAAATGGAATATTGCCCCTAGACATACTAAATATGACAACTTAAATTATTATTTTTTTACAAGATTGGGAAAGTACGAAATACTTGCAGTTCATGGACATTTCAGGATTTAAAAGATAAAGAATGTTGTGCTTAGTATTATTATTACTACCATGAATGATACTTTTTATTGGGATGAACAAAAAATACCTCTGTGTCAAACTAAAACAAAAGATGTACTCAATTGTACAATTTTTATTTTTTGTTGTTGAAATAACCTGATTTAAGTAAATATTTCAGAGCTTTTTTTCTTTACTGTAAGTATTTTCTGCTATTTGGCAAAACTGTTGTGCAGTTTAAAGGGATATTAACAAGTCAAAGGTATTTAAATGTGTTTGACGCCTGGAAACTCTAGTGTCCTTGGAAAACAATTACTTAATAAAGCAAGCTATTTTTGCCAACTTCAACATATAAATCATAAATGCATAAATCTGTACCATTCAGGGCTCAACAATAAGGATTGTCCACTTGCATGTGGTAACTAAAATGCCACGTTGGGCTAGTAAATCTAGCAACTGAGTTGCTCGATCAGGCAAGTGGTAAAACATAATTAAACTCAGTTTTTCTCCAGATCTGATGATAGAAATGGCTAAGGAGTGAGCCATCTTGCTTCCTTCTGTTGAGTTGCACATGTGCAATTCCAATCAGGCAGTCAAGAGAAAATGGCAGCTGGTAAAGAAAGTTTATGAGCTGAAGTGCAGGCAAGCACTTAAACTATATTGGAAACAGGATGTTTGTTGGGAGGCATCAGAGGATGTGGGTGAAACTCCAGATTGATTACTTAAGGATTAAACATGACAAATAACCGTGGCCTTTATTTGATAACTGCTGATAGTTCAAATATTTTTAAAGGGGCAATTAAAAATGTACTTTGGGCAAGTAGATTTGTGAGCCACTGGTCCGAACTCGTGGCATGGAGAAAAAAAAAACATGAATGTGAAGACAACCAGGAAAAATAGAGGGGTAACTGCTAATTAAATTATTCACGATTCTGCTCCTGCTATGAGGCCACTTCGAGTCAAATTGTACTTATTTGAGGGGAATTAGTTTAGTATGTTTTGCCCTTTTCAATTACAAGAATTCACCATTTAAAAGCTTGTGTTAATGAATTATGTGATTTATTTCTCAATTTAAGTAAAGTGTCTGCCTAACACTCAGAAAAAGACATCTTGAGCTGAATGAAAGTATGAATTGAATTCTTGATGTCAAAAAGTAGTTTATTCTAAACCTTTTGATCCACCAACAGCATCTACCTTGGGTTTTATATAGAGGCGTTACTATAAGCAAGGTTCCAGTACTATATCACATATTGGGCTGCTCTTGGTAACAAAGTGAGATGTTCCCCAAGTTGCAGTTAAAATAGTTTTTGTTGCCAAGCAAAAGTCAGAAGCCCCATTTGTTGTTTGAGCTCATTGAAACCATTTAATACTGAGTGATAAAGTTGATCTGACTGCAGCACATACATTGACGGTACCACCATGACCGAGATGAAAATGGACATTTCGTTACAGTACCTCCAACAGATGACCTTTGCCGGCTTCTTTTATACACTTTTTGTGAAATGTTCCTAATCCTGCCTCCAAAGAAAAAAAAAAAAGCACAACTACTGAACTATGACTTTATAGACTGAATTAACATGTTTCTGCCGTGAAATGTAACTGATTTAGCGGTGGAGGGGGAAAACGTGTCCTGTGGCAGTTGAGTTACAACGTGAATGAAGCAGCTCCAGACTAAAATGTTTTTTTTCTTCATATTTTTTAAGTAAAGATCGTGTTGTCTCAATACCCAGTAGGATAACAGCAGTGGGTGGGATATCTTTGTGAAGTGGGTGGGTAAAGTTCCACAGATATGCCAGAAAGAAAACCCACTTTACGAGTTTTACGCACGGGGCGGGCCTTTCATTCATGCGAGTTGGGGGTGTAGGCCACTCAGCCAAAGACAATCAAAGATGTTTGAGTTTCCATGCGCAGTGACCAGGGAGGTAAAGCGCAGAGCAGTTTTACCCCTCCTCCAGTTCTAGCTCCGAACACTCAGGCCTCCGAACAACGGGGGCTTTTAAATCACATTTGATCAGAGGAATCTTTTTTTCCGTTAAAAAGAAACTGATCATGCGATGCGATTTATTTCTGCCGGAAGGAAGAAGGAAAAACTAGATATAAGACCTGTTGGCGATGATGGATTACTCAAAGGCGCAAATGGTGAGTGTCGACGACTCTCTGGTAACGCTCCTACTCGTGTTTGTTACAGTAACAAAGCCAATGGCGATTAATCTAGACTTTTTCAGGACCATTTGACCTTCATAGACTTAATTTCGCTTTATTTTGGAATTAGGTTAAGCGTTTTCCATGCTTATTAGTGTAGGCCTTGTTTTCACATTAGCCGCACTGTGGAATAATTAATTTTCCATTTAAAAACCGAAAAAAACTTTGTGAAATAACCTAACCCTAATCCTTTCATAGTTAAGTAGCTTTTAACAAAAGCGAGGATACATAAAGTCTTAGTCAGAAGCATTCTTTTATCCTGCTACTAAATTATTCTCAACTAAATGAATGTAATTATTGTCTCAAGCTATTAAGCTTTGTCTCACTTGAGTTCCAGACAGCTTCTTTTTTAAAGTTTCCCTTTATAAGACTTGCATTATATTGTTTTGTATTCCAAAACAAATATGTATAACTTTATTCAGACAATATACGTAGTATTTAATCAACACATTAGGTTCATTTGTCTCTTTTAGCCTTCTTATACTTGTTGAATGCTGTTTCTTTTATTTCTAACTTTGGATAATCTTTTGTAGTATAAAAGCAAAAACACAAAATCAAACATTTTCTCATTAAGTTGGTGATTTAAATTTGTTTTGTTTTTTGTCCGTAGTCAAACTTATCCGAGGAGGGCAGTTCAGCTGGGTGTCCACAGTCCAGCAATGCCGGGGTGAAGCTGGAGGCGGTGATGGAGCAGCTGCAGAGACAACATGGGGCTAAACTGGAGATGAACCTGCAACAGAAACATCTTCTCCACGCCCAGCTCTTGTTTGCTCAACACGCTGCTGCAGCCAGAGCCTCTGGCTCCAGACTAGAATCCTCATTGTTTGGCAAAGCAGATGGACAGACTTATCAAGCAGCTCAACAAGCTTTGAAAAGCCATCTCAGCAGAATAGATCCAGATGAGGAAGATGAAGACTCTGATGAGGAGGAACAGGAAATGTTGAAGCCTGAAGAGAACGACGAGGTGGAGGAAGACGATGATGATGAGGAGGAGGAGGAGGAGGAGGAGGATGTGGGGGACGGGCCTCATCAGCAAGTGAAGAAGCCTGGACTCCAGCAGGTTGCAGGCTTCCCTTTCACTCCGTACTCCACACCTCTCTCGTCTGCTGTGAAGCAAATGTCAGAGTCTCCGCCTTTAGCAATAAAACAGGAGCATGAGGAGAAGGAGCTTCTGTCTCCTGCAGGCCAACACAACTTCACGTCACCCAATGGCTTCGCTGACTGGGGCTATGACGAGTCATTGAAACAAGTAAGTTATCTAAGTTAGCCATATTGTTTTCCTTCGCTGTTTTGTTTACCATCTTTCATTGTGAACGCTTCCTCTCATAAATTATGTATACAAATCCCATTGTAATATCTCTGTCCACTCTTAGATATGTTAAAGTGATTATAACTTCATTTTGAAGTAGCCAGAGCCTCAATTCAAGAACTGAACATCTGTGTCTCTCCCTGTTTGCTGGTGTGTGTTCTAACTCTTATTATTATTTGTTGACTTCTTCCTGCTGAGAGTCCTCCTGTCCTCTCGCATGTGGGGTGAAGGAGCGTCTCCTTTTGGCAAGATGCCCGAACTTGGTAGTGTTTAATTACTGGCCAGGCCAGAGATCTCTCCTTCTGCTACGCTGCACCTCATTTCTCACACTCTTGGAGAAAGTGACCCCAGCCACTGGCCGAGCTAATTGGTCTTGGCTGTGGTCCAATCCTAACTGTTCAAAGCCACTGGTTCAGGCCTCACAGAGATGAAGTCAAAATGAGAGCAAAGGATTAATGAAATGGCCTCAAGCGTGTATTAATGGACAAGGTTGGCTTCAAGGGTTAATTGATGTAAGGAATTGCCTCTTTACCCAGAAATCCCTTTAGTAATTAACCCTTTTCTCATCGTATCAGACAGCTCTCCTTTTAAACCCAAAGTTAGTATTTACGAGTGCTTTCCAACAGATATGTTTGACTACTGATAGTAAACAGAGGGTCCCTTCAGAGATTCTGTGTGTGTATGTGTGCATTACCTTTAAAAAGGCCCCACTTCAATACAATACATTATGATTAATGAGGCCTGTGGCCAGAAGGACAGCTGGGTTAGTGCCTCACAGTATACCAGCAAACAGCTACCCATAAAGTTTACTTGCAGTATACTTCCAGTGGAGCAGAATGGGCTGTTGGTATATGTTATCAGTTTTACACATTTCATGTTCATTATTTAGAGATATGTCATATTTTCTCTTTCCTCTCTGTTGCCTGTGTTTTGGTCCAAGTAACACGTGGAGGGAAGAGTTACTGGTTCTCTAATAGTTTAAATAATGTGTCGTCTCGCTCGTTCAGAAACCTCATTGCTGACGTAGCTCAGTGGATAGGTTCGCATAATTTAGCCGTCGCTTGGCAACACTTAATGGCAGCCTTTTTCAACTGCAAGTAATCAATAGATTATATGGCCAGATAATTGCATTTCCTTTTGTCAAACCAGCACACAACAGAGCAATGAAGAACATTTGTTCTGGTTTAATGAAAGCACAACGACGAGTTGTAAAAAGAACTTAACTGTGTGTGTGAGACAGTTTGGATTCTGTGTTTAGCACAGGAAATCTCTCTACCATCATTTATCATTTAAACAAATGTTTGAGAGGCGTTTGCTTTGACCCATTTGAGTCAAGATTTAGGAGGGATTGCTCGTGTTATTTACCGTAACTTGATCCTATTTTCCTATGTGTTCAGTTTATCTAAAAAGCATTATATTTTTCTTTATCATTGCTAACTAGTTTGTAGGAAACATTATTGAGCTTAGCAAGCTTTTATTAAATGGCATTTGTGTTTGTTTTGGTATTGTTGGGTTTGAATTTGAAAACAGGACTCCTTCAGTGGTTTGTATGAAGCTGTTTTTGTGACATGCACGTAAATATGTTCACTTTGTTAGCTTGAAATGGGTTCTTCTTGCAAGTTAATGGTGGCTGGTTGAAATGATTGTAAAGATTGACTCTTGTTACCCTCTTTCCATCCTAAAATCAGCTCCCTCTCGAACTTCTTTAGCTTTTTCTTTCAATAATTTCATTAATTACACATCTTTGAAGATGTGGACATGTTGTACAAGCCTCACCATGCGGGGCAGCCATTGTTCACTCCTTGTGTGCGGTCTCAATGTAGACCCTTACTTGTCTCATGGGCGGGGAAAAGGGCCCCTGTTTGCTCTCAGTCCTAGTTCACCGCACAGCAAGGGGCCAGATACTTTCTCTTGACTTGTTCGGGTTGACTAAAGGCCCAATAATTTAATTTGGATTCAACTTTTGATCCCCCTGTGGTCACATTGACATTACGAGAGTGATATGTATGTCTGCTCTGCTGGAGCAGCTGAATGATTTTAATGAAGCTCATTGTAAAAGGCAGCTTCCGTATTTCTTAGGGGCATTCCACATAAAGTGTCATTTATTTGGGTTTTATTTTTTATCTTGACTGGTTGAACAGACATACTTTTAGAGAACTACTTTGTGTGTTTAGTAATATGCATTAACCGGATAATTTGGAATTTGGAATATTTAAAACACAATAACAACGAGCCTTTTTTAACAAAACAAAAGAAACCTTTTCCTGACCTACATACTGAATACTATCAGGATTCCCAGGGCTGAATGTGTGAAAAATGTGTGAGCAATTAACTGAAAGCTCTTTGTTAATAGAGCCACAGTAGGTCTCACTTGCTCATCAATAAGAGGGGGGAAGGGTTTTATTTCCATTTCATGGTGAAAAGACTGGGATGTTTATCTACCTTCACCTCAATAAGCTCTCTGCTGGGGGAGTAGAAGTCCTTTTATCAGACATTTCTAAGCTGAAGCCATTAGATGTGTCAACAGCTGTGCCACCACAGAGGCAGTTGTATGTGTAAAGTGGAAACAGTTACATATTGTTCAACAACTAAAAACAGGAAAATCTTTTTTTTTTTTTTTTTTTTTTTTTTTACAGAGCAAATGTTGGTGTTTACAGGGGTCCATTAAAACAGTGGTTTCCAGCCCAAGGAGCAACTTACTTCTGTATTTATTGGTAGAAATTAAATTAAGTAATAAAAAAAAACGATTTAGAAAATGCAGTATATCTTCATCAGTCAGCTGTATAACCTGTGTTGTGATTTAGAGTGTGTGAAAGAAACAGTTGGATGAAAGTATTGTATAAATGGTTGAAACAGTTGGCTGAACATAATGGATAAATTGTTAAAATGTGATGGTTTCAAATATATTCAAATGATCTCTGATGGGGCTGAGGGGGAACATCTGCGTTAGAATTATATGTAGCAATAACATCTCAGCAGGCTTTTCCACACAGTTGCACACACTGCCCTCCACTCACATTTTTAACCTTTAACTGCCATGTAAAGGGGGAGGTTATGGAGGAATAACATGTCACATGAAACTATCTAATGAGCGTGAGACCTTTCATTCATCTTTTTTTACAGCTTTAAACAGACACCCCCTTTGAGAAATATAAGTAAATAAATAGAGAAAAGAAAAATAATTAAAAGTATATAAAATAACACGAGAAACCATACAAGAGCAAACTCAAAATTGCAAGGCATCCAGTACACATCCAGTATTTACTGTAAACTTCCAGTTCAGTATAAGTGAAGTGACACAGGTGTGATTAGTAGCTGCAAATTCAGCAAAACAAAGCCCCTTTCCCACTTGACAAAAACCCACTTACACCCACTAACATCTGGCTTTTGTCTTTTAGTGGGAAAGGTTACAATTGCTATTAATGACTCTGCAGTAGTCACAGGGATTTATCGGCTCCAGCTCCGATCAGCAGTGATGGAAATATGAGATCCAGTTGGATAAGCTAGTTGTTGCCCCATTTCTGGCGCATGGCTATGTGACATACAAACATACAATTAATATGCTCTCCTCAAAGCCACCAGACTCCAGTCAGACAATATGTTTTTAAAAACCCTGCATTTACAAATATAGCATGGTATATAATGTACAATATGATATAAGTTGAAATGCAGTTAAATTATGATATACACAGTGTATATGGTATAGTACAGTAATATAGCGTAGAATACACAATGTGATGTAGTATAGTATGCCTTAAATTGTACACAACACCAGCTGTTTACCGTCTCACTGTCGGTAAACAGTGGTTTCAGTGCTGGGAAAAAAGTAGGCTTGGACACATGAGGTGAGAAGCACAAAGTCCAGAGTCCTTGAGGAAAATGTGACAAATAAAGAGAAGCTTTATATAGGAATGCTATCACACCTGAGAGTGTTTATATAGTGCGTCTGTGTGTGTGTGTGTGTATGTATATATACCGTGTATATACACATGCACACACACAGTAACACCATCCATTGTGCATATCTGTTTTAGTCTGAAATAAGCAATTGGGAATTACTAACAAAACTTGCCAGTGTTTTTGCCATGCTCTCTCCATTAAACTCATCATATAATGCACAAGCGGGACAATCTGGAGGACTCACATTTGACTGTTTTGTCTGTATGTGTGTATTTACAGAGAGGAAATGCTATCTGGGCTGAGGAAAATGAAGGAGGAAAAATAAGAGGAGAACCATCCAGGGACTTTGCCAAGGTAAGAAGATTTAGTGGATGCATGTAAATGAGAAAATGGCTGAAGTAATCGCAGAGTAAAAGGTGGTTAGCTTGTTGCTCTTTTTTTATTTTTTAACTTCCAGCTATATGAACTGGATAATGACCCACAACGGAAGGAGTTCCTTGATCAACTCTTTGTCTTTATGCAGAAACGTGGTAAGATTCAGAGTTGGAGCCTGTTCAAATCCTTTTGTTTTTGTGAGTAGCTATGGGACATCTTTCTGGTATATTGAGAAATTACTGCAAGTGAATGCAACAACACGCGCTAGTTTTAATAACATTCACTTTAAATTCCATATACAACTGATGGATTTAATTATTAATTGGTTAACATATTTTCATCACCGTCTTAACTGGTGTTAAAAGCAGATAAATTTGGTCAAATAAAAACAAATCCTAGTCAAACAGAAGTAGATTCAGTCTGTCTGCAATGTTTACTCATGTCCACGGAGGTCATGGTAACAGAAAATTTGTGACATTATCTTAAGCACCTTGTTTCTACAATTGCTGTTAGCCTCCTTGCTTAATTGGCTTTACTTCAAGTAGGGATTGCATGGGTTAGCTGTCAACCCTGTGATTGGCAGCCACTGCTGGCTCTAAAATCACCCTCCCCCCTGCGCTCAAATCAATGCAGCAACAGAGCTGCTGTGGAATTGTCCCCACCCCCACCCATCTGAAATAAGCTTCATTAGAGAAGTCTATCCACGCAGATTATACATGCTAAGCCATATTACTTAACATTAACCTCAGAGACTAAGGGGCGTAAATCAGAGTATGTTGTTGTTGTTTACCTTTGTGCTCTTATCTTATTGCATGCCAACTTCTCAGAAGTAGAATTCAAAGACAACAAACCCATTTCATTGGATTTAAAGAATGTCTGTGTCCTACTCACTCATTCAGGAACTCCTGTGAACCGCATCCCCATCATGGCGAAGCAGGTGCTGGACCTGTACAAGCTTTATAAGCTTGTGACAGAGAAGGGAGGCCTTGTGGAGGTTATTAACAAGAAGATCTGGAGGGAGATCACCAAAGGTCTCAACCTCCCCACATCCATCACCAGCGCAGCCTTCACTCTCCGCACCCAGTACGTGTCTTTCTCATTTTTATCAGAAAAGCCCAAAAACTGTTGCGTTGACAGACGTTTTCTTCAAGAACAATTCGAAAGAATAAAATGTGTTCCAGTATGAAATAAATGTGAATTTAAAGTCTCTTTAAATGGTTTAAAATGTAATATCCTGAAATGATTGAAGTTATTATTTAACATTGATTATACTATTTTCAATTGATTGAACAATAATTATTATAATATTGACAAATAAATTAGATGTATTTGTACGCCATGTGGGTAGCCTTTAGTAATGATTGCATTACAGTATTCAGTTTATCACATTAATAAATATCCATATATTTTCAACCTTATATGAGAGACATTGACTACATTTTGAGAAATTATTTTATTATCTAGTAGTAGCAAACATTTCTTTGAAGTGAAAAAGTCTCTTTTCAGTGAAAAGGGAATCTATGTCATGGATGCATTAAATGTTTGGTCTTTTACACCCAGCTTATCTTTATTTTAATGTAGGACTGGTTTGCACCAGATCAATTGACAAATTAGAAATTTATTTTGCAGGTATATGAAGTACCTTTACCCGTTTGAGTGTGAGAAGAAGGGTCTGAGTTCTCCAGGAGAGCTGCAGGCTGCCATCGACAGTAATCGCAGAGAAGGTCGACGTCCCAGCTACACCAACAGCTTATACCGCTACTCTACCTCCCCGAGCTCCGCTTCACGTGCCCTCCTCTCTTCACCCACCATGCAAACCACCCCGACTGGACACAACGGCCTAAATACATTTGCTGGCGCAAATCTGAAGAGAAACACAGGTATGACGCATTGTGTGCTGTGTAAGAAAACTGGTATCCCTGATTTTGTTTATTTTGTAAATCATTCTTGTCTCAAGACAATTACACAACGTGTTTAAAATAGTTTTCGCTGTGTTTTTTTTACTGATCAGATGAGATGTCAACCCCTGTGTTACCCAGCCGGCTGCCCATGGCTCTGGCTGCCCATGGCCTGGGGCAGCAGCAGCAGCAGCTGGCACAAGCTGTGACGTTGGAGCAGTTCAGAGAGAGGCTCGAGCGAGGATCCGGAGGAGCTGCAGCCGATGGTCCAGAGAAGAAAATGATGCGGATGGCGGAGGAGCAGCAACGCCTCATGCAGCAGGCCCTCCAACAAAACCTCCTGGCCTTTGCGTCTCACTTCAACCCCATGAACCTCAAACTTAACAATGGACATGGTGAGTGGCCTTCGCTGGGATGATACATGGCCTGTCGTCACTTAACATGATTTCCGGAAAGTCCATAAATTGGAGCATTTTCTTTTCCTCCCACAGAGAGCAAACAGGATTTGTCTCTGAGTATCTCCACTAATGGAGCAGCCAGTATCAGTGTATCTGTGGAGGTCAATGGCACCGTTTACTCAGGTGAGTAATTACATTTTAACAGGGTTTTGTGTTATAAACTAAAAGAAGCAGCTAGGAAATGTATTTTTATTACATTTTTGCTGTTTACAAATATGTTATAATTTAGTTTCATTTTATCTATTTATATATATCTTATGTTATCTTTGGAGTCAATTTTAATGTACATTGCCAAACCAATGCTCATTCTTGTGAGATGTGAGACTGCACTTTACAAGACATTGCACTTTAATAATAGAATCTTGGTTTACTCTCATAGTTCTCGGTTTACACGAATAGTTTAGCAAGCAGGCGTTGAGTTTAAAGACTGCACAGCTAGCCCGGCTCTGTCAGAAGATAAAACATGTCCTGTAAACCTCAGTGATTAACATGTTGTATCTTGTTTGTTTTAATCCGTACAAAAGCAGTGTAAAAAAACACAAGTTGTGGTTTTAGAGGGGGTTGTGTGCCAGACTATTTCATGGCTTGGAGAAGTGACTTCCTTCCACAATGTGTTGTTTATACACTGTTTAGGTACGTATTAAACAAATATCTAATTTGTGAATTAATGGGATTTGTTACCTTTCCACAGTGCTAGGCTAGGCCATCCACTTCTATTCTGTATGCTAAGCTAAGCTAGCCTGAGTGGTTTCAATATGCTCATCTAACTCCCAGCAAGAAGCAAATTGGCGTCTTTTCCAAAATGCTGAATTATTCCTTTAATACTCTTGTATTCTACTGTTTTTAATCTGTTTCTCTATTGTGTAGACTGCAGCACTAAAGGCTTTGTTCTTCTGAATATCAAGTACTTAATGAATTCAAGTTCTCCCTTGAACTTGACCTTGGAATCAGTCATTTCGACAAATATGACCAGTTAATCATTCAATACATCTTCTTTTTTTTTTATGTCTATTTGTTTTAACTTCATCTCTGTATTGCAGGAATGCTGTTTGCCCAGAAGTCAGCTGCTCCTGTGGCATCACAGAACATAACTCTGGCAGGAACAAATGGTTTCAGTGCCATGTCCTCCTCACACAGTCCCTCCTCTTCATCTTCCTCCTCCTCAAAGGGACCACATTAAGCCTCACTGGTCTTTAAATCTGTTCTTAGCTAAATAATTAATAATACATTTCCAATACGCATACATCTCTTGTCAGGCAAGAAGTGTGTAAACTATACTGCCGTTTGCTTGCACACCTCTACTAGTCGACCTGTCTGTTCACTCAAGCAGTGCAGTCTTTTTGTGAAACTCAGCCGTAACACATGAGGAAATCTAGCATTTGTTTTTCCATTTTGACGACGTAATGTACTTTTAAATGAGTCTTGTCAAGGGGACATTGATATTTCACCTGAAAGGCTTACACATTTACCATAATATAGATTCAGATCATAGTTACCTTTTGTGCCTGTTAGAAGCTTTTCTGTTTTAAAATGTAGTGGGATTCATGTCTAAAGGGCTTTACAAGGTTTGTTCAGAAGTGTCTATAGAGCTTTGTTGGGTGTCAACTGCATTTATAGCTAATTATGGAACCGTTCTGTAGCTGCCTTTTTCCATAGTAGAACAGTGTGGTTGCCAAAAGTGCAGCTAATGAAGACCAAAAAGCCTGAGTTCAATGTCATAGCTCCAGTCTGTATTGGCAAATATTTGGTTTCACCCGAGTTTATACTTTTCACAGCAGCTTTCAGGGATTATGTACACCATCGGTTTCCTTAAAAATTTGAGAGGTTTGCTGCAGTTTGGATGGATTTTTTAATGTTTTGTATTGTGTTTCATTTAACTCTTATTTAATCATTTGTCTCTGCATCAAATTTACAGAATTTTTATTTCAATTCAGCTTTGAATTGAAAGAGGCAAACAAATGGAGACATGGTTTTGCTGGGAATTGTATGTAGGATGGAAGTGATTCAACATTTACCTCAATTGACTTCCCATGTTGGTAAGTTTCTCTGGAATTTATTCTGGACTCAGGAATGTTCTCTGGACTCGTCATTGTTAAATTGCATCATTATATATTGCAGTGTTGTATTTGCATAAACACAGAGAATGTATCACTAATGACCTCACGCTTTTGACAAGTGAACACTGAAACAGTTCTACCTCACTCTTCTCGAGAAATATGCAATGCTTTGTACGTGGACAATCAAGTAGACATATCAATCATGCAAACAAATGTCACTGTGAACTTTAAAAATCAAGGTCATGTTAAACTCTGTTTTGGTCTTTGAATACTGTATTTCTTGGACTTATGGTCATGAAGAATAAAACAAGCTTGTGTGCAGTAGAAAGACTGTTCCTTTTTTTACAAACAGTCAGTCTTACCTTTGTGAATCCCTCAGTGCTATATATTTATTCTTAATGCTTGTCGGCGGTTCCACCGGGTTGGATTCCTTCAGCTCAGACTGCAGCGGGGCCTCCAGCAGCGACCAGCCCACCGCAGACAGACCCAGATCCAGCTTCGCTGCCTCCTTCGACATGCAGTCGTAAGCTCCGACGAGAGGAGGAGAGCTCTGTGCCCGGCAGCAGCGTCTCCTCCTCCAGCCAGTGGCAGAGCTTACCTCGCTGCACCGACACCAGGCTGCTGGGGGCCTTGGCTGTAGTGCTGGGCCCGCTGGAGGGAAGGGTGGCACGGCAGAACCGGGACTGAGCGGGGAAGACTCAGATCCTGCTGCAGTAAAATGACAGGTTTTCTTACGGGATTCTGGTGCTTGGAAACACTACCCCCTTTGTCCACAGGGCTGCCAAAATCAACCCAAAATGAAAGTTTGCAGTAGCTTTAATATCTTTAATGGAGAACCTGAACCGGTGAACAATTAAGAGATTTATTTGTTAAAACAAATTGTTTCCTGTCCTGGATTTGAATTATCATTTAAATAGTGTTCCTAATTTTGACATTGGTGACAAAGCAAATTTGTGAATGTGGTTTTCACAATAGGTATTATTCTACATCAGATTAAGTTTAAAAAGTGAAATGTCAACTGTGTGTGTGTGTGTGTGGAAAAGGAAGCACAGGAAGAATCCATATTGAGAGTTAATTGCTGAACTCTGCAGCAGACCGATATGACTTATGCTAACAGAGATAAGAGCTCATGGGACAGAGGATGAGGGCGGGGCATGTGTTGCAGGATTTACTGTTGGGATAGTTATTCTGTAGTGATACTGCTGGATTGGCATCTGGAACACTGTAGAAAAAAAGATGCTTCAGGCACAATCTAGAGGCATTATGAGATGACATCTCCGCCCACAGCCCCCGCCCGCTTGGGAGGAATAATACCGGTCAAGTCACTCTGCAGATGAGGAGATCACTGTACTGGGATGAAGACTGGAATATACTCCATGTGCAAGTAGGGACAGCAGGATGATTTTTTACAACTTTGAACCAGGAAAGACATCTGAACATTGCTTTACTATAGCTTATATGAGAAATCCTTTTTTTCTAATTATGTAGTGTGCAGGGTTTTGCTACTAATTTTGTTACTCAAAGCTGAAACGTGTGATTCAAAATATCCAAGATGTTTTTGTGCCTTTGTGACTTTTTTTCTCTCTCCAAAACAATGGCTTTGATTGACTGAGGCAGAATCATGAGGGATATATCTCCAGCACTGAAAGCCAGAATATGTTTTCATAAGTCAAACTAATGATCTTCTCCACTGGGACCTCTGGGTTTCTACTTGTGGATGTTTTGAAATAGGCTCTGACAAACCTTCGGCACACTGTTGGCACCATGCCTTACTTACCATGATGAGGAGTACCCAGGTCAGCCTCTGTGGCAGTCTGTGCTGCTCTTCTGCTGTAAGGGTATGATTGAGGGCATCATGGTCATACTCTTCTTCTGGCTTCTGGTGCAGGTCCTTTTCACCAAACAACTAGAAGGTATGGTCTTAATTAAAGGATAGGTTCATTTTTTTTTGGTCTAAAACAATACGCACAGGCACATATTTACATTAATTGGTGCAATGTTTGTTTTCAATGTACATATGGGCATGTGATTTAAAACACTCCTTTGACAGTACTTTGATATGAAACATTGGGTCTATGCTTTCAGGGAAATGGGGTAAAATGGTATATGTTCTGTTTATGTAATCAAGGGTAAACAGTTTTTAAATTGGTGCCAACTGATTGATCTTATTATTCTCTTTTATGTCTACAGTTCACCTCCAAATTCTTCTTCTGGTCGGCCTGATCGTCTTTTGTCTGTGTTTGGTCCTGGGATGTATTCTGTGCTGCAGGACAAGTCAGATTTGTGCAGGAAAAGACAAACATCCTGTGACATCAGCACCATCTCCTGCTGAACCTGTGACCTTTACCCAGAACCCGCCTCCCTCAGCAGCGACGACAGCGTCCATGCAGCAATACGAGGAGCTGGATGTTGACATAGTGGAGTACCCCTCCACTTTCACCAGCCCTGCGCCTTCGGAGCGTGAATTTGCATCTCTGCCATTCTCTAAACGAGCTAGAGCTGCGTCTGAACAGAAGGCGCAGCCAAAGTCTTATTCTTCCCTGCGTCGCCTCAGCACACCACCACCAACATCACCCCTTTATAAACCCATTGATCACAGTCATGGTTCCCTGCCTATATTTCCCAAACTGGGTCTGTTGTCCAAAACATGTAAGGCTCTGCAGAGGCGCTGCATGGTGACGGGAGATAAGATATCTTATAATGAACACAACAGGCTCACCAGCCCCAGGGCTGTTTCTCCTTCTATGCCTGAAGAACCAATTCCACTGGCTCCGCTGAGCTATGGCTCCAGTGCCAGCTGCCAAATGCCAATATCACGGAAACCCTGCCTCCATTTCACTATGGCCTTCTCCTCAGAGCAGCAAACCCTGGCAGTCACTGTCCTGAACCTCACTGGGATGCTCCACAGACTGGTGGATGTGTCTGTGCTGGGCAGTCTGCCGCCTCTGTACCCCTGTCCCATACAGGCCTCTGCCCAAAGCAGCCTCAGTCCTGAGACCCACAGCCTGGTGCTGATTTTGAAGGTGAGCTCTGTGAAGGAGCTCCAGAAGTGTGTACTGAGAATATTCGTATACACACGAGACGCTCCCTGCGCGAGAGGCACCACGCTGGGTGAACTGGAGGCCGAATGTGGAGGAAGAGACTGGAGACCAGAGCATCCATTTCACCTCACAAAAGAGCTTAACACAAACAAGGGGAAGCTAAAAAAAAGGTTGGGAGGCCCCATGGCCAAAATCTGTTACTGGGCCCATTTTGGTCCCTCCTTTGAGCACTTTTACGACTTTGTTTTAAAAACCAGATGTGTAAACCAGGTTGTTTGTAATCCAGTTGAAAGGTTACCAGTTGAAATATCTGCTTAAACCAGCAAAAAGGGGAACACATGGAGACATAATTTGTTTTATATTGTTTTGCTTTTATGTGGTCTCTGTGGTCAGTACAATTCAACTTTTTTTTCCCCCTTTGGTGATTTATGTGATTTTTGTGCACTACAAGCTTCATTTCCTGTTTATTTAGGTTTCCCTCTCTGCTCTTTGACTGCAGAGTCTGATCTCACAGGATGCACTGATGTGTAAGGGGCTTAGCTGTCCTCCACAAATCTTCATTTTGCTTCAGTATCAGATTCTGGCCCATCGCATCAAAGCCACGGTCCTCAGAGCAGATAACCTCATTCACACGTTGGCAGCAACAGGTAAAACCAGCGTTTAACGTCACTTGAATTTGAAAAAGTGTGTATTTGATTTGGAGATCCCACAAGGACATCATGCATATAGAGGCATTATGCAAGCATGCGTGGGCAAAACCAAGTTTTGCTTTTCAGGGGGGCAGAGGTAAAGTAATTCCCTATGTTTGCTTTTAATGTTTCGGGGATTAAATGATGTCTTACAGAACTCGAATGCAGCAGGAGATCATCCCTTTTTTAATGACATTGTCGTTTAATCCCTCACTATTCAAAATCCTCAGGAAAACGTTCCAATCTCCTCTGGATCTCTGATATGACAGATGTAATCTTTGTTTGCATATAGCCTGTCAAGGCATTACTTCTATTGCAGACGTGTCCTGTATAAAGAGCCATTAGATTTTATGATATCTGTTTCATATACATTATGTTTACTTGGATAATTTCTTTTTGTTTTATATCAGATTCAAAAAGTATTTGTTTGTGCAAAGTGCATTTCTCTGGATAAAGACAGGGAAAATATATGTATTTTATGCATTTTAGCTCCATGTTTTACTTGATTAGATAAGATTAGATAGACTTTATTGTCCCGAAGGAAATTTGTCTTGGACACATACAGTATCTGCTGTTATAAAAATACAAAAATAACAGTGCATACATACAGTACATACACAGAGTGTCGCCAGTCCACATGCACACACATACAGTACCTACAGTACATGATCATACTTCATTGTGTATTCACAGTAGAAGAGGACAGTAAAAACATCTTTGGTTTCATTTTTTTCATAACTGGACAGTGCGCATAAACATTTTTGTGTGATGGGATTTTGATAAGTGTGTTATAGATCTATATAACTAATGCATAAACTCTGGTGGATTAGAAAGTGCTTGTCTGCAACTGTGAGGTCGGCAGCTTATAATACAGCAAGAAAAAAAAGATTTGACTTAAAACTAACAAAAGGGTATTTTATTTTGCTTTTTGATATGTCGACTGAAATTAGGACATTTGAATTTGATTCTTATCATTATACAATATACTGTTGTCCTGCCATTTACTGTTTCAAATTGAGTTTACTCATATTATAACAGTGGGGAACTTTCTCTTTCAAACTTCCATTTGAATCTTAGTAGTCATGTCTAATTGTTTATTCTACATTAGATTTCATCATGTTTGTATACCTGTGCACAGAATACCAGGTGGTGATCAATCTGCATCATAAAGGAGTTGTGATCAGCAGCAGAGAAACTGAAGGAGGGTCCCGTACTGTGTGGAATACATCTGTCCTTTTTGACCTGCCTCCCGGAGACATCAGTCAGCTGCCCCTCATGCTCGAGTTCATAATCGTGCAGGTAAAGATTGCTTTGGGAGCTCACAATCACAGCATAAAATGCATTTCTGTTGACAACTACATTTATTTGTAATGTAACCCTGCGAATTTCACATTCCTGCTCAAACTCAGGTCCCTTCAGAAGGTAAAGTTCTTGGTCGAGTCCTTATCGGAGCTGAGGGTGCAGATGCAGGACGTGCTCACTGGAGAGACATGTGCAGCCTTCAGGTGGAGCAGGCACACTGTACAACCTGAGGCTCTAAAAGATCTATTTGTAAATGTAAGTTCATAATTTGTAGGCGTATCACAGACCAATATATTTGTAAAACAGAAGTTTTTTAATGTATCTTTTACAATCTTGGTGATCTATTAAATATTTGGTCTCTGAACAAAGAAAAAACAAGACGATTAAACTGATCTTTATTTATAAATCTTGAAGAGTCACTCCAGTATTCAGTCTTTGTAACTAAAATACACTTAAAACGTCACATGATGCTCACAATACAATAGGAATAGGCATGTTTCTATTGTGATGTGAAATGTTAGTATTTTGTCCTCTTTTAAATCTGGGATGTGATACCGTTTCACTTTTTTTTTTAACATGCTCATTGTATTTTTGGTTTAGCACTCCACCATGTATCCCATTATTGAAGAGAAACCTCCTTTTCCAAAATATACATATACTCTCATGTGCATCTGTAATGATCGCCATATCATACAAATAAACACACACTTTTGTCTATAACAGCTTGGTGACTTTTAGTCAAACTTTTATCTGAGGTAAAAGCATCCACCAAGTTTAAATTATTGAAGTGAAGTTGTAAAATTTCATTTGAGTAAAAGGTTATAAGGCACAATGTTGGCTGGTGCAGCGCCCTGTAATTACTGGTCTAGGACTTTATTGCACTTTATAATAGTACATAGCAACTTTTGCCCAATGCAGGAGTCTTAACAAAACACATCATTTGTCCCTTTCCTCCTCTTCATCTTCATCAGGGCTACATATATCTACAAGCTCAGACAGGAATATTCCATCAGGATAGAAGGATGGTGGTCTTTTCTGCTGCAGGTCAATCTCATCTGAAAAGTGACGAGACTTGTCTGATAGTTTCTTTGCAGTAGGAGGGCAGTCCTGAATTGGTTGTTTGCACGTTAGTGTGGCTAAATCAGGAAAAATGGGGGGAAATAATTATACAAAGATTAATACTTCAAAATGTCATATCAATTTTGTATTTTTACACATGCAGAAGTTAGAAGGCCACGGAAAGCAGAAGAGAAATTAATAAAGATCGGGGACTTATCCACCAATAAAGTAGCTTGTTAGTTAATTTAACAATGTGCTCCATATTGTTTAGTCCACTGTATTTGTGGATATGTCCCTGTCTGAGATAAATACATCACTCCTATGGTTTTCCCAAAGGCTCCAAACCATAAACATGGCACAGATCACAGCACAGGTCTACATTAACGATTATTACACTGATTCATGTTTAACGTCACCTTGCAGCAGATTCTCATTTTTTGCCTTCAGATTGCAGATGTCTGCACTCAAAGATGACATCTGGCAGAGGAGAGAACGGTTTCAAATCTCTCGTTTCATCTTCATACTGTGTGATAAGACAGATGTATTCTCTATTTTTAATGAATGCTTTTTATAGCAGATTTTTGTCACATGTCACTTTCAAATAGCAGCTAAAAAATAAGTGCAAAAGAGGGCAACATCATTTTATTGTAAAGTGCAAATTGCTGTTTAGCATTTAGACCTTGATCTTTTGTCGCACAGTCTGTAGTATTTGCCATTCAGTTTTTATCAGCACTTAATACCATGAAGACTTTTGATACAGAGTTTATCATGTTGTGTCTGGATGTCACTGACAAGACCGTGACATACTGTAACTCTTTTCTATCCTCTTATCAATGAGTCAGATGTTCCAGCTGACCGGTTCACTCCTCATCTTTAAATCGGATTATTTAGAGTAGAAAGAGTCATATGTGAGATTATAGCTGAACTACGTTTTACATGGAGTTGAAGTGGTTGTGCAGCCAGGCTGACAGCACTCCCTGTGTGCTGTTTGTGCTTTGATTAAAGCAGAAGCTGGGATTAGTGCACATCCGTGTGTGTAATGAAGGAATGTGCGGGTAGGTCTGCTAATTTTGTGATATAATCTGTGTGCCGCGATTATGCCAGCAATGATATTAATTTGCATCAGTTGCAGTTGCTAATATGTTATTCATGAAACACGCAGACAGGCAAATACAGATGGTCTTTTGAGGTGGTGTGGTGGCTGGAGGTTGTAATGTTTATGTGTTAGTCATTTAGCTGTGGCGTAAAAAGCCTGTTTCTACTGTTTGTTTTTGGAGTTTCGACTCGGTAACCATTCCACTTGGTGCCATTTTAAGCCCTTACAACCTGTTGGCTCTGGTTGTGGAAGTTTTCCTCAGCATGAGCCTCTTCTTCCTGCTTTCCCTCCTCCCCTGTTGGCCAGTCACTGCCCTCCTCGTCCTCCTCAAACACTGGCATCAAACCAGAGCTCTGCTGCCAGATCCTCCAGTCCCCTGGATTCTGAATGAAAAAGAAAAACAAGATATTTCTGCACATATTCACAAAATAGTGAAATCTTTTTATCTTTATCAGTTTGTGTCTGTGCTGAGAGGTTCCTTACCCTCACAACTTTAGATGTTTGGGACCAGTCTTGAGGTGCGTAGGCTCCAGTCTGACCTGCTGCTGATCTGTTGTGAACCTGTCCCACCTCCTTTCTTTCTTGCCCCTTAAACAGACTCTTCAACTACACACATTACAAGATACAGTATATTCCTCCGAGGCATTTACAACAGGTATAAAACAAGTCTAGAAGCCCTACAGGACTATACTCAGGCACAACTGTGCTTTGAGCTAAATGCTAATGCCAGCTATGAATGTGCTCACACAGTGACAATATGAGGATGCGATGTTTACCTTTGTCAACCTCTCAGTTTAACGTGTTAGCATGCTAACATTTGCTTAATAGCTGTGATAAAAGAGGTACTTAAAACTTTTACTTAAGTAAAAAAGTACAAATGTTACAATCAAAACATTTTAAAGAATCAAAAGTAAAACTTGTCATTATGCAGAATGGGACATTTCAGAATCATTTATATTATATTATTTATAATTATTGATGCATTAATGTGTACATCACAATAGTGCAGCTGGTAAAGGTGGTGATTTTAATTACTTTATTTACTTCTTGGTTGCTTGTGAATTTCAGCAAAGTCATCAACGTATCTTCATACAACGGTTCGTATGATATATTGAACCAAAGTAGTGGACCGACAGGCGGACATTAACATCCATAGAGCCGTTGTTTTAAAAGAAAACCTGAAATCATGTTGGTATCAATATGTACCTGCTCAGTGACCATCCTCCTCTGCTGGTCCGTCTCTACATTAATTTTATCCTTCCTGCCTTCAACAGATGGTTTCTCGTCTTTAACCTGTAGACGAGGAGTATTTTATTATGTTCATCACCAGGAGGCCATCTTTAGAGGTGTTGTTTTTACAAACTTTACCGGGTAAAGCTGCCCCAGTGTTTGAAGCTTCTGGACTGACAGTGTTTCCTCCTCTGGCAGCTTGTTCGTCCCTCTCCTGCTGTCTGAAAACATGTGGAGAAAGAAGCTTCAGAGCTCAGCCAGTGAGGAAAATCAACTCACTATCTTCAGTTGTTTTTTTAAAGTTGAGTCCAACCTTCCAGCTGGGCCTTCAGTGAGTCAATGGTTGAGATATTTGCTTGGCCTCCACCATCTTGATCATCTTCAGAGGCCTTTTTTGTGAGCGTTCATGGGAAAGAAACATAATGAAGAAAGAAGAGATGTGCTGGTTAATCCCACATTCAATACACCTGCTGGGTCACAGTTGGTTACGCACAGATCTATGTTGGATTTGATTCATAAATCGATGAGATTGCATGTTTTGGGTATATAGCGACTGTACTTTGAGAGCAGAAATCTTGAGTTGAGCCTCATTTTTTCCCATCTCTCTCCGCCTTTCTGGACGCTTCAAAGCGTCTTCCCTATAACAGTAACAATGAAAACCTGTCCACATTCACACCTCTTAGTCTTTAAAACAACTAAGCATTCGTACATTTTTCAAAGAAGGCTTACTTTCCCCTCAGTTGCTTCTCTCTTTCTGACAGTTGTTGCTTCAGCCTTTGACCCTCACTTCTATGTATACATACCTATTAATCATTAACGTTAACTGTCAGTAGATACTCCATACACAAAATATTTACTCCAAATACCTGAGGGGCTTTGTTTTGGCTGCCGTGGGAGTCTGATGGCGGCTCCCATAACAAAGAGGATTGTGATAAGCTGATGAAGTGCAAACGATAAAGAGAAAGATCACAGAATTTCATTTTGAGCATTTTGCTGATGGTGCATTTTGAAAATGAAAATCTCATCAAAATCCACTCACACTGTCTGTGTTTCTGTGTCCTCAGTTTGAACTGAGGCTTCACCGCCTGAAAATACAAGGTCACAGCACTTTACTACCCCCTTGTGGTTAAGAATAAAAAGACATATGCTTAAAGAGTAATCTTGTTGAGAATATTTGCAGGTGCCACAGACTGCTAAGAAAGAAGTGCATTTACCTTTAACTTTATATCTGTGAAGCAGAGCCTGACTCCTGCTCCTCTCCAGCTCTCGTTTGCATGCATCAAGCTCAGTCTGTAGGAGTGAGTCTGATTCCTTCTGTTAAAAAACACATTGTTAAATAACTCCATTTGCCAGATGAATAGCTTCTGCTTGGAGCTGAAAGTAGATATTTTTTTTCATTTTTGAATGTAGATGCATCTAAATGAACTGATGTAGAATAAAGTTATTTTTAAGGGATGGTCTTACTTTGTTCCTGGAGTTGTTCCGTTTGAGCTCCTCTAGCTCCTCCTGTGTGGACTGCAGTGTCAAAGCCACCTTTTGCCATTTCTCTGCCCAGTGTGAGGCCGCAGCTTTTAGTTCCCCGATGCTCTGGACTCTCACTGCATCTTGTTTTCGATGTTCCTCCTCTTGCAGTTGTTGCTTCTCCCTCTTCTCGGGGACCTCAGCCTCCAAACACTGGCACAGATCTTGCAGTTTCTGTTTCTCTAATTCCAAAACTCCCAAAGATTCCCTAGATCATTTTTCATTTTTTTTAAAAAAGACAAGGAAATTGTAATATATTATAATAAGTTTTTCTTCAAATATTGAAGAATAGTGCTTGTTCAACATCTCACCTAAGCTGGCGGCACTTTTCTTTCATCTTCTCTAACTCATCATGTCCACCTTCATTCATTTTAATCAACAGTTCTTCTTTTTCTCTGATCAGCTGAGATCGTTCTGCCTCCACAGCTGTGATCTGTTTGGAGCTGGTGACCCTCTCTGCCGTTACCTCCTGTAGCTGAGACTGTGATGTTTTCAGTTCCTGCTTAATCATTTCCAGCTCACATGTCAGCTTTTCATTTGCCTGGCGTAAAGACACAACAGGGATCATTTAATAAAGAACTCAGAAAAAGTGAAATTTAACAAAAATATGTCCACTTCAGGCTTTTAACCTCTCTGAGAGCCTTGTTTTCTCCCTTCATCATAACAGTTTCCTGATCCTGTTTGTTGTTTTGAGGCTCAGTGTAACAACCCTCAGAACTTTGTTGGGCTGTCTGCAGCTGCAAGTCCAGGACATGGGCCCTCTGGTGCAGATCTGCTTTCTCCTACACATGCAAAGATAAGCTAGTGATGATACCAATACATTATATTTTGATTTTAGATATGTCAGATGTTGTAGTTGAAGATTATATATAAGATACCTGGATCAAGAGATCTTTGTGAGACAGAGCCCCTGTCAGCTTGGCCTTCAGTTCCTTTACATTATCCTCCATCTTAAGCACATGAGTCGACAAGATGGCTTTATCCTGGGAAGATTGAAAGACCATTTCCAAGATGTAATCCCTATTACAACATTTCAAATGTACCTGTAGGATAAGGTAATACTGAGTCAGAGACAGGAAACTGACCAGGCACGCTTGACTGATCTTGTTGTTAGCTTCAATCAGCTGTTCTTGCACTTCAGACTGATTCTGTCTTTTTTGATTCATCTCCTCTCTTTGATTCAACAGCATCCTCTGTGTCTAAGTACACAGAAACAAAACCACAGAGCATAAACGTGTAAGTATGGAACAAAAAGAAAATGGCTGTACAACAGACAACTGCAGTGTAACTTTGTGATTTTGTCGAAAGAGAATCAACAGTAAATATATATATTATATATTTTTAAACTGACCTCTGTAGAAGTCTGGAGTTTCTGGAGGGCCTGGTTGTGTTCTTCTTCTTGTGTCTTTGCCCTCGCCTCAGCATCTCTCACAGCCGCTCTCAGCTTGCACAGCTCTGTGTCAACCTTCTGCCTCTCCTGAATTTAAATGTAAAAGCAGTGTTTGGCAAACAAACATGACAAATAATACATTATTTAGAACATAGATCTATTTTCTTAAACAAGAAGCTTACACACCTGTCTGTTAAAGTCTTCTTGACTCATTGGTATTGTTTCGGTTGGTTGATCACTGCTTCCTCCCTTCAAAGTACATCTCATTTGCATGAGGTCCTTCTCCAGCTGTAGGACCCTTGTGAGTGAATTTTGCAGAAGGACTTTCAATATTTTCTTAAGTGTTTAAAATTCCATGTCTTTTGCGGCACTTACTTATCATGAAGCTCTCCGCGTTTCCGGCCCTTTTCAAACTGTGATAATTTAGCTGCCTCCTTCTCCTGCACAAGAGCACCAATTGTTTCTGACAGCTGTTGTGAAACACATTAGTGCAAAAAGAACCCGATGCTGTGGTCAGATGAAACACGAAGCAAACCTCTTTTCATCACAGAATAGATTACATAATTTGTTTACATAGACATTTTAAATTACTTTTTTCTTTAAACTTACCTTGTGTTTCATGTCAAGCAGTTGTGCAGTAGTTATGTTGTAGCTCAGCTGTGAATTTCTGGTCCTCAGCCGGTCCAGCTGAGTGTCTAAACGCTCATGAGCATCCTGCAGCCAATGCACCCCTTCTGCTTGTCTAAAGCTGCTTTCACCTCGGGCAGCCCTTAATTCAGCCCGTGGATATGGAGGAAAGGTTCGTGTAGCACCCTCAGGCACCAGATGGGACAATGACTGCCACTTCCTCAGACTTGGGTCATTCTGTCTGAAGCCACCGGCACTCCCAGATGTGCTGGAATACATTCAGTTTATCAGCAATAACTTCTTACACCACCCTTGCTTGCAAATTAATATTACTGTGACTCTGTCACTTAAAAACTCTATAAATCTCCCCCTCACCTTGTGCTGACTTTGGACAGGAACTCTGTCCCAGAGACAGTTGCCATACCACACCATGCTGAGGTCTAAGAAAGAAAAAACGAATAAATTAAACATTTATACTTTGATCAACATGTTCTACCAGATAAAAAATACAATATCTAGGTCTTACCTGAGCTGTAAAGCGTGATTTAGTGTCCCACATATCAAGGTCAGAGGTAAGGGAAAATGGACTTGAACTTCTGTATGAGGGTCTAAACATATTGGGGTGTCTTCCTAGATCTGAGTTATCTCTTCCCTTTGTATGGGAGAGGTTACAGTCCTCATCTGCCCACGTGTCAGCCCAAGCTTCAGGGATAGGTTTTCACACAAAGGTGACAGTTTGAGGTGTTTGGCTATTCTTGGATCATGCGTCTTCATATTTCCACTGTTTGCTTGATGGTAAACAACTAGTTTTAACACTGCATGATTATTACAATGTGTTTGTGATCTACAGATTTATTTTCTGTTATTATAAATAGGTTAATCACACCCTTTACCATATCTAAATACAAAAACAAAAGTGTATTCACGTACAGTACCTGGTGCAGAAATCCTCTCCTCTCCACCCTCTGCCTATAAGACTCACACAGCTTTGATTGCAAGCTTTTCCATGGTAACCTATGTACACAGGAGGCAGTGAGGTGGGTGTGTCATGTGCTAATAACACTTCTGGGATAGTCTCCACATGATCTCACTCAGTCTGCTGACTGGTTGTTAAGAACATCTCACAAACAGTGATCTTAACACTCATAGCTTATAGCCTACATCTGATTCATTATTTATGACAGGGAATGTGTCTGGATTAATTATTATTTACTTTGGGAACACAGAAAGAATAAAGGATGCTCTTAGGTATGTGATTTTCAAAGATTTTTAAAGGGAAAAGCAAGCGTGTGATGAATGGTCAAATAGTACTATGTACGCATGCTAATACTCTACAGCTCTGTGTGAAATATTGCATGCAACTGATTAAATCCAAAGTTGTTTCTTTGCACGGGCCAGTCAGGCCATTATTCAGCTCTATCGCTCAAGAATATTGCTCATCTCAATGAATGCTCAAATAGTCATATTACACGTTACATGTGACTCAGTGCTTTAAATTAAGCGAAACAAAAGTGTTGATAACCAAATCCATTTGGATAATAGAAATCACAGTATTTCAGATTTCGCTAATTTTCATGTTGATAAAATTGTTCATTTTTGAACTCTTATTGTGAAAAACGCCGTATATCGGAAGCTGTCATATTGAAGCTAGCAACAGCATCTTTTGACCATTCAACAAGCTAAATGCTAGCAGTTTAAATGAGCTACGATTTTCCTTTCAGCACTTAATTTGACATTTCATTCATTTGAGTTCTTGAGAAGTGTTCGTCGCGTCAACCCTGGAAAGGTACAACACTTTAACCTCTCGTCTTTAATCAAATACAGCGTTTGCGTCTTGGAATTAACGCTAGATAACAGGCCGAAGCTAATGCTAGTCAGTTAGCATAACTTCGGTAACACCACGCTGATGTCTGATGTCCTGCTGCCAGAGAGTTAGCGTATTATTTTAACAGAAAATCTTGTTTATTTTCTTACAAAGCTTCTCTGACAAGAAACGTGAAAACCAAACGTCTGTTCTTCAACGGTGTGCAATCATGGCAGCGGATTGGTTGGGTAGTTTGGTGTCAATTAACTGTGGGCCAACACTGGGAGTCTATCAAGGAGAGGTGGTGTCTGTGGAGCAGTCCAGCCAAACCATCTCCTTAAGGCAACCTTTCCATAATGGAGTCAAGTGCCCTGTTCCCGAGGTCACATTCAGGTACAACTTGGCCACGAAATGTTTGCGCTCTATATATTTTTCACTAATTGTGCTTATTGACAACCACCGTTTCTTCCTGTTACTAAATATATTATTATTTTTTTCCCTGCAGTGCCATTGACATAAAAGAACTCAAGATTTTAGATATCACAAATGGCAATGCCAGGAACAGCTCTTTTGCAACTACAAAGGTAGGCAGTGCTCCAGTCACAGTCCCAAAGGGTGATCCCAGGTCTGTGGAGAAACTGAACTCTCCTCAGCACTGCTCCAAAAGCCATGGAGAACGTCACCAGGACATACCCGGCCAGCCAAAAGCATTTCGTAGAAGACACAACTCCTGTAAGTGCAATGTAGAGCAGCTCGATCAGAAAATACTGTTGCTGATTGTTGCGGTTGCTGAATAAGAGTGTGTATTTTTCCCATCAGGGTCATCTAGTAGTCGAGGGGCAAACCAAGTGACACCGAAGAAGAACGGGGTGAAGAATGGTCAGATGAAGCTCAGAGACGACGAGTGTTTTGGGGACGCCATAGACGACGGGCTGGATACAGACTTTGATTTTGAAGGAAACTTGGCGCTTTTTGACAAAGCAGCCGTTTTCTCAGAAATCGATACATCACGTAATGGTGCCAGGTCACGCGGGACTCCTCAAGATCAGACACCCACACGGTACCGTCACGATGAAAACATCCTGGAGGCCAAACCGATTGTGTACAGACAGATCACTGTACCGCAACCGGGGGCCAAAGAATACTGCACCGGTAAGTTGAGTCACATGTTTGAGCAAATTGTAGTTGCGCAAATTATCTAAAGTGCACTGTTTTTTTTAATATATATACATATTTGTGTTATTTTTTCCCCCCATACAGATTCTGGGCTTGTTGTGCCCAGTATATCCTATGAACTACACCAGCGTCTATTGTCAGTCGCTGAGCGCCATGGTCTCTCACTGGAGCGAAGACTTGAGATGACTGGTGTGTGTGCAAGTCAGATGGCACTTACATTGCTGGGTGGGCCCAACAGGTAAGCATGCGGTGATGATTTGTAAGCACAGATGAGAACAGCCTTAGTTAAATAAAAAGCAACTTAGTTTTGTTTCCATGTTTCCTCCAGATTCACTCCCAAAAATTTGCACCAGCGTCCCACGGTTGCTCTGCTGTGTGGGCCTCATGTTCAGGGTGCTCAGGGCATCAGCTGTGGGCGTCACCTGGCCAATCATGAAGTGGAGGTCATCTTGTTTCTGCCCAATTTTGTCAAGATGCTCGACTCGGTCACCAGCGAGCTCACCCTCTTCAACAAAACTGGTGGAAAACAGGTGTCGAGTATCAAAGGTGGACATATTTCTTTATTTTTATATTTTGCACTCTAGTTGAGGTCATGTTTAGAATTTTTTTTTTTTCTCTCCAACTCCACAGACCTTCCAGACACTCCCGTGGACTTAATCATAAACTGCCTGGACTGCCACGAGAACACATTCCTGATGGATCAGCCTTGGTACCGAGCAGCTGCAGACTGGGCTAACCAGAACCGAGCGCCAGTGCTCAGCTTGGACCCTCCTGGTAGTGGAAAGGGACAGGCGGTCGAGGCCAAGTGGTCCCTCTCTCTCTGCCTCCCCCTTCCCCTGGCTGAAGGGGCCGGCAGCGTTTACCTGTGTGACATAGGTATTCCTCTCCAGGTATTCCAGGAAGTGGGAATTAAGTACATTTCTCCTTTTGGCTGCAAATTTGTCATCCCCTTGCACTCTGCATAATGGGACTAGTGGTAAACAAGACCCCTCCGTGACCACACACAAGGTTATGGCGCCTTATCTTCCAGAGTTCATCCATTACGTTTCTAACTCTTCAACATGTGAGTGGGACCACTGTTTAGTGCATTAGTTCTGCAACGAATAAGTTCTATGGTTGGAATCGTGAAGAGTTTTATTGAAAAAGTAAACGTGTCGACCATCAGAGGCTTCAGCCATCATGTGGATACCATTGTATTTACATGATACTAACCGATATTTGGAAGAAAGATTTTTCAAAAACAGCCTAGTGTTAAGTAGTTTTAGATTGAATGGACAATCTCTGACTTCACATGGAAACATTTCTGAATGTCGCTGTAATCAAACCTCATTCTAAAGCCGTCTGGTGAATAATAATACATGCAACGTGATGTTATTACATTCATCTGGATAAGACAACAGGAATCCAACTTATATCAGCGGTACCATTGCTAATGGCTTGTCTTATACTCTGCCACACTCGACAGCACTCTGTAGCTGTCGTCTGATCGAATGTTTGTCATTGATGCGAGTCATTTTGTATTTTCAATCTAAGCCAGTGTTGAATGGAGCAGCTTCTGCAGAAAACCAAGATATCAGCACTTTTGTTTGTTCATGGTAAATTAGGCATTCACGATAAGGGCTTTGATAGGATTACGCAGCCTGCAAGACCTCTAGCGATGTAGCTTTTTAGGGGGGGAAAAAGTCTAAGTAAATGTGATTCATATAGAGCCGAAGTCATGATGTGAGCCTCTGTAAGTCAATGCAATCCGTCATTGGTCTCATCAATGCATTCGGCATCAATCTACAGCAGGTACATGAAGCTAAACCTTTGTTAAACAATTATTTTGTGAGCATAGGAAAAACTACAGATCCCATGCAAAAACTACAAGCACGGATATGGATAGTTGGTTTAGTCCATATCCATAACATGTAAAAGGCTTACAGGAGATGGTGTTCGCTGAATGCTGCTAAAAACATATATATTGAACAGATATTAGATTGTTTTTCAGAAAAACACTTGAGGCGAGCCACTGACTGTTACAAAGCTCGATTTTTAGTTTGTTTGGTAACAAATGTCAATGAGAGAGAGTTTCAGTTCTACTTCGGCTCTTTATTGTAACTGTTAAAGGACCATATCAGTGCGTTTGCAAGTTTCAGTTCCTTTATTACAAATCATTTGTTTATTTTACATTTTAATAGTTTTACATTGGTTTCTAATTACTACTGTGTAGTATTTATAATAAAAAAAAAATTAAAAAAAATCCATCATAGTGAACTTAAAGTCTACAGTAGTTAAATATTTGTTGTGTAGTTTAGTCGCAGATTTTAACAGCACACTGCATCACACTAAAAGAGGAATGCATATGTAACATCTTCTGTGATGGACTCTTTTTTTTTTTTTTTTTGAAGAATGTCCTCATAGAGTTTCATGAAGATCTTTGAACCAAATACATTTTGTTTTTTTTGTGATGAGAAATCGTTCAACATTTCTTTTCAGGAGTTCCCCCTCCTGATGTAAGAGTAATGCTTTGTGTGTTTCTAAAGTGTAGACTGTGAAATATCAGAGCTGCTTGATTTGTGCTGACTGAGGTGATGTTTGTATCTCTACTGCCACATCCTTTTGACAATGAAAGTGAAAACCTCTGCTTGATCACATTCACTTTGCAACGTGTGCAGACCAGAGACGCCTTTGTAAAGTTTACTGGACCTGCAGATTGTTTACATCAACATCGTATTGTGTGATACTGTGTTCACACACGGATCTCACATGTTTGTTTGGTTCATACAGTAATTCAGTGAAAATGACATTCATGCGCAAAGGGTTTGTCCTTTCTCCGGCATTCCTCCGGCCTGATGTGTTCCGTCTCATCTGTTGAGACACGTCTGGAAACATCAGCCAGCGTTACTCACTGCGACGAGTTTACATTGTCTTTGGCCGCCAGGGGGCCATTAAACCACAGGTCTGATGGCTCTTCCTTATTCTGTTGTAATTCAGCTTTATGCACTATTTCCTCATTCAAACGTGTTATTTCTCTCAGTCAGAAACCACGAGGTGATCTGTGTTTGTAAAGTAACTTCGTTTAAACGCCGGTTACGCTTCTTGAGATTGAGTTTATATGTTTCACATTCTCAGATCTGCACTGGGGGTGTTTAGTCCATGCCACAATACTTTGCAGTTCAGAAAAGAAAATCGCATTAAACAGGCAGTGGGAGGTTTTGTCTAGACTGCACAACTGTTTATCTTTCGGGAGCGAAGTTCACTGTCAGGCGTCTTGTGCAAAAGTACAGTGCAGTGCTCTTGTGTCATGTCTGCAGACCGAGACAATAAAAAAAAAAAAAAAAAAAAAAACATTCACATTTGCGTCGTCTTTGTGGACTTTGTGTAAAAATGGATGATCAAATTCCTTCACCAAAGTGACCGAAATGAATCCATTATTCTATTTTTAACCAGACTTGTTTCTTATTTAACGCGCATGTGCACTGCAAAATCAAGGTGGGGCAAAAAACTTGAATTTTTCTGAAGGGGAAAAGGAGTGGGGCAGTGTGAAGTAGACTCAAATTATTCTGAATCGCATTTATTTCATCGCTGTGACATTTCACCAGTTGAGTTATCGCGTGTTGTCCTCACTCACTCGACTTTTTCTACACAGGGACCGTCGAGGCTGCAGCAATACGTTGTTTTTTTGGAAACGTTTATTTTTCATCATTTGAAGCGACTTTTCCCCCAAATGATGTTGACAGGATACGCACCAACAACTGTCGTCGCTGGTTGTATTGAGATACTTTTGTACTGCTGAAGTTTCGGGTCACCTGAGGCACAGTTCACTTCCTCATCGGGACTTGATGTGTTTTGTGTTTCGACATCAACTGTCAGTTATTTCGTGAATGGGAATTTGTCTGCTGTCGCTGAGAGGGCAGGAGCTGAATCACCTGTTATTGCCTCAAACTGATCGGGTTTTGCCTGCAAACAGGTAAGAGTTTATTTTGAAATGGAGCCGTGGCTTGTAGACGCAGTGAAGCTCTTGAGTTGTGGTAAAACTAGCCCACACTTCTAGAATAGAGCTGCCAGCACTTCCGTTGTCTTATTGTACAGTAACTGACACTTCTGATCACCAGAAATCATTGGGGCTTTGGGACCTGTGACAAGTAGGCCAACATAATGATATGTTATATTTTATGTAATGAGTGTTGCTCAAAGTGCTTTACAGTAAAACAAGAGAAGGCGTAGTAAACGTGTGATTTCCTTATTTACGTCCTCCTCCTCCAAGCCTTTTTGGGGTACAGAAGCTGCATCATGCAGCTCTGAAAACTGTTCTGTTAATGATAGTGATCATTGTATTCTGCTGACTCAAGCCGATGCATCGGGACTGTTTCAGAACTTTTTAAAAACTGTTACTGACTTTGCAAAACTGGCTGCACTTCCAGGAATGTGTAACTTGCAGATGGGTTGTTATTAAATGGTTTACTACTGCTTTTCCCCCTCATCCAGTCAGTTTTAACAAGCCACCCATGCACTAAGTGCCAAACAGAAAAACAGCTCAATGAAACAAGTAGGCTTGTTGTCAGAGGGAGGAACTGAGGACCTCTTGGGTCTGTTAAGGGGTGATGCCCCTCTTTGGCTTTTTGACAAAAGGCTGAAGCAAGTCTGGTGCTGCTGGCATAGCCTTAGAGCTTCTTCTACAGGGGATTCCTCTTTTAGAGTGTAACAAAACTGTAAAGAAGGATGAAGCTTATGAAACAAGCGCATGAAACCACAGCAGACTGCTGCTCTGTGAAGCATAGCTGCATCAGCAGAGCAGCATTGCACTGCATGGTGTGCATCACACCTCAGCAAGGAAGTGTCCGTTCACTGCTCAGGCATGGCAGCTTTGCCTTACATGGTGTTTTTTTGGATGTGTTTACTTATTAAAAGCACCAATTACCCCAAGTGGCATACGCATCAATGCCTTCATTGTGTTGTTTGAACTTTGGAAGAGAGTAAAATGCAAAGTTTACTGTAATGCCTGGATGCAAAATTAAGGGGGATTTTCCCCTGACTGACAATCATTGCTTTTCTCTTCCTGTTAGCCTGAAGACGGCCTTGTTTTTCAGGGTTAAATAATAGTATCTCTGATAAACGGTATGCTATTTTACATGTATCAGTATGCTTTCATACTTTATATCACTTAGCCTCACAGGCAAAATTGACCGTCATTAAAGTGATACAATGACGGCTTGTGCTGCTTGGCCTACCACTGGACTCGTACTTCCTGTCTTATATCCTGCAGAGAGACCTCAGTTTCAGTGAGCAGTGCTGCTGCACCAGAGTCCAGCTGTTGTCCCAGAGCCAGAGGGGATTTCCTCCTCTGAGGTTCCTCAAGAACATCTGCAGGCTGTCAAAGCCAGCTGGGTGAACTGTTGGCATGCCATGCACTCTTTCTCTTTCTGTTCACTTCTCACCGCTCGGTGAGTTGGTTTGTATATCTGCCAGATGATAGCTCCGGGGATGTGGACAAAAATGATTGTTTCCTTCTCTCTGCACTTGGCCCTGCCACCCTGCTGCTGTAATGGTGATGATAACAGGGCAGCAGCATCAAAGCAGTCGCAGAGCATCTTGAGACTGGAGGGTCAGGACGAGGGGCATATTACCCAGCCCCCCTTCTGCAAATAGAGGGATGCAGGAGCACACAGTCAAAATCCTACTTTAGTAAAAACACAGAGGCACTATCGGCAAAATACATGGTCCATGTGACTGATATATTATAGTTTTAGATTGTTAATACTAGTGCATCAATGTGTGAGCAGCATTTTACTTAAATACTATTGCCTGTTGATGTTTAGAGGGCAAATGTCTCTTTGGTGGAACTGCTAACAACTCATAGACATCTGAAATGTGACAAGGGGCCCCAAGTAGACACTGCTTCTTTGTAAGGAGTCACAAGCCCAAAAAAATTGGGACCACTGATTTAATGTTTACCAAGGCATTGTATTCTATGAGTTTGTTATATCTTTTGTTATATGTTCTGTCAGATAAATGTAGTGGAGTGAAAAGTGCAATATTTCCTTCTGAAATCTAGTGGAATAGGATTCTTAGTAGTAGAAATAGCCTAAAATGGAAAAAGTAAAGTGGATGGATAGATAGTTACTTTAATAATCCCGCAAGGGGAATTTTTTTTTTCCGCTACAGCAGCATTTATGGTACAGGTAAAGCAATAAAATAACAGAGTAAAAAATATTAAATATAAAAATGCACAATATATACAAAGAAATAGAATAATATTCAAATGAACTAACTAAACAATAGTGCAAAGATTTAACCAAACAAACAAGAGTACAAAGTACAAGTACCTCAAAGTGCCACTTCAGTACAGTATTTGAGTAAAAGTGCTTTGTTGCTTTCCACGACTGAGAAGTCGAGGGAGATCTGTTTGAAGATGGCCTTGTTACTCTTAAGAGTAAGATTTCAAAGACCAGCACATGATGCTGTTTTTGAGTGACACATTTGCAGATCTGTCCACAGGACCTCCAGCCATTGTCACTTCACTGTATCCCAGCAGCTTTTGCAACACCGTGCATGATCTGCATTTTTACCTCTACAGATAGACCAGGGAGTGGCAGATTTAAACAAGACCAAAGGAGATGTTACTACATTCCTGTCTTGTCTTGCTTCGTGCGCGCAGGCTACCACTGATTTGTACAGTTTAGACTATGACTTACTTGCTAAAGACAAGAGCACTTCTTGACTTCTTCCTGGACTGCTGTGAGACTCAACATTTTCTTCTGCAGATTCTGCGGCTTAAATATACTTTATGACCTCGATGTGTATAAATTGCAACTGACATTAAAAGTGACGGAGACAGGACGGATCACATGTTAAACCGTTGGATCAGCAGAAGGTCTGAATCTGTGGTAGAAATACTGAATACTGGTTTGGTTTGAACAGTAGGATTTTTATGGATTCCAATTAAATGTCAAATTGGACTGTAATAGTTATATTAGCTTTGATTGAAGTAATATGGAACTTCTATTTATTAGTGATTGTTGGATTTGGAGTGAGTTTGTGCTCCTTGTGCTCTTTCCTGACTCCATTCATGTTTAGTGTGTCACCGAGTTTGCTGGTTTCCTGTTATCGTCAGTAGCTTATGTCATGCCTGGCTTCTCCTAAAACAGAAAATATCTCTCAATATGAAGTGCAATTCATATCTCCAGACCTGCAGAACTAAATAATTGCTGCCCCTAAAGCTACTCACTGGACAGGCTGATGATGATGATGATGATGATGATGATGATGGACTTCTCAATGAGACAGGGGTCAATAGAAACTCGACCGACTCACAATGACAGCGTTGTCCGCTTCCTGAAAAGAGCAAGCTGTGGTTCTATGTGGAGCTCTCTGGAAATGGCAATGTGACACCATGACAGACTGAGTTCTGTCCCATTCCATTGGCTGCTGGTGGCCTGCTGCTGAGATGCATTCCCTGTCCCAAAAGAGATGAATAAAAAAAGTGCCGTTGTGTGTCGGCCTTGGCCCCATTGAGCCACACTCGCTGAGATCACTTTGCTCTTTCACCGAGGACTTTGCCGTGACAGATTCTGCAAATTCTGTTTTCATAACATAACAAGCATAAGTTCCTGCTTTAAATTATAATTCATATAGATTTTAGTCAGAATAATGGATTACCTACAGTGACAATGAATTGTTATCCACGCTAGCAGCATGGCTCTAGGGATTGACAGTCGGTCCACCGCTTTGGTCCAGACTGAAACATCTCAACAACAATTGGATAGATTGAGAATTCATGGTCCCCACATGATGAATACTATTGACTTTGGTGATCCCTTGACATCACTTTACCTCCAGCAACAACAGCAGGTTGACATTTTGGATTCAAAGTGAAATGTCTCAACAACTGTTTGATGGTTTTTGAAATCTTAATTTACAAAGTAACAACTATCGGTACCAAATAATTCAATGTAGTGGACTAAAGAGCATACATTACCCTAAAAATCAAATCAAAGAAAGTACAAATAACAACTGAATTGTGTAAATGTACTTACTTACTTTACACCACAGCTTTTTATGTCGCACAGTGGTTACCAGCCTGGGGTCGGGTCAGACACGAGATGATTAATGGGATAGGAGATAATCCAAAATATTTCTTCTACACAATTTCATGTTAACTGGTTTGTGACTTTTTTTCAATGAAATACTGGATACCTTTAGCCTACCAGGCCTCTAAATAATATGTAAACAAACAAAAATAGAGTGGGCAAAATGTCTTTGGTTTAACTGCTCATGGCTTACAGGCATGTTAGAATTGTGTTGAGGGGTCACATGGCACCATTAGTTTGGCTTCCTTCACAATGAGCATTACAGTCTCAAAGCACCGCTAGCATGGCTTCAGACTTTTTCTTTTCTTTTCCTGTCATGACTTTCTGTGCAGTGTGAAATGTCAAAGTGTAACCGTAGAAAAGACGGGTTGGGATGAGCAGATGCAAAATGGGGGTGTCCTTTATGGGTTGACGGGTGTGAGAAATGTGTCCAGATAGACAGCTGCAGTGCTCCATAGGGGACAACATCCGTCTCACCCTCATCATACTGAGTGATGACAGTCCTCTCCGGGACGCAGGAGAGTTTTTAGTCGAACACTTGTTGTGACGAGGCTGGTCACTTATTAAAATGTGTGACAAAGCAGAAATGCCAGATTATATTTGCAATAGAAGAAATATAATTTTAATAGGAAGAGCTTGGAGAGTGATATGAGGATATCATAGAAGTATCTGAACCCCCCCAACACATACAGGACGTTGACTGCATAGTAACCGACATGTCGGAGGATGTGACGTCATGTAAAGTGGCAGATGTATCAAAGCCAGGATTTTCCCTGACCATTGAGCCCTACCTCTTCTCCATGGGAACTAACACAAGAAGAGAGGAAGTGGGGTTTTGGGGGAGGATTGAGAGGGGGGGTGTTGAGTGTGACTTAACCCATAGGTCATCATTTCGTTATAACGTTGTGCATGTATCATGGAAACAATGCTCCAGAGTGACTCAGGCCCAAGGTTACAGTCGCAGTGGCTGCTTTATTGACGTAAAGAAATGCTGGGCTGGATGAGTCCCTCAGGCCTGGTCAGATCTCACCACAAGTTTGCATTCCAGCGCTGAGGAGAGCTATCTTGATTCGTACAAGGGCCAGTCACTGGGGCTTAGCACTCATTGGTCAAAATGAACTGGTTTACCACACAGAATAAAAAGTACAAAGTAGATCAAGTGTTATGCCTTTTATTCATCAGTTAGAATATTATTCCAAAACATACTTTATAGTATATTTTTGAGTTTTATTATCCATCAACACACAGAAGCCTCGTCTTTATGAATTAATGCGTCATGGAAACATTCTGCCCTAGTTGTGAAAGTGTGCTTTTAAAAAAAGACTTGTTAGTTCTGCTTTCTTTATCAGCGAGTTATTTTTACTGACACTGTCTGATCTGAAACTACTCTTGTGCGTTCTGATAATAGCTGACTTGTATACTATGAATGAACATGCGCACCTAGACAGAAAAACCACAAATTATATTTCTTCCTGAGAATTAGTATGTGGTTAAGTGAATACCTTTTGAAGAGAGGCCGTCAAACTGATTCTGTTTCCCTTCTTGATTCTGTTTCCCTTCTTACGTACTGTGTGTGTGTGTGTGTGTGTGTGTGTGTGTGTGTGTGTGTGTCTATCAGCTCTAATGGTTGCAGCTAGAAAACATCACCTGAGAGAGGATTGAACCACCTCACCATGACAGAGGTCCAGGTAAGATATTCAGATACACATCATGACATGTCAGATGAGACAATTGTTTACTAATTAGTGATCTGCCCATGTTCCCGTAGACTCCATGGCCACAGGGCACAGAGTGTGTGGCCAGGTACAACTTCACAGGCACATCAGAGCAGGACCTGCCCTTCAATAAAGGAGATGTGTTGACGATTATTATTGTCACAAAGGTAATGTTTCATGGCCTAACTTATGTTCCTATAAATATAGTTTTGCTCTCATGCAGCATGTCGGTAGATATGAAAACACATGGAATGACTTCATGTTTGTGTTTCCTAGTACACATTAATATTTAATTCATTCATTTTAACCATTTCTGACATTTTGTGTTTCAGGATCCAAACTGGTACAAAGCGAAAAATTCTGCAGGTCTCGAGGGAACAATTCCAGCCAACTATGTTCAGAAAAGAGAAGGAGTGAAATCCGGAGGGAAGCTGAGTCTAATGCAGTGAGTACAAACAATATCATGGTTTACTTAGTTTTGATGCCCCATGCAATCTTTCACTTTCAAAGCAAACAGGATTAGGTTTATTTATTTGCTGTCTTTAACTCAAAAGTTGCCACTACACCAGCGTTGTGTGGCTTTTGCAGCTACGGCTAAAATAGCTCGTCTTTGCCCCCTTCCTATGGCTGTGTGGTTGCTGAAGGCAGATGGGCTATTTGTTGTGGCAGTGGCGCTGTAGTTATGTGAATGGGGACCACAGTTGGGTCGGGCTGTGTTGTAATTGCAGTGCACTTGTTTCTGTTTCCAGCTCAGCTTCGCTTGAACTTGTGCTGCGTAGTTTCCTGTTGTTTCTTTTCTATCTCAGACTGAAGTAATCTAAAAAATCTCCCGGTTTGTCCACATGACTGGTCTGTGTGCAGGCACGAGAGCGTGTCAATGAATGACAGGTCTATTTATAGAGCCCTTAATCACAAAATTGTGTCTCGAATGACTTCATGAAGACAAATCTACCAGACAACAACAACCCATAGTAAAAAAAAGGAAGACATACTTTAGCTACTCTTAGCCTTATCTACCCACCATTGATCCTAAGTCATCACTTATCTATATGTATATTTACAGACATACAGTATAATGTCTTATTTATACATACAGAACATTATGGTTGAGAATCCATTCTCCTGTACAGCAACATCTTGTTGAAAAAATAATACTGAAAGAACAGACACGAGTTGAGGAACGCTTACTGATCTTATCATATGACATGCTGCTGTCGTAATTTTTAAATGTCACCAGTCATGAAGTTGAGAGTGCAATGGTAAAAAGGATCTAGGGGCATCTGAGTGGATGCAGCATGCAGATTAATTTACTGTACATTCTGTGACCCTCTCAATAATATAACTGGTCACAGTGGATATGCAAATGACTGTAATCTATACCTCTTGATCCCAGAACGGTATTTGTTTTATTTGCAATTTGCATCAAAACAACGAAAGGTGAACACGTCTCAAAGGCTAATGGAAAATAATCAGCAACACAGGCCCAGACTGGATCCCCGCAGTCTTTCCTTAATCGGCAGGAATTCTGATTTATCCTTCACTGCTTTTACACGCTAATATTGTTCTGATTGATACCTCTTAAAATAGTCAGTGGCATTCCCTCCTGTGCTGACAAAGTGGATTAGTGGATTAGTGTGGTCTCCTTTTTTGTGGTTGTCTCTTTCCTTTTGGATGCTCTGTTACCTCTCTGGTTCTTCCAGGTGGTTTCATGGGAAGATAACGCGGGATGAGGCCGAGCAGTTGCTTAACCCTCCTGAAACTGGCCTGTTCTTGGTGCGAGAGAGCACCAACTTCCCCGGCGACTACACCCTGTGTGTGAGCTGCGATGGCAAGGTGGAGCACTACCGCATCGTCTACACCAACGGCAAGCTCACTATCGATGAGGAGGGGTACTTTGAAAACCTCATGCAGCTGGTTGAGGTAAGATTTTAAAACTTGGTTTTATTTTATAAATAAAACAAGACGTTTCTAGTGTTTGCTCTGGTGCTATCGACTGTATGTATGGTGTATTTTACTGTTTTAGAGCCCCTGCGTCTCTGTGCTACCTCGTAGACCACATACAGTTCCTGGAACAAATAATGAACAGGAAGTGTCAAAGAGGAAGAGTGAACAGTATGCTGAGGTGCAGAGTTCTAACCTCAAAATACATCAAGTGTTTTACTCTCAAAATGACTTATTTTACTGATTAACATGCTTATTTTGAACAGAAGCATGCTATATATACTATACAGAGTAAAATAGAGGAGTATGAGTAATTTTAGTCTGACCTATTTGAGAGGAAACATTGTTAGTCGTCCATTATATGTTTTGCTAATTTGATTATACAGCCCTCTATTGGTCATTAAGAAACACTGCTCGCTGAGTTTTATTCCCCCTGTGGTGTTTTTTTATGTCGTATGAAGTTGTATTGAAGCTATGTGAGTGTTTAAACAGGTGGTACAGTTATATGCTTAAATATTCCATCAAATAATGCCAGGTTTTGCTTTTTTTGTAGCACTACACCAAAGATGCAGATGGCCTGTGCACCAGTCTAATAAAGCCAAAGGTGGAGGAGGGGACGGTGGCCGCTCAGGATGAGTTTTCCAGGGGTAAGTCTCACTTTACAATTCAAGCAACCACATCATATTAGCATTTGTGTTCATGCGAAGCATGTATGAGCCTGTTATGTTATGTTATGTTGTCTTTAAATGACCAACAGGTGGTTGGTCGATGAGCAGGAAAGACCTCAAGCTGCAGCAGGTTATTGGAAAAGGAGAGTTTGGAGGCAAGTAGCTTCAAGTTTACACTGCATAGTACAAGTGACGCACTGTTATTTAATCGTTTACATGTGGTGGGGACCAGATATGCATTATGAACATGCTAACAGGCAGGGGAAGTTGAAGCATGACTGGTTTTACTTTAAAAAGTACATTGTGTTAAGTATTGGGGAAAAGTTAACATTAATATTACATTTTTCTGTAAAAAATTTGTACAAAAGTTTTGATAAAAGTCCAGTAAAAACATAACCATGCAAAGTTGCTTAACTAAATTGAATTCCAAGTTATTAACTTTTAACAATGAAACATTCCTCCATGCTCCAAGTGGTTTAAGAGAAGGGTTTGTTGTTTTTGTTGTTGGTATTGTATCAGGAAGAAGGGTGAATAAGAGTAGACATTGCTAGATTTGAGTTAACAGTCAATTGTTATCGTTTGTGATCATTCCAGATGTCATGGTGGGAGACTATAGAGGGACTAAAGTAGCTGTGAAGTGCATTAAACATGATGCTACAGCGCAGGCCTTTATTGAAGAGGCTTCCGTCATGACGTAAGGAAATAAAAATACTTTTCTTTGTTTTGTTTTTAGAAACATGAATAAACAAGTAACATGTGAACCACATTACATGTCTGTGTGCTCCTCTCCTTCCAAAGGCAACTACGGCACGATAACCTGGTGCAGCTGCTTGGAGTGATTGTAGAGGAGAACGGGAGTCTGTTTATAGTTACCGAGTACATGGCCAAGGTAGGTGGCAAACTGTCTGATTCATTTGTTAACATCTTTAGTACTTTTATAAAGTTGTCACATGTCTGTTTGTTTGTTTTCAGGGCTGTTTGGTTGACTACTTACGTTCCAGAGGCCGGACAGTACTTGGTGGAGATGCTCTCCTTAATTTTGCACTGTGCGTATGACTGCAGTTTTCTACCATATCTACAATTATACTGTATTAAAGGTAGACTGTAGAGTTTTTATGATCTGTGGGGCTGTGGAGCTGTTTTGAAGAGCGGCTCCCCGGATTGTTTGTATTCGTGCTCTGCATGTCACACTACTGAATGTCATTTACCTCCTCCGCCTACCTCTAAAACAGATCAATATTATCAAATAAAGGGGAGAAGAACAGCTGTATCAAGGTTTTGAACTTCGACTTTTTGTACTTTTACAGAGATGTCTGTGAAGCAATGGAGTACCTGGAAATCAATAACTTTGTCCACCGAGACTTAGCGGCCCGCAATGTTCTTGTATCAGACGACAACTCGGCCAAAGTCAGTGACTTCGGTCTGACCAAGGAGGCCTCTTCCACTCAGGACACTGCTAAGCTGCCTGTGAAGTGGACATCGCCAGAGGCCCTCAGAGAAAAGGTAAACCGTAGTTTACAAGGGCTGTTGCCATGTTGAGTAGTGAGCTTTACCATGTGTCGGTCCCACTGACTGAAATAAACTCTTGTGTGTGTTTTTCTCTTAATCAATAGAAATTTTCCACCAAATCAGATGTTTGGAGCTACGGTATTCTGCTTTGGGAGATTTACTCTTTTGGCCGAGTGCCTTACCCAAGAATTGTAAGTATCAATATCTTTTTGTAAAGGAGGATTTGGGCTTTGATCTAGGAGAGAGATTAATCAGCAATGCATTTACCTTCTAGAATTGTTCCTTTTCATGCTAAAGGGTACAATATTTGGTGTGGTTTTGTGACTTTCATAGAACTTAACAATGCACCATATGTATTCCACCTAAAAGTGTTGTCTTTGTACATTGTCAATGTACATACCTGAAATTAAGTAACAGGATAAATAACAGACTATAAACTACTTTCCGTTTAATGAAAATCAAAAATGTAATTGAACTGTATATACTGTGTTCTTTAATGTGTTCCTGTACTTTTACGAACCACATAATTAGCCTCAAATCAACCTCCATGTGTTACAGAATACACAGATCTCACTGTTTTTCTAAGTAAGTTATGTTTGCTGTCAACACATCTGTCTACCAACAACTTTTTCCATTCTGTAGCCATTAAAAGACGTTGTGCCTCGAGTGGAGAAAGGTTACAAAATGGACTGTCCAGATGGCTGTCCTGAAGTGGTGTACAACATCATGAAACAGTGCTGGAACCTGGAGCCTGCTGCTCGACCAAGCTTTCAAATGTTGAAGGAGTGGCTTCAACATATCAACCAAGGGATGAGAAAAACACAATGAGACGTCTCCCAGAACCAACACAAAAAGTGACTTTTCTCTTCTTTCATTTTGGCCACTTGGACCATAGCCTCGGAGGAAAAAATAGATTTCAAAAGACTGCTCTTCCAAAGTTCATGACAAAGTTTGCTTTCACTCATTGTCCATGAACCATTAAGTAAAACTGTCAGCATAATGTTTCTTAGCATCATCCCTCACCTCAGGTTGTTTAAACTACAGTAACTCTTAATTACTGACACAGTCACTCGAGTGAGTCTTTCTGTGCTCGGTTATCAAGAGTGAATGATTAACTGTCATTTCGACAAGTCTTTCCTTAGAACACACTGCTGCCTCCGAGCCACAGTGCCTTGACCTTTTTTTAATAAATATGTTATGTCTTTTATGTTGATATCCTTGGTCATATTGGTGGCATCATTACATTTTATGAACATGTAGAGTAGACCGTAACATAATTTGACTAAGTTGACCAAATCCATGGTATCCGTTTAAAGAGGAGAGACGCTTCAAAAGCAGGAGTACAGTTGTGATACGTCATTACTCGCTGTATTCTTTTTACAGCTTCCAGGTACACCTTTTTGCATGAATGTTGAATTATTTTCTTAAAAGGACTAAGTTAAAATAACTTTGATTATGCATCTTAATTTCTGCATTGCCATATGTTTATAAATGTGTTTGGATCCCTCTGCAAGTCAAAAAAGGAAGCACAAGTTTTCACTTTTACTACTGATATAATAACACCTTTCAGCTCAGTCATGTAGACATAATTCCCATGTACAGAATTGTCCCTCCGACATCAACAAATGTTTTAATTTTGGAATCTTTGGATTTAGCCAAATGTTGGGGATTTTGTATGAATTGAGAAACAGAATGTTAATATTTTTACTGTGCTGCCATTTTCAACAATAAAAAAAAGAATACATTTTGAATTCTTTTTTTTTTTGCAATAGTGACTATTTTTAGCATCCTTTCTGATCAATTAGTTAATTAGTTGAAGTACAGCTATTTCATATGAAAGCAATAAAGTTGTGCATCAAAGCTTACAATAATGTTCCTCTAATACTGTACTTACAATTGGTATCATAACAATTTGGAGTTATACTGTATATATAAAAGGTAAATGCTGCTACACAAAATAAATACATTAATAAGGATGTAAGAGTCATTGTCTGTATCCTGTTGAAATAAACAAAAGATACTATCTTTGAAGGAAAGGAAAAGTATTGCATTACATAAGTTTACATTTATGAACTTCTAAAGTGAGACTGCAAAGCTTTTATTTCAGCAGAAGAAGAAACAACTAGATTAAGGTCTGGAGGCTTCCTCACAAATACCTAATCGTGAATAAGGTTAAGAAGTGTCCTTCAAAAATATTGATAAATATTACCCTGCCAATCACTACATGCAGAAATTTAAAAGAACATAAACACAAACTTAATTAGTTTTTAATAAGAGATGTTCTTAAATGCAAATTTAACAATAACGATAAGAAGATATATATTTTATTTTGTTTTCCTGAAGGATGTTGCTCAGCGGCGCAATATATAAAACTACTTTCTAATTCGACTTCAGTAGGTTTTAAACTATTATATTTACTATATTGTAAAGTGTGATATATTCCTGGCTCTTTTGTTATTGTTCTATTTGTGTACGATCCACTGTACACTGAATCTATATTGTGTTATTTTGTTTAATAAAGAATAAAAAAAAAACGGAACCTTGGCAAAGGGAATCGCCTGCAAAAGGGGGGCTTATTTCTGTGTTGCACTCTGGTGCAACAGGAAAATGTGGACTGAAAACAGAGGCTAGTTGGCAGAGACAGTACTACTCAGGGCTCACGGATTATCGCAGGCGTTGTTCAATTTAGTGATGGATAATGAAGCGGATGTTTTTTATCGGGAGCTGCCAAAAGTGGTAAGTCACAAAAGTATTGTTACATCTTTTGGGAAGAGAAGCCACTCGGAGGAGTAACACGGTAAAATGTATTTTAGTCAACATTTGTAGGTAGCCACATGCTGACGTCGGCGTTTTAACTGTCACCAGGAGCTTCACGCTCACCTCAACGGCTCCGTCAGCTGCCACACCATCGAGAAGCTCATCAGCCGAAAACCGCATCTCAACATCGAGCACGGCATGACTGCTATCGGTAAAGGCCAGCGGAGGACCCTGGAGGAGTGAGTATAACTCAAATAAAAAGTTTAACACGAGTGTTATTGACGAATCCATAAATTGGTGTAATTTGTCGTTACATCATTTGGTTTTAAAAAAATACAAAAGTGATATAGAAACAATTCAGTTGGCATTAAAGTAGGTTTGTTTCTTTGTATACAGTGGTAAACAATTAAAGTGTGTTCATGCTGACAATAGGGAACCGATAGTGGGAAGAGGGTCTTTGTTAACCGTTATAACAACATGGCGCGTGTGTCCGCAGGTGCTTTCAGGTCTTCAAAGTCATTCATCAGCTGGTGGACTCGGAGGAGGACATCCTGATGGCGAGTTTTAGCTGTTTGTTCAAATTTAAATCGGCTTTTTCTGTCTTTTAGGCAAAAATAGGAAGAGGGTCTTTTTTTTTTGCCCAATATATCAGTGACAGGTGTTTCTTTTCTTTCTCTCCAGGTGGCTACAGATGTTATCAGGGAGTTTGCGGCTGATGGCGTCAAATATTTAGAGCTGAGGAGTACACCAAGGGAGGAGAAAAACACAGGTAAAGATGTCTACTTATATTTTGATGAAGTGGATTATTTTATCAAATTATTAGGCTCACGAGTTTTGTTGTGTTTTTCCTATAGGATTGACAAAAAACAGATATGTTGAAACTGTCATCAAGGCCATCAAACAGTGTAAAAGTGAGGGAGTGGACATTGATGTCAGGTAGGCAAAGCCTGTTTTATTTTAACTCGCTACAAGTCCACGAATGTATCTCCGGGTGTGTGAGATGTTTCACACACTCACCCATCATTATTCACTGGTGATAAAACCACCAAAACACTGCATAGTGTTCGAGTGACAATTTTAAATCTGCCCATTTGTCTCGGAAGGTTTTTGCTGGCAATTGACCGCAGGAATGGGACTGAAGTTGCAATGGAGACCGTGAAGCTTGCTGAGGAGTTCATGCTGTCTACTGACGGTTTGGTGGTGGGACTTGACCTCAGTGGAGATCCAACGGTCAGCCAATATTGCATAATATATGCATCAGTAGTAGTAGCTGTGACTTATCCCAGTGTGGTGGAGCTCAAGTGCTCTTTAGTGTGCCAAGATGAACTGATACAACAATCGTAATTTTCATCTTAAGGTTGGCCATGGCAAAGATCTACTTCCAGCTCTGCAGAGGGCCAAGAACTGTGGACTGAAGTTGTCACTGCACCTCTCAGAAGTATGACCTTAATGTTGTTCAGTATCTGTCGTCACATTATCTGTGATCTGACATTACAACAACAACTGTTGCAGGTACCATCACAGCTGGAGGAGTCAGATTTGCTGTTGAATCTTCCTCCAGACAGGATCGGTCACGGCACCTTCTTGCATCCTGAAGTGGGTGGATCTCAAAGTCTTGTTGACAAAGTGGTGACGAACAACATACCGCTGGGTAAGAGTGAGATGAAATTATTATTTTCTGTTTGTGCGCAGTAAGCTGACGCGGTCTTTCTTCTTGTAGAGCTTTGCCTGACATCAAACGTCAAAGGACAAACTGTACCGTGTTACTCCAAACATCATTTCAAGTACTGGTACCAGATGGGACATCCAAGTATCATTTGTGTAAGTTTCCTAACATTACACCTCAGTCTGTGATTTGTTACCTTACTTTGAATATGTATACAACGTTTTTACCAAAAAATCTAAAGATGTGAAAGCAATACTATGCTTCTTATGGCTTAATCTACCATGGCTCTTTTATGACGTACTATACGACATTGTACTATGACATACTATATTATTGCTTTTTTTAGACATACTATAAGTTTTTTAATTACATTTATACGACATATACCATGAATTTGTTTTATTTTATAATATACTATGGCCTTTTTGACATACTACACGATGGCTTTTTATAACTTTATTTATAGCTTTATTTTCGACAAACTAATATGACATGTTATACTCTAACTTTTTTAAATACTATGGCATACCATACAAGACTTTTATGACACAGTTTGAATGACTGACACTTAATGGTTAACGTGAATAATGATTTATTCTTTGTCACATTACAGACTGATGATAAGGGAGTCTTCAGTACAGACTTGTCTCAAGAATATCAGCTGGCAGCTTCCACATTTGGGCTCAGTCGTGAAGACGTATGGAAACTCTCCCAGCAGGCGATAGACTGTATCTTTGCACCCGACACCGTGAAACAGCAGCTCAAACTGAAGTGGGCTGCTATAAAGCCTCAGGTGTTCAAGTGACCCTTTCAGTGGAACCTACAGCCAATCATATACCTCACATTTCAGCTTGAAGAACTTTTCTAAAACGTTTTTACAAGAACCTTTAACATACTGGAGAAAATGTTTGTAATAACTGAAAGTAAATGATATTTATTTAGTAGAACAAGTGGAAGTGTGTTATTTTCTGCTAATATACAGAGTCTGTGCAATGTTGCACACATCATAAATCAAAGCAACAAACTTGTCATGACATACTGTAGAAATACAGATGAACCCGGTGAGAATGTAAAAAAATGTCTAAGAATAAAAACACAATATCAACAGATATCCAGGCTTTGGGGTGCTCTCCAAACTACAGATCATGTTGATTCTGCTTTGAACCCCCACACGGTGCCATCAGCGCAGCTGTATTTACACTCACGCCATCTTTCCAAATTTGCCACGCTTGTCTTTGCTCTTCTTGAATTTGCCGTGTTGCATTTCCTTCTTTTTACCTTTCCCGTGCTCGGGAGCCCCTTTGGTGTTTCCTTCATCGTACTTCCTCTTCTTGTCACTGTTGGGAGTAGTATATCATTACAAACATGTTTTTTACAACAAACACACTTTTGCCAAAGATCCAAAATAACACGATACCTCTTGATGCTAACAATAGCTGTGTTTCCTGCTTTCTTCAACACCTGGTCCCATTCCTCATCATCTCCACGGATCTTGTACCTGTAAATACAAAAAGAAATCATTACAGCTGCAGTAAATATTGCCAATTCATAATGCTTCAAACAAATAACCTCATACTCACTCTTCCATGTCCATGTCCTTCACTTTCTCTACATCCTGCTTGTGTTTCTCATCAAACTCCTGAGCTGCTTCTTTCTGTTGGTCACAGATTCACTCTCACATGAGAAGTTGAAAACAGCAAATGTTTTGCATTTTTGTTTGATAAACGACAGTTTTGATTAAGTCATTGTTCAGCACGTACCAGATCATCAGTAAGGCTTCTGACAGTCGGCTCCATGGAAACATCTTTTGAGGTCGCCATCTCTGCCTCAATGGCTTTTTCTTGGACACTGGTGAAGACCTAGGATAGTAAACACATTCAAAGTATTAATGTAGTTCCAATAGTTTTAAAGGCAGCTTTTAATGTCATGTATCATGTTCTTACTTGTACACATTTCCGGATCAAGCGGTTGAAGAGTCCCATGAGCTGCGAGCTTGGGAGTCCAATTTCCTTTTCGAGCTGATCTACCGATTTGTGCTGTAACCCTATACCCAGCAGTAACGCCTAGAAGAAACAAAACAGGGACAATCAACACCCATCGCAAGGAAACTATTCATGACATGGAAATCAACATAACCAATGGGGGGGGGGGGGGAGAGAACTTACACACTGTCCGACTGAGAGAGAGACGTCACCCAGCTGCTTGAGGAAAAACATGCGAGCGACTGTGGGGATCAGGTCCATGATGAGGTGGTAGTCCACCATGCTCCTCGAATACAATTCCAGACGCTTGAGGTCGTAAGGACTAAATTGGGAGGCCAGCTCAGAGCTAGTCAGAACTGTGACGGTCAAAGAGAAGTTAGATCGGGTCTGTGAGACGCAGAGGAAATCTGATCAGGGTTAGTTAGTAGAAGAGTCTTACTGCTCGTCTCCTCCTTGGACGTCTTGTTCTGCAGGACGCTGAGTGACAGGCTTGGATGGAAGCTGCTGAACTGGTAGGAGAGGAGAGACAGGAAGCGCCGACGGAAATCTAAAGGGAACAAAAAACTGTTCGGTCAAACTGTGATAAGTTTAAACAAACCAGATCTCCAGAGGCAGTGCAGGAAATGTTGTGGAAGTTCACCTTTCCAGAAGGCAGAGAGCCACTGGCTCTGCTCTGTGACTTCATCTGTGTTCAGCTCCTTTAGCATCACACAAGAGTGCTCTCCTGTCAGGTCATTCTACAGACAACCACACACACAACAATAATTACAGCAAGTGACAACAGCACAACATACATAAACATAGAACTTTATTTGTTATACTCACAGGGGTTTGTCTCAAGTAGACTGGAGTAAACCCTGCTTTCTTCCAGAACCTGTCAGGTTGCAAAAGACATTTTTGACATTTAATAATCTGCAAAAATATTACGAACCATTTCTCCATATTAAAGGAAACTCACTTGAGTAGCAGTGTAGTAAGACCAAAAGAAACTCCGAGATAGTCCAGTCTCTCTGCTCTCCTCTCACTCAGCTTCAGCAGCAGAGGAGGGAGCTCCTTCCGTGGAGTGATCACCTCCTCCAGCAGACTGACAGCCTGTCAAGAGACAACAAGGCCGATGTCTAGTGTAATCTCTAAATTGTATTTTTACTCTAGTTACACTTCATGTAAGGAAATGGAGTCTTTTAAATATAGCTGAATACATTTAATTGTATTACCTCACTGCTGACGGAGGTGATCTCATTGTGACTCGACTGCATGCTCTCATCCATGGTGGGAAACTTGCCCTCGTAGTACATCTGCAGCAGTTGGAGAGCTCTGGAGCCGTAGCCCATCTAGTGGACCGGTTGAAAACCAGTTACATACAGTACATCCTGATTAATTAAAAACTGGGTGAACATGCAGAGGTAGGCAAACTCTTACCCCTTGGTAATCTGGATTAACAGCAATTCGCACAACTCTGGCTCCAGAGAGGCTTCCAAAATCTGGGTCTTGGAACTACAACGAAAGGAGCAGAGGATTTTATGGATGTTTGGAAACGTGAGCTGTAACGACTTTGTCAAGAAATTCATGACCAGTGGGGGCACCTGTTCTGACACCGTCCAGGGAATGAGGTCACCAGAGGCCTTCTTTCCTCTGGACAGACTGTTTAGGATGGACTGCCGAGATATTTCTCCCTCCAGACACACCTGAGGGAGAGAAAAACGAATACAGTGAGTCAAGTCAATAAACATGACGAATGAAAAGATAAGATACAAGCAACAAAAAAAAAAAAAAAAAAAAAAAAAAAAAGGATGGAGAGGCTGAAATAGTTTTTGAATGCTTTAAGTAAATAAGGAATGTCTGATTCGGTGGAGGACTTTCCTCTGAACTTGACTAATTATCACAAACCTCTCTTATCACAGAGGTTTGCTTTCAAATGAACAGCATGGCCTTCACTCTGGTTTCATGAGGGGGTCTGGAGTGTCTTACCTGCACCACAGCGAGGACCTCAGGTAGTGAGTTCTGCGTGGGAGGAACCGGTGGCAGGAGACAGAAAAGGTGATGTGCCGGAGCATCGGACAACATCTGCAGGTCATTTGGTGAATTCTGGACCCAAGAAATCATTTGAGTGAATAAACACGAGAATGACTTCACACCGTGTCGAGGACATTGTGCTCCTTGAGGAAAAGCAAGTTATGTGAATACAAACAAATAATATCACCTTATAGTGCGATGCCACGTAAAGGGCCATCAACCTCTGCAGGAAAGCCTCCGATGCCTTGTGGTAACAGAAGAGCGTGTCTCTGTTCACGTAATAGCTGAAACGTGTGGATTAAGGAAATGACATACATCATTTCATAAAAAAGTAACGCCTGTATTTTGCAAAAAACTCATAGTATAGAATGTTTAAAAAATGCAAGAAAAAAGTCATCATATAGTATGAGACAGTAAAGACATAGTATAGTCAGTAATACAAAAGCCATAGTCATGTCATGAATAGATCATAGTATTGTATGCCACAAAAATGTGACAGAAATGTGACAGTATAGTATGCCATACAAATGTCATAAAAAAAGTAATAGTATAACATGTAATAAAAATGTCCTAGTTTAGTATGTGATAAAAAGTCATTGTATAGTACGTCATAATAACATCATAGTATAGTCTGTCTACGTGTCACACAAAATCCGTAGTACGAGATAACGGTGACAGGCCCGGTCTAAACCTGGGCTAACATTAAGCCTTTAAAGTGCATGAAGGATACAGGTCACACGTCTGAGGAAGTGGGCAGCCAGAAAAGAGCCTGGGTATGTTCAGACAGTCGAGACAGAGCAGGTCATTCAGCCACTTCTCAACTGCATCCCCTGGAGCGTACCGAATAGACTCGTAAAGAGAAACCTCATGGAGAATGCGAGCTGTGAACAGAGACGGACAAACAGCAGTCAGTCCATCCATCCATCTCCTGCCCAGAGATACTTTAACTGCTTCACTTCGGGCAGCAACTCCCTCCCAACCCAGAGGGAGCAATCCACCGTTTTCAGAGAAACATGGCAGTTACACAGATACATAGATAATAAAAAAACACCGGGATATTTACCGGCTGCCAGCCTCTCTGTGGTGGTGATCCTGTTCAAGGATGCATTGCTCTGCTGACTGTCGGCACTCTGCTGCCTCAACTGCTGAATCAGTTTGATTGAAAGAGAGCGACCGGTGCCTTCATACCTGCAGAGAAATGCAAATAGCTTGAGCTGAAATGAAGAAGCAATTCATGAATCAATGGAAATATTAACTATTTCAGTAATTGATTAATTATAATCACTGGTTGCAGCTTCTCAATTGTGAATGTTTTCTTCGTTCTACGATACTAAACTGAATATATTTGGGGTTTAAACTTCTGGTCAAACAAAACAAGCAATTTAAATTTGTTAACTTGGGTTTAGTAAACTGTGACAGATATTTTTATGAATTTGTGACAATTTATACACCAAACAATGTATCGAGAATATGTTTTGCAGCCGTACAAATATTACTTCTACATCACTGGTCATAAAATCCATATTACTCAAAATAGTTTCTCCAAATGTCTGTGTGTAATCCTTTTTGGACCAAAGCAATGTTGCATTTGATTATGCAATATCATCCAGCCCCCTTACTGACCCGTTGATGGTCGAAGCCATGAAAACCAGATAAGGCCCCAGCAGTGTCTTAACCAGAGGTAGAGGGATGGCCGCCGCCTCGTCAATTACCAGCAGTTCAGCCTGGCCCAGCTTCACTGCATCGCCTGGGTGAATGTACTGTGGGTCGCATGAACAGGAAGAGATATGAGTATTTCACTAACGACTGTAAACACAAACAAGAAGCGGAGAAGAGCGGTATGGTCTTGTTTACCTGAATTGTCTGTCGGTGTTCTTTGAAGATGTTCACCCGCACCACAGCTTTGTTGAAGTCTGGATTCAAAGACTGGATGATCTCATAATCAAGATGCTCCTACAAATGCAATATATATATATATATATATAAACTGGTTATTGTCAACACCATGAATGTACTGCCGCTGATCTAGAGAAGCATCTCAGGCAGGTTACCTGATACTGGAGCGCATCAAAGCCTTTGAAGATGAATTCAAACATGGTATGGAGGTTGTCCGGGCTCGGTGAGGTTACAAAGATGTTGGAGTAGCTGTAAAGAATGTCAAACCATCATTAGCAAAAACATGCAAGACAATGTAATAGACAAAACGGACCATTTTAATGAGATAAAACGAATCTGTACCCAAAAGCCACCGCTCCAGCCACAGCCAGCCCCAGTGCTGCAGACTTGCCTCGACCACGGGCAGCGGTCATAGCCACGGTACTCCTCAGATTCTTCTCCGAGGTCGCCTCAATGAACTTCAGCAATCCTTTAGCCTAGAGGGCAATACAAACATCGACAGTTATTACAATATTACGGCTTCTGAGGTGTGATGTCTATGGAGCATTGTTGTGATCTGTCGGTGAAGTGCCGTGAGTGAAAATGTTTTTAGTGCATTCATTAAAAGTTAGACTTGGTAAATGTCTTTATTGAGAGGTCCTGACCTGGTCCATGGTCCTGCAGCATTCCACTAACACACCCACAGGCTGCGTGTCCTTAAGGGACTCCTTCAGATCCTTCAGCTCTTGTTCTCCTGGAGACAAACCATCCTCCTGAAGGGGAGGAGACAACGGGTCAGACATCAAGGAGCAGCAAGTAGGCAAACTTCATAAAGGATTCGGTTTTTTTCTTTAGCTTATTATGAAGTAAATGTTGATCGTTTAGGTTGGTTCCCTATAAGCCTGACTTTAGCAATGCAACTCTGTCTGCCACCAGGCTCGATCTCTCTGGGAAATGAAGGCCCAATTTACGGCACAAACGCAGTGAGTCAAGAACAGGACGAGGATAGTGATTTACTTCCCCCCGGTAGCTAGCGTTAGCTAAAACCTGTGTAATCTACATTTTGTACAAGCAAAGCAGTGAATTGTGCTTTTTGATGTTATTGTTGTGGATCTACATTTGTGCATATAGATAAACGGTGTAACAATAAATGAAACTGAAAGATGCCTGCCACAATTTCCCTGAGCCAAAGACGACTTTATTAAATATCTTGTTATTTTTCAACCAAATGTCCAAAACCCGG